TACCCACTAAAAGCCTCGTTTGTCGTAAAATAAAGTGCTTCGTACGCAAAAATTCGTGTTTTTATGCGCAAAGGCACGAAATCGGCCGGCGCGCCGACCGATCGGTCAGCTCGCTCGGCTGTCGGTCGGCTGGGTCGGTGGTCGGTTGGCGGTCGGCAATTTTCGACCGACCGAAATGAAAGCCTTAGAGTAGGTTTCACAATTTCCGATTTTTATGATTCTTATGCATCCAAAACACTTACCTTTGGAATATCCAAATTCACAATAGCATCACTGTTCATCTCCACGTTCTCTTTATCACGAAGCCCTTCGAACACCTTCAAATCAGTTGGTCCCACAATTATTTTTGGATTAGATGCAGCTGGGTAAATTCCAATTCCAAGAATCACGCAAATTGACTCGGCAATTGCCCAAGCGCTGAAAATTAACTCCAGTTCCTCTTGAATGTTATTAAACTACTAACCTGTAAACTCTTGTTTTGAACACGACAAAGATCAACGCCGCATAGACAAGGCGAGTGAAGAATGAAACTTCCCAAATTGCATCGGAGCGAAGAGACTGAATAAATTACAATTTTAAGAACGTTCCTGGTTGTTATAAAAGCCTCACATCCAGTGGAAAGTAGTGATTTGTGATCACAAACGCTGGTACCGACCACAAAAGTCGAACGAATCGAGACGTCACCTCCGGGGTTGGATCCCAAGACTGCAATGCGGGGTTCTGAGAATCGAGGAGCATCTGATAGGTGTAGTATGGACCTGAAATGGTAGAATTGGGTATAGAAACGAGCTGAAGACAAAAATTAACCTGTGAATAAGCCGCAGAAATGATAAAAGTAGGCGAACTTTTCCAAAAGTGTTGGCATTCTTGTTAAGTAGCGTTTTGTGGCGTTCTCGTCGTTCTTGTGGAGCCACGCGTCGTTTTCTTCAAATGTGATTCCAATGATCTGAAAAAATTTAGGTGATATCAGGGATATATGGTTTTGCGTTTCGGTCAGAGGAAAGTGGATCTCCTATCAAGATGGAACACTTTGGAATCCAAAAAGGACTCAGGTTTAAAATTGCAATTTTTCCAGTTGATTCTTAATCCATATTGCTTAGAAAAATGTCATGGTTTAGTATTCTCGTTTACATTGGATTCTCGGGTGACACTGAACCTTTATGCGATTATTCGGAGGTCAAAAATACTGGGAAAGTTGGTAAGGTACCATTCTCCGTTCAAAGACGACGAAATTTTATGCGTCATTGAGTTGAAGCGATTTTTGAGCTTAAAATTATATCCACACGGAATTTCCGGTGAAAATCATTGCACGGAGGGCCGTGGCCTAGAGATCTTCAGAAATTAGAAAGCTTCAGAAATTTCAACTGCTACGGCCGCAGCAAATTGTTGATTTTTCTCTGTTCTGCATGCCAAAAACCTGCAAATTGCTGGTTTGCTTCCTTCTGAATGACCGCACTATCTTTTGCTTCTGTACTTACAGTTCACGATGTCTCTTTGTCTACCCTAATCTAGCATTTATTACCATTATATTACAATTTTTTATTCACGAGGATTTAGCTTTATTGTTACCGTTTTTGGGGCGACGTTTGAAGATACCTGATATTTTAGAATTCCATGAGAATCAGAATCTTTTCACTCCGTAACTTCAGAATCTTTTAAACTCACTCTCAAGGTAATAATCAGCTGAATCACGTTAGTATGGCTGGCAACTTCAACGACTGGAAGGAAATAATGAGCAAATCGGACGAACATCAAATAGGTGAACGTTGTCAGGAAGACGTAGAAAGGCACCTTTCTGCAGAAATCGATTTTTCGCGAGAAAATGTATTGAAAACTTACTTTTTCGGGGCAAATGCTTGAATTCCGACAGCAATTGCACAAATACCCAGGGAATAGGCAATTCTTGGACCTAAATTTTTTTGTTCTAGACCTTGTTAACTTTTCATTCTCACCTATGATGAACAGAGCCATTGCAAATCCCAGCGCTCCGGATGCCAAAATGTTGTTTCCAAGTTTTCGCACATAACAAGACGCCGCAAATGAGAAGAGCAGAAGGCCAGTGTAGACCCAGTCGTCTCTGGACATGAGTCCAATTATTTTCTCCATGTTTGATTAGCTGAAATTGGAAAAATTTAGAGATTTGGAGAGAAAAACTAACAAATACCGGTAAATGAGAGGTAATTTGGAGGCATGTATACGCGCACCAAGCGCGCGCAAGGGTGTTGCACGAGATGCGTCAGTGGAAATTGTTGACACGCCGCGCGCGCGTGTATTACTGCGAACACTTGGAATGTCGCGCGCACTTAGTTGATGTGAGAATGGCCTTGCTTTGCAGCCTCCGATACACCGCAAAATTGATACAATCACTTAGTAGTCTTGTCGTATCTTTTTTTGCCTTTTTTGTGCCTTTTTCTTCAATTTTCAATATCATATCTCCACTTTTCTTCTTTTCATCAATCTTCTTCTTTTACAGTAGTAGAGGTGGCGGATAGGAAATGTATACAGCCGAGGCGCTGGATTGTGAGTTTTTCTTTTCATTCTAGGGTTCCAATTTTTGAATATTCCAGTAATCACCTCACTGGAACAAAAGGAATGCGATGATTGCGGCAAACGAGAAGTGGAATGGGCGTCTGTGAAGAAAGGAACCGTCATTTGCTCAGAATGCTTCTGTTTTCACAGTTATCTTGGTAAGATTTCACTCGGAAACTTTGAGAATTTACTGAATTCCCTCGTTATACTCTCGAACAAGGTCCCAAATGCTCTAATGTGTATGCAAGCCGATTGTTGCGCACACGTGACCCCCCCCCCCCTCTCCCCTTCTTACGATCAATAAATAGTACACTACACAGGGCCATCGGTGAGCTATCTCCGTCATCTGCGCAAAAGTGCTTGGGATGAGGAACACATTCGACTCGTTCACGCTCTCAACTCGTGGGTTGTTGTATCTGTTGGGCCGTAAAACTTAATGGAATTTCAGGTCCAACACCAACATGATTTGGGAGAGTGCACTCTACGAGGGATCCACGAAATTTCAGAAGCCACTGGCGCAGTATGAGAGATTTAGAGAAAAATTAGAGAAATTAGAGAACGTTTCAGAGATCCATCGCATATCAAAGAGCAATTCGTGAAGGAGAAGTATGAGAAGATGACGTTTCAGCCGAAGAGAGGGAAGGATGAGGATCTGGAGAACAGCTTGAACAAACAGCTCATCGCGTGTGTGAGAAGTGACTACGCTCATGTTACATTGAGGTAAGTGTCATTTCTGTCAAAATGTGAAATAGAAAAACCCAGAATTCAAAAAAAAAATCGGTCTAACGAAGTATGAGATATCACCTAATAAAACACTCAGAACTTCACTGATTCAGGAAACATTTAAGCGGAAATTGGACAATATCTTTTCTGAATTTGGACTTTTTGGCAACGTGACAATCATACATCAAATTCCGGATGAGCCGGTTCAAAAAAATCCTCCGATCCTGGAAGCATATTTTTTGAAGATTCTTGAGAAAAATATATAGAATTCCGCCTGAAATAAAACTCTATGCGATATACCGCCAACTCACAAAAAGGTCAAAACATTGAAATTCTTCGAAAAATCCATAAAAATTTCAAAAATTTCAGAATTTTGAGACTTCAAAATCTGACCCGGACGGAAAGAGTCGGAGCGGAGAGTTTTTCACTTTGAGCCGGCCCGGCCCGTGACAAGTATGGTGAAAATCAATTCTAGATTTTTTGATCCAAAAGATTACAAATCAAATGTCCGTCAAATAGTAAAAAAATCCGAAAAAATTTCTCATCCTGCTCAGACCAATCCAAAAAAAGTGAAATTGGCGAAAACAATTATACACCCGAATTTTTTGGTTTATTACTAATTCGCTCAAGTTTTGGTTCAACCAAAACAATTTCAAATTTCAGACTCATTGCTCTCGGAGCCGACGTCAACTTCCTTGACCCCGAAACTGGCGACACACCTCTGCATGTCGCGGCTAGAGATGGGAATTGCAATCAAGTGGAACTTCTGTTTCTGTATGGAGCTGATATCAATGCTGCTAACAAAGATGGTTCACTTCCATATATGGTTGCCAAGGATTACAATCATGTAAGTGCGAACATAGAAATTCTGGTGAAATTTAAGAGAGAAATGTTCGGAGATGTAGGTGTCAAAACCGGGCTGACTAATAAACTGATTTCCTTTTTTTTCCCTTCAACCCTCTCTGATTACAGATCCAACTCTCCAATCGTATTTACGACTTCTTCTTCTACACATTTGACCGTTTCTCGTTTTTCATGTGCAATCGAAAAGCGGACCATCGCAATAATCAAGACTTTTTCATCCCAGAAGTCACTGAGAAACAATTTCTCATCAAAACCAAAGACTCCAGATTGGCGATCTCAGTTCTACCGAAAGGTCAATTCTTCGATCTTTGCGAGGACGCATTTGATGAAACCGTTCGCAGAGAAAACGAGGTGAACTGGAATATGACTAAATGGGCTAAAACCGCCAAAGGACCAACTAACTTATTTTTGCCAGTGAGTTCAAGCTTCGAAATAGATCAGAAAATCTTGAAAATTTTCAGTCCACGACACACATGTCTGCTGCTCGTAATCAAAGAAGACAGAAACTTGCCAAGTTCACCCCAATTCAGTTCACAATTCTTCTCATCGACCTTATCAAGGATCAGAAGCGAAGAATCAACGGAGACCCACTCCCGATTCAAGAGGCACCAAGAACTCAAAGAAAGTCTAATGAGAATCCAATGAGATTAATGAAGCGAGTCATTTTTAAACTTAATTAGCTCTAATCAAAAAAATTCCAGAAGAAATGAATATGCCGACTACGACGAGGTGGCTGGAATCTCGTGCTCTCCAACTTCTGGCATCTTACCAAACTCTCAATCAAACACTGTCGATGAATTAAATGGGAGAATATGGGATGAGGTGTTGGAGATGAAAGAGAGACTTCTGAACGCTGAGAGTATGGTGCTCACGGTTACCAAACAGAACGAGGAGCTCACTAAGTGAAAAGAAATAAAAAAAACTCCTGATCAACTTTTTAAGTTGCAGATTGGTCCACAGTCTTCAAGCCCAGAACATCAACCTCAACTCGGAACTTATTTCGTTCCGAGATGATTTGTACAACCTAAAAAGGACTAACATGACAAGGCGCATGCCATCGCCGCTTGCAATTGTGGAAACGCCGGAGAGGATTTTGCCACCGGCTGGAATTCAGCACAGCTTCTCTCGCAGGTGAGGTTTGATTATAAATACAAATCGAAAAAGATATCGTACGAATTTTTGACCGTTTTAAATTGAAATGAATGGAAAAAAAGTGGGGAGAGTTCTAGAATTACTAAAAACGTCAGCAAAACTGTCCAAACATCATTCCAGCTGTGTCTTGACCGGATTTTGAAGAAAAAACGTAAATCAATGAATTGACCAACTGCAGGAATTGTAAAATTCGAACATTACAGAAATAGAGGCATCGCAATTTTTTTTTAAATACGAAATAATTTGATTCCGAACACCTTGGACCACAAGCCGGCTGATATACATCTGACTAATTTTAAGAATTTTAATTTGACGAAATCTCAGATTTCAAATCAGACAAATCGTTGAGAAATCCGACAATAATCCATTTGCCTAACATAAGCTAAAACTTCTCGGCTATCTATAGCAAAGCTCTTAGCTGATCCTGCAGAAAAGTCAAGCTTTTATTTGTGAGAGCATCTTGTGAAAATGACCTAGTATCATTATCAAGCAATAAAAAACTCACATCGTCCTTAAAATCCTCATTTTTCAGAGACAGTGAAGACCGCGTCGATGGCGGTGGCGCCCGCTGGCGATCCAACTCAAACGATCGTCGAAACTCAAACGACCACAAAATGGAGAAGAAAGTGGAGCGACGACAAGACTCAATGTTGGAGAGCTCCTCGTCCCTCTCGCGCTCCTCACAAATCCCCAACTCGCTTAACAGAGAAGGTAGGATTAGTGAACCCAGTTTCTTTCATTTCACTTCGTTTTTGTAGATGTGAAGAATCGAGTAATTCAACAGAGCGAGAAAATCACTCGTCACATCAAAGCGCTTCTTCAGCATGGGCATAATGGAAATTTGGATGAGAACGCGAGCCATGGAGCACATGAGGTTGAAAATAATTGGGAGAGTACGAATATGAATTGTTGTTTTTTTGCAGATCGCGTGCGCCATCAACAGTCTTATCACTGTCCTGTTGCCGTACATTCGACATGAAAAAATCGATTCGCTGACGGACGCTGTCGTGGTTAGTGTAGTTTAGTTCAAAATATATTTAGAAATGTGTTAACCGACGTTTGGGTCAATTTGTCAGAAAAGTCGCAAAAATTCAATATTGTAAAACCTGCAATAGAACTGCTATTACATTATCAAGTTTGACCTCAATTATCTCAATTCATATAAAATATGTTTGAAAATTGTCAACTGACAAAACATTTCTGATAGTATGATGAACAATTTCTCAGTCGGCAATCTTTCTATATCTTTGACACGAAGCGAGAATAATTAGCCAAAATTTGATTGTAAGAGGGTCCTTCCATAACAGACTATACGGTATTTTTGAAGTAAAAAACTAGAACATTTCAGAGTCTAGCAAATTAACAAAATTGTCGTTCAAAAGATTGTCAGGGACAATACCTTTGAATTATTCCTACCAAAGACATAGAAATTTTTTAGCTCCTTAATGCCAAATGTAACAGCCCCATCCTGGACTCAATGGATATTATCGAAGCTGCTCAAGCCGTTGCCGATAAGCTCCGTCTCATAATTATGGATTTCTGTTAAAAATTTCCATTGCATGATAGTTCTTTAGCGCCCCAGCTATTTATCCTTGTGTACTTCATTCACTGTCATCTGTTTTTGTTCCTCCCATCCCCCTGTTTCAGTTGTTGCTCAAGTGTTTTTTTTCTAATTTCATTAATGGATACTAATTATTTTAAAACGAACACCTTTTTTTCCGACACTCTCAATTTTTGGCATATTTCATGACTGTTTTCTTCATTTTCTTTCTTTTCCACCATCTCCATTTTTTTGAACAAACCCTAAACATAATAGACGCATTTTTCTGTTGATAGTGTTGTTTTAAAAGTGTCACCTAGCGTCGGGGAAAGTGTCAAAAACGTGATTTCAGGATAAGAAGAGGGTTATGGTTATCAGAGGAAAATGATCAATGTACGAGATGCTGTTCAGAGTAGAAACAAACCTAAGAGAAGGTTATTTAAAGGTATATCCTGTAATAGAAGAGCCTCCACGCTGTCTATTATGAACTCAATTGTCTCCGTTTCTGTAAAAGATATATAGTTCGTCAACTGATAAAATTATGGAAATATTTTGATAAATAATTAAACAGTTGACAACTTTTTTATATCTTTGGCAGGAACCGAGAAAAATAAACATAAAGTCCAAAGTTAGATCCCATTATGTTACAGGTTTTACGGTAAATGAAGTATTACGTTTTTTCTTTAAAATTTTAAAAACTACTTAATACTAAAATATGATAATATTATCAAAGTTCCAAAATAGAAAATTACCCGTTTTTTAGTACGGTGGCCTTTTCGTTTTTCATATCATCTCACAGATTACCTCGGAATTGAAATGGCAACTTTCCTTCTGTTTCAGCAGAAAAAAGCCTCTGACAAATTCTCTAGAGTCATCTTCTCATTTTTTTGTTTCTAGAGACACTGATAAGGAGAGGTTGATAGGGATGGTTTAGAGGTGTTTAGGAAAACTGAAAGAAAAGTGAGCACTGAGCAAAGCAATTAAACTTTTAGAAGGCAACGACGACATAAGATGAATAGACTGCGATTTCACGGTTTTAGTTGAGAGATTGATCAGCACTTTTCAACACGTTTTTGATGGAAGCGAAGGCGAGGGTAACGCCAAAAAAGTCATAAAGGTGAATATGCAAAGAAAGGGAAAAGCGGCTGATAAGAAACAGAGCGCCGTTGAAACTCATTTGCCTTTTCTCTTTTTCTGTTTGGGGCTGCAATTTCCTTTCCATTTTTCTTGTCTCTCTTGCTCCGCGAATCAACTGGTACGTACTCGTGCTCATCAGACCTTTTCTGCCTAAGAAATGGCTATTGAGCGAGCCGCCCGACCGAACGTTCGTCGAGCTCGGCCGCCCGGACAACGACGAGCGGTTGTGTTTGATGATACACCAAAGCCGTCGGAATGGCGGAATATTTGGGTGGCAATATTTGGATTCTATATTTTGTTCGCTGAAACTGGTGTTAGGCAGGTAACGCATTTTTTGGAGAAAATAGAAAATGTCACGTAAGAGCAAAAATGTCTGAAACTCCTGATGACACGCACTGTTTTGTTTAACGACATGATAGTTTTGTCACCTTTAAACTATGATGAATGTACTTTGTCTTTGCGATGTTGAAAAGTTACAGGAAAATTGAGATCAACAAAACCGTGTTTCTCAATTGACTTTTGGCCATTTTGAAAAGACTGGAGCTCGGCTGCCAAGTTTCCGATCCATTTGCAAAATTCAGAAGGTGTGAAACGAATTTATATTAACAACATTTGTATCACAGAATATTTTGCAAATTACTTGTTTTTCAGTTATTTGCCGATTTCTGAAAAACACAGTTTTTTTTAAGTTATTAATTCAAAGCGGACTGAAAAAATGTGTCTTACAGAAATCAGCAAATATCTGAAAAACTAGGAATGATAAAAAATTCTGGGAATGCAAAGTTTTCAATATAGGTCTGTTTTGCAACTTCAAAAGATTTCGAAATGGGGGAAAACCTGAGCGCCAGACCTTTGAAAATTGTGAAAACAGCCGAAAATCACCTCAAAATTACGTTTTTTGTATATCTTTTTGACTGGTATTGTCGAATCAAAAAAAGTGGGACCTGAGAATTTGAAAGGCGTAGCTTTGTTGATTTACGAAAAAGTGCGGCAAAAACGTAATCTTTCAGACTTTTGCCTCGTTCGAGCTACTTTCGCAATTAAGTTCGGTTTTTCAATGAAAAACAGATTCTAGAGATGCTAGCGATCATTTTCATACCAAGAAATCTAAATTTTGTCCAGAAAATCTCACTGAATTCACAGAAATAAGTTTCGTTTACTACTGTAGTGATTTTGAGGCAAGGCCTCAAAAATTGACCGGGAACCCCCCGCGAAATTTTCCAGGTCCCACTTCTTTAATTTGACAATAGTGTAGGTGAGATTTTCAAAAATTAATTATTTTAGTGATAAGCAATTCAACAGTTTTCAGGTCATGAATGGATTCGTCGAGCCTGTCATTAAAACCTACAATTGTACAAAAGATGAAGCAGACACTGCGGTTTTAGTGGTTCCCATGGCCTCTAGCTTGATATTGGGTACCCCAAGAGATTTCATCACCACGAATCAAGAAAAAAATTTCAGGACCATTCTGCTCAATTTTCTATCAACGAACGGGGGCTCGGATCAGTATTTTCGTAGGAGCAGTGTTGACTGGAGGAAGTTTTGTAGTTGGACCATTCTGCAATTCAATTTATCTTCTTATGTTGGCAACGTTTGGAATAGGTGAGTTTAAACATTTGAAAATTTGATTTTTGGTTTTCAAAATGGAATTGAAACTCAGGAATTGGCTGCGGTTTAATGAGAAATTCCATCATTTCGATTCAATGTGAATATTTCAAAAAGAAACGAAACACAGTGATGGCGGCGATTTCCATCGGACCGGGACTTGGTATTTTTATTCTTCCACGGACGTTGAAATGGATTATGGTCAAAGTGAGATCTACAATGTTTTGTAAAAATTTCTAGGAATTCAATTTCTAAATTTTAGTACGACAGTTGGGGACCGGCTTGGTGGTTCTTGTCACTTTTCTATGTGGTCTCTGCGATCATGGGTTTGTTCATCTCCAAACAACCGTCAGAGCAAACTAGCAGTTTTTCAATGGGCTCTGCTATCAAAGTATGTTTTTTTTCAGTTAAAAAATTACACCAAAATTTCAGGTCTGCAAAAAAGTGGAGTTCGATCTTCATCTCATTGCTTGCTTTTTCGCCTCGTCAGTCACTTTTATCTATCTAGCGAATATTCTGATTCTCATGGAGTCGGAAAATATTGAAGAGTAAGATTTGGGAATTTTGAATGGTTTGAAAAAAAGCATTTTTCAGCAAAGAAGGAATTTATGGGTTCCAAGGGTTGGCGAGTATCGTTGGAAAATTTGTGCTCACTTTTGTTATGAGCTTGAATCGAGTGGGTTTTTTTTGAAAACTTTGTGTTTTTAAGTAATTGAAATAACGGAAAACAACCCTAACTTTTTTTTTTGAATCCGTCGCCGTTTTTTTAGTTTTCCATCAAATTTAAGATTAACCTATATATATATATACTTTAAGCTGATTTATCTCGATTCCTCCAAAAGTTATCAGAAGAATTTCAAATGACAAAATATTTATCATATTATCCCAAACACTTTATTAGTTGACAGCTTATTGATATCTCTCATTAGAACCAATATAAATGAGCTCAATGTGCACGCAAAGGTTCAAAGCATTTACGAAAACTGTAGGTGGTACAGTTCCAACAAAAATATAGCTATTTTCAATTTTGCTCTTTTCTAATTTTGCACTTTCCAGGTTCACAATGGTATCATAATGATTATCAGTTACGTCATTGCTCAGTTATCCTTATCGTCTGCCGCCTTCTGCTACAAATTCTGGCAGTTTAGAATTCAAAATGCGTTTGCTGGTATTGGTATAGGTAGGTATCACGTTTTTTCAAGTTTTTTCTAGAATTACACTTTCAGGACTCTATCAAGCCTGTCTTGCTCCATTCTTAGTTGCCATTGTTGGCCCATCCCAGCTCGCCTACGCTCTTGGATTCACAAATCTGATAAACGGTGTTTCTATCATTTCTGGAGTTTGGATTTCTGGATTTGCAAGTAAAGGAACGACAGGAGAAGAAGCTCGTAGCGCATTTTTCGTGTCTATCTGGCTTGGAATCGCTGCGATTGTGATGTCGGCGGTGACATCGTTCCTGCTGATGGCACGCGAGAAACATAAGAGGAAGCCGTCGATGAAACAGATGAAGCACTCATCCGAACTAAATGCTCTTACCAATATCACTTCTGTCGAAAACTCATAATCCACTTATGCGGTGGCCTTCTGTCTATCTTATCTGTGTTTCCAGATCACCACGTCACGAGTGGCTCTCTCTCTCTCATACAGTTTTCTCTTATCAATCGATGACGATTGTTAGAGAGGGGAGAGCACTCGTTCAAAGTTGAAAAGTCGGTGAAAACACTGCTTGACGCACATAGTCCATTTTCTCTCTCCTGATAATGCCCCGTCAATTTCTATGTACAAAAAAAAAGGGAAAACGTGATGTCGATGTTTTGGAGGGAATTCAAAAAATTTAAATACCGGAAGTAATTCCAGGTGCATACACAGTCCAGCATGCACAAGTCATAATGTAATATTTGGGTAAATTTAGTCATGTGTTTTGTTATCTATAATGAGTTTGAGACAAAAGACTAGCCTGATGACTGTGTGTATGTGTGTCCCATTGTCATTCTCCACTCATCCTCATTACGTTTTACCTGAATCCCTTCTTATTAGAGTATTTTTACCTTGTTTTTCTCCATTTTCCCCCTTCAAACTAATAGACCAAACATGATAAGCCATAATCAGCTCCCTCCCAAAAAAACGTTACTGTTAATTACCCTTGTTTGTCATCCCAAACTTTCGCACTCATTCCAAATTTATTTTGACATTTTAAAATTATGTCTTTCTCATTACCATTCCTATCTTATCATTAGTGTTTTTTTCTGTGTTCTTCTGATCTCAAATGATGTGCATTGAGAAATAAAGTTATTGATTGATCCCAGAAGGGCAGCGAGAGGTAGAAAGAGGTCAAGTGATAAGACAAGGGTTTGCGAGTTACTGAGTAGCAAGAAAGTATGTACTTGTTCGGGGAGTTTCGACGGGGAAAGTTCAAAATATTAAGTCTAAAACTTCATTAGAGCCAATAATTGTGCCACCACTTTTCTGTAGCTGGTAACAAAAAAATAATTAGCCTTTCTCTAATTTTTATGTCTTCGTTTACTCCATAATATCCAATTTGACGTCCGACTCCGGCCAAAAGCTTCTCTTGTATCAAAACTTGGAACACCAAAAGCAGGTGACTTTGAGAAAAAGGCAATAGACTAAAAAAATAGAGATTTTCAACAAAAAAAAAAACAAAAAATCAATGCAAAGTTCTCAATCTAAATCTGTTTTACAACCTCCAACATTTTTTCGTAATTGGAAGCTTGAAGACGAGCTCCAAAGTTCTGAAAATGGTTGAACTGGCCGGAAACCAACTGAAAAATTTGCTTTTGTATATCTTCCACAAGACAACAAAGGATGAAATTTAAAAAACCAGAATATTTTTGAAAAATCGCTTCAAAAAGCAAAAGTCGCAGTTTTCGTTCATTTCTGAAAACTATGAAAATGGTTTTAGACTCTTTTTTCAAAATCCCGCCTAACTGAAAATTTTGGGACACCTCTAGAAAAAAATTGAGCTAGTTTTTTCAGTTTTTTTTTTCAGTAATTGAAAAAATATTCCGAACTTACTCAAAAATTTCAGAAGTGAGCGAGAGCATTTTTTTAGCTTAAAAAATCTTTAAGTTTTATTTTTTTAGCTTAAAAAAATCTTTAAAATCTGAAAATTTCGGAAAAATCTGAAAATTAAAAATCTGAAAATTTTAAAGTTTTCCTAACTTTTTCACATCTTTTGTTGGTTTTTATGTGAATCTACATGCATTTCTACATATTTCAAATCGATAAAACTATTGTTCAAAGTCCTCTTCTCATACACAGGTAAAATACGAACGGATCCGTTACACACGCTTCGCATTCGCGCGAGGCTGAAATAGGAACCGCATACGGACCGCACGCGAACCTTTTTCAGTAAATAACAGTACATTATTCGGATTGATCCGTATCCTGTCCGTTCGCGAGCTCCGTATCCGATCCGATTGCGAATCATGACCAAACGGATCCGTTTGCGAACTCAATAAAACCTTTGATCCGTTTGGTCATGATTCGCAATCGGATCGGATACGGAGCTCGCGAACGGACAGGATACGGATCAATCCGAATAATGTACTGCTATTTACTAAAAACGGTTCGCGTACGGTCCGTATGCGGTTCCTATTTCAACCGCGCGCGAACGCGGAGCGTCCGTAACGGATTGATCGCGAATCACCTGTGTAAATCTTCCAGTTTTTTCCTGATTTTTCAACTTCTTAAAAAAAAAATTTTTTTTGTTCCAATTTTTGAAAATCATAAAATAACATAAACCAAATCATTTGAAGCTTTTATGACGCTTAACTCAAACAAACATTCATTTTACTTCTTTCTTCGCTTTGTTTTGTTTTTTCTAACCACTTTCACTTTCAATTCAAAAGTCTCAAAAACCTAAAATTTAACCTGATTTCGAAATGATGAAAATCATGAGATTCTAAACTTGGCATCATGTGAAACTGAACCATTCAAAAAAATCATAATAACCCGGAGTTTGTTGATAGAGTGACACTGTACTCTTAACACAAAAATTTTCGAGGTTGATTGAATTCGAAAATTTGTCTTGATAAGCTTGTCGGCGGTGACTCTTCACCTCTTCACCGCGTATTTTAACCATTAACCGTTTTGAATTTTAACTACATTCGTTTCAGATTGAGCACTTATTGTTTTGTTGTTGAAGATGTTCGGCTATGTTGTTGTTAACGAACAAAACTCCATTGTTTTTCTGGACGGAAATGACGAATTTAAGGTTGGTGTCTTGTTTTTTCAGAAGAATATTTTCAAAGTTTCAGGCGAATTTCCAAAGTTTGGTCCATTCGGAAATTACTAGTAGGAAGGCAGAGCTCGATTCTGTATCCAGCGGTGTCGGCAGCTCCACATGTACAGAAGGTAACGCTATAATGAAGAATAAATATTCCAAAAAAAAAGTGATTTTCAGAGCCAGAATCGTCTATGGTGTCTTCAAAGAAACCCAACAACGTTGTCTTTGATTCTTCTGAAATTTCACACATCCTGTTACCCCTTATTCTACTATACAGGTCTACAAGCGAGAAGACAAAAGATCCCATAGACCAAATATCATCGCCACTTGGCACGATATCGATTTCAAAATTCTATCACAACTATCTGGTCTTGGTGTTTGCCAATGAGTGAGTTATCGTAAAATGTTTTATGACCAATTCAAAAAACATTTTAGTGATTGTAAACGGCTAGAAGTATCTCAGACAATCGAACACACAATTGCGACACTATTCGGACCACTGATAGCATTTTGTAATACCGATCTCACAACTGTGAAAAAGCCAAAAGAGCATTTAGTGGAGGCGCTAAGCAGGAAACTGGTTATGAGTTCCAAGTGTGAGTTTTTGAGTTGTCCTCAAGGTCCTACAGTAATGGTCAGAAAGATATTTGTATAGAGACGGTTTTCAGTTTATTTTCAGCCGTTTTGATTATTTGCAGCTTGGCTGTTACGTTTCTGATAACTTTAAAAGTTTTGAAACCAGACGTAAAACAGACTCAGATTGAAAACTTTTCATTCGCAGAATTTATTTTTAATTTTTGAGCTGTTTGTCGATTTCTGAAGACACAACTACTTTTGGACCATTTTGTTACTGCAAACTTGAAAAAAGGTGTTTTTCAGAAATCGGGAAATAGTTGAAAAGAAAAACTAGGAATTTTCCAAAAGTTTTGTAAATGCAAAGTGATCAATCTAGAAATATTTTACACTCTCCGAAATTTTCGAAGAATGGTCAAAATGACGGAAAATCAACTGCAAGTGATTTTTTGTAAATCTTATTGACCTGTGCTGTAATTCTAAAAATTGAATATTACAGCTTATGTTGACATTCGACGCAAGTTGTTCTACTCTGAAAAAATTTCTAAACTCAAAGAAACATTTCAAAAGATTTCTTCGCAATTAAATGTATTTGTTGGCAATAACAGGTAGAAAATTTCAATTGGCTTTTTCAAATGTTCAATTTTCCATTCCAGATGCCTTCTTTTATGTCATGGAGACGTCATAGCTACGTACAACTCTGTCGAAGGGAATGACGACGTGCTCCGAGGCTTAAACACAAATGACTTGCTAAATATAGTGTCAAATACTACCAAATGTGATGCAACCAGTCAAATCGAGCAGGTTTTCAAATAGTTTGTGCCTCTATCTATGTTCTCTGTTTTCAGTTCTGGCTCCGATCAACGACGGGCTTGATACCGTATTATGTGAATGTTATCAGTGCGAGTGTTTTCAAAAATACGACATTAGTATGTCTAGTGGAATCGTCGGAAAACACTCTGATCAGATATTTGTATCTTTTCTCAAAACAACTCGACCAGCTGAGAGTGAGCAAGGACTTGAATAAGTGAGACAAAGGGAAAAAATGATTTTAGAAATGCAAAACCTTTTCAGAGATCTCAAAGAAGTTCGAAAAACAATGAACGATATCCACATTCTGCTTTTGAATCGTAAGCCGCTCCCCGAGACGTATTGTGCAGCCTTCATGAGAAATCCCTCAAGGGCGTCTTCGTTTTTCAAGGTTGGTAAAAAATAGGCACGTGAATAGGAGAAAAAAGGTCATTACTGATAAAAATGACGTTGACTTAAAATGAAACCGTGGGCTTATTGAATGGCCGGAAGGAAATGGAAATGTTAGAGGAGGGGATAAAGGTGAATTTTTTAAGTTTTATTTTTTTTTGAAGTTAGGGTGTGCATTTTGACGTGACGGTGAACAGTGATTAGTAATTAGTTTATGAATCGTATTGTTTAGCGGCCTCATCTTGCGCCAAGTTTTTCAAAATGGTATTTTCGAAGTTTTCCGGAATCTAGAAAATTACGAGTTTCAACATTTCGGAATTTCGAAATATTCCGATTTCCCATATTTCGGGGTTTTGGAATCTATTTGTAATTTCAGAATCTTCAGAAAATTCCGATTTTGAAATATTGAAATTCCTCACCACGAAACCCCAAAAGTTTGTGAAAAATCGACAAACAGAATCCGAGAACGCAAAATTAAGAAATAATTAGCGCTTGACTCATGCATAGAATTTTTTGCGTGCGCCTATGAAAAACCATAACTCAATATGCAAAAAAATCTGAACATGGGCAAACTGAAACATTTCGATCGTAATTTCATTTTTAAAGTAGTCAGAATTTTCGGAATTTGTTGAGATTTTGAGTTCCTCTCCGAGTGTCATTGATCTTGAGCCACCGTAATTCAGTATATACAGTTACCGTCAATACGGTAAACAAAAACGTATTTTTCAGTTGATTTTCGGCGTTTTCAGGAGTCCAAAGTTCGTTTGTCAAGTTTCCGACCACTTTGAAATTTTGTAGGGTGTAAAACATACCTAGATTGAAAATTATGCATTTGCGATTTCTAGAAGACACTTTTCACGTTTTTCATACAAAATGGGCCCAGAAAGGTGTTTTTCAGAAATCTGCAATTAGCTGAAAAACTATTTGCTGTCAAAAATTTTTCAAATGCGAAGATTTCAATCTAGGTTTGATTCACACCCTCCAAAATTTTCAAAGTGATCGGGAAGGCCGAAAATCAAATAAAAATAGGTTTTCGGTATTATTGTCCGGTGCTCCATTGTTTACTTTGCGTTCCCGAAGCCAACGTAATATTACTTATGCAATTTCAATTTCTCGAAGGGCGGATATGAACGAAATTTCGTGGAATTTTTTTTTTCATTTCCCCTCGTTTGAAAATAATGGGAAAAAACATTGACTCTAAACCTTACTGACAGCTACGTGGTATCAAGTCAATAAAAGTAAATTTTCAGTCTATCTGGAATCAAATCGAATCAGAAGTGCTTCACATAAACCGAGACTCCGCAACACCAAAACCAAGATCAGACTCTCGATTTTCGATCAGCTCATGGAGAAGTGCACTTTCCACAATCTCTATCAACTCTTCAGTATTCACGAAAGTGACCATGGATGAAAAGGTAGATCTCATTTTTTGTGAAACCAAGTACATTTTCCAAATTTTTAGATAATGACCCAAAAAATGGACATTCTTCTCTCCTATGGAAAAAAACAAATCAACTCATTGATTCAAGAGCTGTGTTCCATAAGCATAGTAAATGCTCGAATATCAACACTTCCCCTATTCAATCAGTGTTTGGAGAAAATCGTGAAACCTAATTCGATTAAACTCGTAGAATCGCTAGAAATAGGTTGGTGGCAAAATTAGTGAAGTGGCATTTTCAAATATTTCAGGTTCCAAAGATCAAGAGCAAAAGTTAGCAAAGTTTCTAAAGCCATCCGAATTTTTCTTAGAGATGTACGCGTATAGAATTCAATTTGACGATGTACAAAAGGAAATAACCTATATCGCAGGTTAGTGACAAGTCCCTTAAATTCCAATAATTGATATTTAGAAGAGTACAAAAACGATATCAACTGGGTACGACAACTAAAAAATTCCAATCGATTCAGTTGTGACTTCATCGGAAATTCTGGAAGGAAATTTATGATCTATCACGTAAGAGACTTTTTGTTACATGTAGAATTCAAAATTATATTTCAGTTTACACAACCGGGTTCAAGTCAGAAAGATGGGTCTCCAGAAGTTCGATCTAGTATCAAAATGACGGCGATTTTCCCAGAGTTTATGAACAAGAATTTGGCAGACAAGCAGACTAAAAAGTTGTTGGAATGTGTTCTTAAACAGTTGAAATAAATTTTTCGTTCATTTTTGTTGCAGTTTGCGCGTCACATAATTACAGAAATATCAAAATTTTGAAATAATACAAAACAATGAGATTCGAATATGAGGAATTAACAACAGATGTAGTATAATATTCAAAACTGAATTCTCAGTTGATTACCGGTCATTTTGACTATTTTCAGGTGTCTGGAGGTCGACTGTCATGTTTCTGATCATAAAAAGAAAACATTTTTTGAAAATTTCTAATTTTTAAGCTATTCACCGATGTCTGAAAGACACTCATTTTTCAAATGATTTTTGACCCTTTTTTACTTAAAACGTGAAACATTGGTATCCTTTGGTAATTGGGAAATAGCTAAAAAAGTAGAAATTTTTTTCATATTCTGTGAATGCAAAGTGATCGGAAATTTGACAGCCAACCTCTAGATTCCTGAAAATGGCCAATAACTTAGAAATATTTTATATATAAGAACAAAAATGGTTCAAATTTCTGTAATTCGTCACAGAAAATACTAAACTACTGATAAATGTCATAATCGATGTGTTTTTGTCCAGAAATACTTTATTTCAAGGCAATCATGAAAAATATGGTTTTAATTACATTATTTTTGTTGATTTTCAATTTTGCGAAAAGTTACGTGATGCACAGAAATTGAAGGCTTCGAATTCTGGAAATTTGGAAATTTTACGTGATTCACAGAAATTGAACGTTTCAATTTCTGGGATTTTTCACAGAACTCGAACGGTTAGAGTTCTGGGATTTTGGTAATTCACGTGATTCACAGAACTCGAAGCTTTCAATTTCTGGGGTTAGCATGGGGGGGGGGGGGTAGGGATTCAAGAAGGGTCGTGACAAAGCAAAATGAATATTAGGAAACTATCGTTGAACTTGTTGTTTTCCATAAAACGGATCCTTCGAGCTTGAAGATATTTGTTTTCCATGGGAGCTCTATGTTGGCTGAAAAACAAGTTGAAAATTCTGAATCGTATTGGGAGGGTTGAAGTAAAAAATTTTTATTCCAAACTTACTATTGTCACATACAGTACTTTAGGATGAAATTGGTTGAGATGGTGGAAAAATGTTGTTCAAAAGCTATAAAAGATTCCACTTAAAGTTTTGAAAAACTGGCAACACTGATTTTTAATGCTTTTACCGTCGAAAAAAACTGAAAAACTGAACGTCGAAGAAAACTCAGTTTTCTTCGACAGAAAATCAATAAAAATCAGTGTCGCCAATTTTTCAAAACGTTTTCAAATTTTCAAAACATCACGTGGAATCTTTTATAGCTTATGAACAAAAATTTTCCACTATCTCTATCAATTTCATTTAAAAGTACTGTATGTGACAAAGGTAAGTTTTAAGGTTTGTATTTATATTTTTACTTCAACCCTTCCAATACGATTTAGAATTTTCAACTTGTTTTTTAGCCAACATAGAGCTCCCATGGAAAACAATTATCTTCAAGCTCGAAGGATCCGTTTTATGGAAAACAAAAAGTCCAACGATAGTTTCCTAATTTTCATTTTGCTTTGTCACGACCCTCCTTGAATCCCTACCCCCCCCCCCATGCTTTTCCAGAATCTCAGAAATTGAAAGCTAACCGTTCGAGTTCTGTGAAAAATCCCAGAAATTGAAACGTTCAATTTCTGTGAATCACGTAAATTTTCCAAATTCCCAGAATTCGAAGCCTTGAATTTCTGTGCATCAAGTGTTCTTTTTTATCACCGAATAAATATATATTTGTGTATCGAAAAAATTCTATTACAAGTACAGGAAATACTACTCGAAAAGGCTTTACAGTTTTTTATGTAAATTTGAACTTTTTTTTTCGCTCCGCAAAGAAAATGCGAACTGAAACTTCACAGCAATTTTGGAAATCGAAGTGATTTGGGATAAAAATAGAAAATTCTGAAAATCGCTCCTTCTTATATATTTTATTGAACGGTACTGTATGCATAATTGCAGAAATAGCACATTTCCAAATTAAAAATTGATGAGATCTCAAAATAAAAAAAAATCACATGATGGGACTGAAAAGAGAGCTATCCAGCTCTTTATACGGGTCTGCATTATTCGGCTTAGTCTCTTCCCATTCCGTCCAAATATTCTTACTACCTTCCTTGATCAACTTAGTTTTGAGATTCAGAAGTTTTGTGTCGTCTATTTCTTTCAACGCAGTTTCCAGCTGACTTTCACACTTTACAATATTGATACGGTGTTCCCGGTCCACTTTTATACAGTCTCTTATTATTTCGTATCTGAAATTGGCTTAATTGACTTCTTTAACTATTTTCTATTGCTTACATATTGTCGGGACAGTGCATTGGCTTAGAAAAATTGCCTGGAACAATTGGTTTAGTGAATTGGAACATTTCCAACAACAAAAGTCCGAAGCAGTAGACATCCGACTGAAAAAATATATTTTTTAAAAACGTGCGGCTATTTTTCATACCGAATAATAAAATGCCCCATCCTCACACTCTGCTGGATACATTGTAGGAATAGTTTTGTTTTTCATTGCGAAATGATTATAAATCTTGCGAGCAACACTTCGTTTCCCGATTTCTCCTTTTCTAGAACGTTCAAAATCGGTTAGCTTGCAAATCAGATTGTCAGTGATCAACACGTTTCGCATAGCCACATCTCGATGGGTGAACTGGAAAATGTAGATTTTTTTTTTGAATTTTTTCAAAAATCCACTTACTCCTTTCCCCTTCAAGTACTCCAACGCACGTGCTACCTGCCATCCAATAGATATCATATCGAATAGTGTAATTTTCAATTCCTTTCCTGATTTGTCCTAAAAATAGTGACTAAAGTACCGGCCAATAAGATATGCAAAAGTTTTTTTTTCAAGTCATTTGATTTGAGACCATTTTGATTATTTTCAGGAGCCTGGAGATCAACCGTCAAGTTTTCGATTGTTTTGAAACTTTTAGATCCTGTAAGACAGACCTAAATTGAAAACAAATCCTAGTTTTTTTCAGCAATTGGTCGATTTGTGATACAAAGGAGCTTTTTTTCACATTCTCAGTACAACAATGGGCCTAAACAGGGTGTTTTTCAGAAATCAGCGAATAGCTAAAAACTAGAAATTTGCAAAAATTTATGTCATTGCAAAGTTTTCAATTTAGACCTATTTTACACCATACACAGTTTGTAAAGTGATTGGAAACTGGACAGCCGAGCTCCAGGCTCCTAAAAATGGTCAAAGGACCAAAAATCAGCTGAAAAAATACATTTTGTATATCTTATTGAGCTTCCTCACCTTGCCATGGAACTTTTCCTCAATCAACGTGACTGGGAAAAACTGTTTGATATACTGCTCAAGGCATGTGTTTGGATAGTACGGTAGCACCATGTTTTTTATTCGTTTTTTGAAAAATCTGCTGAAAATTATACTAGTTGGATGCGGAGATAATTTATCAAACGACTCACCCATTGCTATCCAGACGAACATATCCCAATGGATCGATTATGTTCACGTGCCGCAAATTTTTCAGTATCATCAACTCCTTTTCACATTGAGACGCATTCTTAGAGCCTGGAAAGTGTGTTCCAGCAAAATTAAACATAACTAATATCTGAAAACTTACATTTTATAACAACCTTTCTTCCATTGGGCTTGTATGAGGTCAAGAGAATTTTCGAGGAGTGTCCCTCTGCAATTTTCTCCAAATCTCGTACGTCCTGAAATTCGATATGGTGTTGATCTCGAGTTTTGATTTTAAAAAACTCACTTTTGATATCAATAAATCTTCATCGCTGAATTTGCCTTGAACTTTTCTGAAAAGAAAATTTTTTTTGACGATTTATCAATATTAAAATTTTAGAAATAATATACGAACCTTTTCTTTTCATTCCATCTAGCGAACAGATTCAATAAGTAAATCAGCAAGGTGCCAATCGCACCAAATCCAAGCACAATAAATATTGTAAGGGTCTGCAAGATCCTTATTACTCGGTTTCCCATGTAATCGGTTCTATTGTTTCTAGTCTGATTCCTTAGCGCCACGACGTGCCTTTCTCTCTGAACTTTGCCCCAAGAGTCATGAAATACCATTCTTACATGTGACATATTGGCTCTAAGAGATCAAGATAGAGATTCCCAATCCTCCAGTCCCTCTACAGTCTCTAAACCCTGAATCATCCCGAATTCCAATGACGATTCCCATCGCCCCCACGGCTGCAGAAGCTCTAGGCAGCGGCTCTCCAAGATCTACACCATCTCTTATTAAATTCCTCGTTTTCCATTATCTATTTGTCAGCATTTCTGTAACCCCGCCCCAAATTCCATTTATTCCCCGTTTGTATATAAGCCCATTCATGTAACCCTAAAGTCACGTTTACACCTTATTCTTTTGTACAGGGCACAAGTCACCCTTTTCCCCTAAACCAAACCTAAGATTAGAGAATAAACCTATTTCATATCCATGAACTCTTATTATATGTTAGCTGAAAATTTTCGAGATATGATTTTTTTCAGTTCAAAATTCTCTTACCACTTCGTGCTCTCCGTTTCTGTCGAATGCAATTGCTTCAATTTCACCATTTTTCAAAAACACACAACTGAATGAATTCAAATCGGATGGATGTCTGATTTGAGAAATTGGGAAATGAATGTAGCCTTTACGGTCGGTGGAGGGCTGAAAGATAAACTAGTCTCATTTTTTCGCGGTTTTCACATTTGTTTTTCAATGTTTCTCTGTTTTTCAAAATTTTTTGATGCAAATATTTCGAAACTTTGAGAGCCAGAAAGTTCCGAGATTCCGAGAATCAAAACATCCCTGATAAGTCATTACCTGGGAACACTCTTCCTTATATGGACAGGCGATGATTACTCTGGTATTATTGTCTTTTAGGAAGTCTTCATTTGCATTGCAATAAATTGATATTAAAGTTTGGAATTTGTGCTGGAATTTTTTTTCGATTCATTCGGATTTTACTTTGAAATAAACTCACCGTTTGCATTTGAAACCCATCGACTTCCGCAGAACCTGGATAATTAAAACTAATCATTTCGTTTTCATACTCGCATTGATAAAAACTTTTCGAAGAGTGTTGGTTTCTATCCAGAATAAATCCCAAACTGCAAAGTTGGTTTTTTCTGCTGCATGACAATAGTTACTCACAATGGACTATAAGCAGTTTCCAGATTTTCTCCATTCTTTTTTAATTTCACATTTTTTGTATACGCACCACCCAGGCATCTCAGCTGAAGAGTAGAGTTTGTCTCAATCATTTCGGCATTTTTGAAAAATGTATTGCTTTCTGAAAAATGCAAACTAGGAAAATAGTTTTAAAATAGATTTTCGATTTTGTTTCTCACCTTGTACAAATATGTGAAACTTGAGAAATTCGCCGGTTGGTTGAATGCATTTCAAAGAACTATGCTCACTCTGAAAATGTTTCTAATAACAAATATTTGGAAGTATTTCAAACCCGAATCTGAACATTGGTATCAGATGAATCTGTGGTAAGATGAGAGGATGGTGACCCATTGTTGTAGTAGATCACGCATTTGATATCTAAAAACATTCGAAATGCTGACGAAAATCGATAAAATTCAAACCGCGGTCACATGCTCTGGTAAATTTCAGCTCTAATTTGTCGTTCACCTCGGAATTCAGATAGTTTTCTCCATTTTCTGTTTTCTAGAAACTTTGAATTAAATGTGATTTTTTTTACAGATTGACTCTCACATTCAATGAAACTGGAATGTGTTTTAGTCGAATCACAATGCACCTTTCTGGGGGCAACTTGAACTTTGTGTCATTAGAAAAACTAGCAGCAAGCTTTTTAAAGACGTTCGCATTGACTTCAGGAAAAATACAAAAGAAACAAAAAAATATAAATACTAAATTATTGTATCTTCTCATAGCAGGAAATGGTAGAAACTGGTGAGAGTAGACGGAGCAGCAGAATGTGATAAAAAAGTATTTACCAATGAGACATGATAAGGAAACGTGTGTGTTGCGAAAAAGAGTAGATGTTTGTGGGATGCTTAAAGAGTGTCTTTCATGATGTGATACGCATTCCATTTGTATCAGTATTGATATTTAAGTAAACTTGAGGAATTACTCTTTTTGATTGTCCGGTAATATAGGGTGGGGTCAATGAAGCCAAAGTTTTCAGATTTTATTTAGAAAAAGATAGTTTCGTCTAATATTTTTTCTACAGAAATCATCATCATGATAAACAAAAGGAGTGGGGTTTCTTTTTTCATTTTTTATGCCGTCCCTTTTCCCCAGAGGAAAAATTTGTAAGACCTTATTTGGTCTGCCTGAAAATCTGACAGATGTCAATCATAATTGGTTTCTCTAGAAACTCAAATATATGAAATAAAGTTTTTCGCATACTTGTAAAATTCCGGGCCGGCCCGCCAAAGCCCGGGCCTGAGGAAATTTTCAATGCCCGGTATCAATAACTCTGTATTTTTGAGCCAAATGTTGAGCTCTCAATATAATTTTCTCCCTTATGTGATTTTTTTTCGATTAAAAAAAATTTTTTTCGAGTTTTTTAAAATATTTTTGATAGAACAGACAAACAATCCAAAAAGCACAAAAAAATGGAAAATTGTATTGAGAGCTCAAAATTCAGTTCAAAATGACAAAATTTTTGCTACCGGGTCTCGAAATTTTCCTCAGACCCGGCCCGGAATTTTACAAGTATGGTTTTTCCCAAAAATAAATGCTTTGATAAAAATTTGCACTTTGAGCTCAATAATCTCGATTCCACGGAAATATCAAAAATGTGTCAACTGATATAATCTTTGTGATACCACAAAAGTTATTTCATCCGTTGACAGATTCTTGACAGTTCTTATAGGAACCGAGATAATTGAGCTTAAAAGCAAGTAGTGAGCGGTCAGCTCAGGCTAAGCTTGATTTGGCAGTGTTTCATTGAAGTAAAAACAGTATTTTTCTAATAGTCCTTCACAAAACGCTTTCAAAAAAGTAAAACAAAAAGGAGCAATCGAGTTTTGAAATAACGCATGATTTAAATTCATTTTTTGTTGTAGTTGGTAATTTTTTTGAAGCCAGTTCTTTGAATTCCAGAATCCTAGAAAGTCTCGGTTTTTCATCAACCGATTATTCTTCTCAGGAGACTTTGACCCACATTATAATGAAATTCAATTGAGCAATAAAAATTTAAACATTTCCAAATTTTTATGAGCAATATTTTCCAGACGTTAAACAAAGAATGACACCTCGTTAAAAAAATTTGAACTAAACTACATATTTTGGTCAAATGATACTTTGAACTGGGAAATTTTTCGGGTTTAGTCAGTTATTTTGGTCCTTTGTTTTTTTTTTAAATTTATTTCGTGTTTCTGTTTTTAATAATTTCGAGAAACGTTCAATATTCAGTTTCTGAATTTTTTTGACATTTCATCATTGTCGATGTTTTGTTGTCCGATTACCAAACAAAAAATTCAGAGGATCAAAAAAAAATACATCATAATGTTCCAAAAATATTCTTGCTGTCATGGTGTTTAACGTAGTTATTCCAGTATTTTTACCTCAAGAAACAACATGATGAGAACACTTGACCAATAACATGATTGATGTTCTCGAGAAACTTCTGAAAACCCATTTGTTCTGAAATCTGTTTATTTTTGAAAAGATACAGAGTCACAACAGACGGCAAAATAAATAAAAACATTGTTGTTTATTGGATAGCTTTTTCATAACCACGTTCCAGTTTTTTCGAGAACTTTCATTCCAGAGCAGACTGATCATTTTCTAGTCTACTCACAGGTGATTGGTCATAAAAAAATGTTGTCTTCTTGTTTTATCGCTATTTATGGTTTATCAAATGGCCCACATCTGTCAATCAAACAGTAGTTAAGAAGAATTAATTCAATGCTACTTCATAAAATCGAAGTACACTTGGAGGATGATAACGGCATCTGCTTTGATAATCATGCGATAAACAGGTGACACGTTTTTTTACTGGCTCCGCCCACTAGCTCCCACCCCAAAATTTCTAGGTAGTAACGCCCCACTTTTTCCGCCGCTCCATTCATTCCGTTTCCCCTTTGTGCTGTGGCACAAATGTTATCTCTTCAATTTCTAGCCATCTTTATCTTTATTACGAGTATCTTGTTAGTATTGCTGAAAAGAAGTTGGGGTGAGTCTTTGATAGATCATACGTTTTTTGCAGTGGAGAGAGAGCGGTATTTTGATATCTCCCTCTCCCATCATCTCTTTTTTCACATACATCAGCTGGTTGAAATTCTTCGGCCTTCAGACAAAAAAAAAGATGACACATGAAACAAAGTACACAAAGACATTGATCTTGCCAGTGGTGTGATTCTATTCTCAAATCTATTTTCTCTTCAGGATGTATCCCAATGATTCTAGTTCGAATTTTGGAGGAAGTTCTTGGAGGACTAGTGGGTTGGAAAGGTCAAGAAGAGACATTTGGAAAACGAGCATCTGATAAGAAGACTTTTCTAACAGTAGATCATCTTAAGAATAGTGAGAACTAGAGAAGTATGATTCTAAAACAAAGCTGTTATTTTCAGAAAACTTTGAGAATTCATTCGAAGCCTCTACAGAGCTGATTGGTCTGGGAATTCAGTCGATTTTACAGGTTGGTGTGTGCATTGATATTTTCTGATAAGAGTTCAAGTTTCACAACTTCAAAGTTTCAATTTTAACCTCCGCTTAAAGAAAGGGAGATAAATGATTTTTGCGCCACCGTAGTTCAGCTTAAACGCGCATAATTCGGAGGGTACAACGATTCGGGGTACAAGGGGGTACTAAGTGATTTAAGGGTACAAACCTACAATTTGGGAGTACAAAGTTCAAAACTTGTCAGATATTTTGTGTCTCCGAATTTGAGATTTTGTGCCGCAAAATCGCTTTGTACTCCTATGACAGCAAAAATGTTATATTCTTTGAACTATTTGCCCAACTAGAAGCGGATTGGCAACTCCAACGTTTGGCCCACATGTTGAACTCCTCAAGGGGATGATATGAACGGAATTTCGAGAAAAAAACATTTTTTCATGACACCCACCTTTTAAATTTAAAAAAATTGAAATTATTTTTTCCAGGACGATCTGACCAGACCATTCCAAATTGAAGAAGAAGAAGCATCACTATTGCATTTTCCAAAAGAAACTCTAAACTTGCCATTTTACGTATTTGGTCTTGGTTTTCGATGGGGATTTTTATTCCCCATCCGTGTATGCTTTATGGTATTCTCCGTTTTGTTCCTGACGATTTCATCGGTGATATGTGTAATTTTAAATGCTGAAATGAAATATTGTGAGTTAGTTTCAAAAAATAATTTTATATTGGTTTTAAATATATTGATTTTCCAGTCCGGTATTGTGGAATCACATTTGCGAAACTCTTCAATCTTTCCACTGGCCTAATTGTCAATTTTCATGATAAGAAAAATCGTCCAAGAGTCCCAGGTGATTCCTTTCCTATCTCGATTCGGACAGTTTTGACAGTTTTATTGCTTTTCCAGGAGTGGCAGTCGCCAACCATCTTAGCGCCAACGATGTGATGACCATCTATTCTGGGTGTGATTATGATGGAGTGGGCTACACAATCACAGGCCAGTCCCATGGAGGATTCGTCAAATATTTGTATAAATATGGCGGCAAATTGACCCCTCTTCTTTTGGTGGATCGAGCATGTGATAAGAATCGAAACGCTCTACTTCAGGCGATTGTTGAGCATTCTAAGAAAACTGAAAAGGATACTTATCCAGTGCTTTTGTTCCCAGAAGGATATTGCTCAAACAACAAAGCAGTATTACAATTTAGGAAAGCGATTTTTAATGGGGAAACGGCAATTTATCCGATCGCGATGAAACAAAATTCCAGGTATGTTAAATCTTGGTTTTTTACATAGGTAATATACATGATTCCGATAGTTTCCGATAAAAATATTCCGAAAAATAATAACTTTTCAAAATTAAAATAACAACGACAGTGTATCGAATGAGAAGAAAAATTATTTTTTCAGTGGAAAACACCGTAAAACCTGTAATAGATTGGTTCATGCACTATCGTTTTTAAACTGAATTTTCTCGACTCCCTGACAAGATATCGAAAATGTGTCAACTGATAAAATGTTTGTGATATTATGATAAACAATTCACCAGTTTACAACTTTTTTGTACCTGCCACAGGAACGAAGATAATTTGGCTTAAATTTGAAAGTTAGGCAGCCCTACTATTACAAGTCTTACGGTAGTCAACTTCAAAGGCCTCAAAGTCAATTTAAGAGACTTTTGCAAAATTCAGAATATACTAGACATAAAATAACATCTTTTTTGCTGGAATGAAAGTTTTAACCAAAAAAAGTATTGAACATGCAAAAAATTAGCACTGAAATGCAATGTTGCAACTTAAAAACCGCGTATCTGGTTTTGTTAGATTTGTACAAAAAGTTACCCATCACAAAACTGAAGCTCTATATTTGTTCAGTACGCTCTGAAACTTTCAGTAAATTTGAAAAAAAATTTGGACAACTTTTCAGCCCTTTAGAGTGGACAACCTACCACTGAAAAATTCGAAATATGAAACACATTTTTGACCGATACTGTGAATGAAACCCCATTCAAGCCTAATGATTTCAGATTCGGTGACGCCTTCTGGGCCGAAGACACCTTCATTCCTTACCTCATCCGAATCATGACTTCCTGGTGTTCCATCATTGACATGTATTATTTGCCAGCCATGTACAAAGAGTCATCAGGTTAGTGTCATCTGACCATCTCCCTTCACTTCTCCTTTCAATCAGTTAATTAACTTTCAGAAAACGAAGAACAGTTTGCCAAACGTGTTCAGTGCGCGATTGCAGCGAAATTGTCAGTGGATGCGTTGCCATTTGATGGAAAGCTGAAAAGTGAAAAGGAACGAGAAAAGTACAAAGGAAAACTGCAAGCGTGTTTAGCAGAGAAATTGTAGGAGAAACTGTAGAAGAAACTGCATTGATGACAGCCCGAAGAGGAAACCACTTTATTCATTTTACGTGAATTGTTGTATTTGTATCTATACTAAATTGTAATAAACCATATTCTTGCCATTATTATGTCTGTATATTCCAGAAAATTCGCTTATCAGACTGTTTTGTTTTCAGCAGGTATCATAGTTTTTGGAATACGAAGCTTTTGAAAATTAATATAAGCAATTATTAGGTTGAGCGAAAAATCTTTGCAATTTTTCTTGGGCCGTCATATCTCAGCGTTGGTTTAACTTTTTATTATTCTGTTTTTTTTTCTACATTGTAGTACTAGTTGTGAATGTTTAAAAGTTTTACTAAAATTACCGACAGCGTCCATAATGACCGAGAATTTGCTCACAGACCACTATGCTTTCAGGAGTGCTTTTTTGTACGAGTTTCTCCAAGGTCACAAACGCAATGTAGGCTGTAGTAAATTGTGTACAGTGTTAGGCGAGAATTCTATGTCCTACACTACAATAAAGTTTTGGTTCAAAAGATTCTCCGAAGAGAACTACGATCTCGAAGATCCGGTATACCTTGTGTTGATCTCAACAAGGATATCTCTAGATCGCTGGAAGGTAAACCAAGAGTAACGTCACGCAAGCACTTAGCGAGTTTCAACCGTCCTCAAAAAACCATCATTGATCATATTCACGAACCTGGAAGAGTGCGAAGATTGGTCAACTCGTACTTCAAAATTTGAAAGTTTCGCAAAACCCATCGAGTTGCGACTTGGAACATTCTTGGGTTCCTATGGAACGTAGCACCAATTGAGTTGAGAATATTTTCACTGGGGACGAGTAGAAAAAGACGATGGGTCCCGGCCGAGGAAACCGCCGAAACGGACATCAAAGGAGAACTTCACAACGTTATGTTGTTCATTTGGTGGGACAGTGAAGGCGTTATCTTCAGAAGACTTTTTCTAGACAGCGTCACTACCAATGCGGGCTTCGGCTGCACTCAAATGGAAAAAGTGTTACAGGCTTATCGATTGAATTGTTCGAAAAATTACAGCTTGTTGATGATTGATGACATCGCAAGACCACCCACTACTTTGAAGACCCGTCAGAAGCTCCGGATGCTCAGAGTCAAGGTCTTCTGTCATCGACCGTATTCACTAGACCTTGCCCTAACTGAATAGCATTTAATCCGTTCCCTGAATAATCACCTTGGTAGGAAAAAGTTTCATGATAGGAAGGATGTCGAAATGTGGTTGGATGACGTTTTCACTTCCCAGTCTCCCGAGTTCTACGCTAATGAAATCACTCAACTCCTATCACGTTGGCAAGTAGTCATTAATACTATTGGTGAATAAATCACACATTGAAATTTGTTTTCTTTGAATAAATTTTGTTCCGAAAAAAAATCAAAAAATTACAAAGACTTTTCGCTCAACCTAACAGAACATCTTAGTGGAAGTATTAAATTATGCCTGGTGTTAATTAGCTTTTTTAAAAATATATTTAAAATGTGTTGTTTCAATTTCAAAATTTTCCTTATATTTTTGTTGTTATTGGAAAACACACAAACAGAAATTTGATGAGAAATTATTTTTTGCTCAAAAATTTGCTTAACTTGTTAATATTGATATATAGTCACGAATTTTGAAGGAGAATTTTTCTTTTTTTAAAGAAAATAGTGGAAAAAATTGGAGTTATATTGAAGGATTCCTGTAATAAGAAAACCTTTTGGATGTACCTCGAAACAATTTTAAAAGTTCAAATGTTTTTCAAAAATAGTTTTTTCGAATAAAGTACTGAACGAGATAATTGAGCTCAAAGTTCAATCTTTTTATTGGCGTTAAATTACCTTGTTAACTATTTAAAAGTGATTAGAAAAACACATTGACCTTGTTAAATTCTAAATTTGCCTTTATCCATATCAATTTATTCACCTTCCAGCTACTCTATCCATCCTATCCGTCATTATGATTTTTGCGACATTCCCATTTTTCTATGCCTATTTTGCTAAGGTAAAAATGGAACTTCTCCACGAGATGAAGACTTGTAAGGTGAGAGTACAGTAACCCATAATTTTCAAAGACGACTGATTCCCAGAATTCTGCTGTCAATGTGTTCAACTTTGTCAATGAAGTTGAATATTTCGAGCCGAAACGAGAGCGGCTTTTGGATATTTCGCAATGTCAAGCGAAACCGGAGAGAAGTTTTTTATTGGAGTGATGGAGTTCTTTTTTCATTTTACGCGTTATAAATAAATGATTGACAAATTTTGTTTCGTTGTTTCAAAAAGCTTATTTCAAAAAGATGTAGAAAAGCTTTTTTGAACTTTACTGCACACCAAACATTTCATTTTCTGACATATGGTTTCCTTGGAAACATGACATTTTGATTGAGATTGACAACATGGATTTCCACTTTTCACCACTTTTCAAACTCCATTCATATTCTCTGACTCCCAAAGATTGACATCAACTCTACGACACAAATATTGCATTCGCCTTCTTCGTCTTCTTATTTGTAAAGATTTCGGAGGGAAGATGCACCAAAGATAGATGTCTCAGTATGCAATAAAACGAATCTCATGGACCACACCCCCGGCGGCTCAACTTATTCGCGACAAAAAGTATATCTTGCTGCACATGTTCTTGAGACGGGATGATTTTTTTGGAATGTGGGAAAAAAAACATGGCCATCAGATGAGGCGATAATCTCCAATTGGGGATTTCGAGTCTCGAGAATTTATATAGTTTTTGGTTAGATGGATTTTTTGACAAGTACATGCTAAAGCACTTCCTTTTTTTTTTCTTCTGTCCATCCAATCTCATCTGAACATGACATTTTACATATATCTCATTTCTAAACCAATTTTCGTTTTCTTCTTTGAATAAAACTACTACAACACTTTTCTCTGTCTCACCTCCTTTTTAATCCTCCCCTCTCGGATTTCGAGAGCTCAGAGGCACGTGTCGTTAGAGACAACAATGGAAACAAGAAGGATCGTCTGTCGTTTTTCCGCCCTCCCGTTTTCGAAAAACGACCAGACCTTTCCTGTGTTGGTACATGAGAAGGAGCGTGTTACTGCCCCATTTTCTAAACTCTGTCCCCAATTTTTCTCCTTCCCATCGGTTTCGTTTGAGTTGTAATCTTTCATGTTTATGTTCTTCTCTTTCACTCCACGTCGTCAGTGTGAGTGTTTCAATTTTAAACGAGCCCCTTTTTCCCCGCAACCAACCCGCTCGTTTCTCTTTTTGTACCCACAAGTACCCTTCGGAATGTCTTTGTAGTGATGTGAAATACTTTGACTTCCTATTTGGGGCGGGAGAGGGGTATCTCAGAATGTGTCCCGCATGCTTTTAAGTTCATTTTATTATCTTCATGGGTGTGAGGGGTGTCAGGCCAAAGCTTTCAAAAAGATGAAGAGCCGATAACCTTTGACCCTCTTCTTAGTTTTCTCACTTATTTTTTCATATACATATAAAAGGGGTACATCAATGTCTACCATCTTGCCTTTCTCACTTTAAAAAAAGCTTCAAAATCGTAATAAAAATAGAGCCTTTTTAAGAAATTTGTTTTGATTTTTTCTGATTTTTCAGTTATTAATTTCGCAAAAACATCCATTTTTAAATATTTTGGATATTTGAACTAAAAAACGTTTATTTTTTTGGAATTCCGGAACTTTTGACTTTTGAATTTCAGTTTTTCAAAATTCTAGATTTATAGAAAAATATCTCAATTTTCGAGCTTTCAGTTTTTTGATTTCCGGAATTTCTGAATTTTTTTATTTTTCACATTTTCTGTGTCCCTGGCTGCGAAATTCTTGGAATATATTCCGTGATCCCGGTCTTCTTCAGTCTGATTTTTGAACAGGAAAGGGATTTTCATGAAATTCCAGTCTGCTACGATATCCTGCTTTCAGCTTGCTACGATATTCTACTTTAACGCTAATCTCGAAACTTTGAGGTCTGAATAATTTTTTAATATTTTCAGAAGTTTCAGAAAATTTTCAAGATAAATTCAACATTTCAATTTTTCCGAATTCGACTAACAGTTTTACCAATATTTTTACGAAAAAAACCCATAATATTAAAATCAATTGAATGTGATCAGGTGAGGGTTAAAGAAACGGTGATTTGGTTGCCCGTTAAGCCATTTGATTCTCTTCCCTCCCTGATTTCCACATGAATAGTTTCTTCACATCACCTTCTTCCTCTTCTCTTCATTTCTATTTTTTTCAAGTTTCCCGTCATTGATCGGTTAACATTTCGCATATCTTAGCTTTTCATCTGTCAAACAACCTTCTCCCCTCCCAAAAATAGTGCATTTCACTTGTTTTTTCTCTGCATTTCCTGAGTCGATCTAATTGCTTTGCCAACTCTTTTTTTCGCTCTCCACCCATAAACTACTACTCGAGCTAACACATTTATTGCATCTAGAGAGAGTCTCGTAGGATTCTTCAGAATTTATGATGATTCTCGGTTCAATTCCTCAATTAATATTTAAGAAGAGGTCCTATGTTGGTCAATTATTCATCATTGTGACTTTCTCGATGCGCTGTTTCTGTTTCATGCTTAACAATTACATTTTTTGTTCAAAATTTTTGTAGCCTTAATTTTCAGACGGATGATTCTCCACTATCTGGTGCTACTAGCTACGATATCTTCGGTAGCTTCAATAAAATGTCATTCATGTCTCACTTTTTGTAAAACATTGAATGGGAAAGTGGGTGTTAATTGCAGTTTTTCTGGAAAATCTAGTCAACGCCTACTACAAAAAGCTGCTTCATTTCCAGGTGGATCCGATAAACTGTGACTGTAAATCGCCGCCCAATGAGCAATGCACAGCAAATGCGTGTTTTGCAAAAGTAGAGCTGTTCGCCGACGAGGCAACCGCCATTGTTCAGGTATGAACACTCAAGTGGGGGCTCCTCACTTTTTTATGATCATGGAAAAAATGAATACAGACACAAAATGTTTGTAGAAAGGTTGCATATCGGATTTCCCGGCTGGTCAGAGAGGTTGTCAATATGCGAGCAACAAGGACACGATACATTGCTTCTGTGATCAGGATCAGTGTAATACGCGACATAAGGTAATTGATTCATGATTATAGAAATAATTATTATGACTTGGAAATGGGTAAACCCTGTAGTACCGTGAAACCCGTAATAGAAAGGCCTCATAACTTTCAACTTTGAGACATTTTTCGTGGTCCCTGTCAATGATAGGAAAAAAATTGTAACCTGATAAGTTGTTCATCATACTATCCGACGCATTTTACCAATTGACGCATTTTTTATTATTTGCGCATAAATTGAGATTAATTGATCTCACACTTTAAAGTGTGCGGGCATTTTTTTCCTGGTAGAAGCTCACCCAAACCGTCAATTTTGAGCTCAATTATCTCGGTTCCTCTGAATGTGTCAACTGATAAATTATTTATCATGATATCACTAACATTTTATCAATTGGGCTTAACGTCCACAAAGATTCTATTAGTGTATTACAAAAAACGAAACAAAAATTTATCAGAATTTTTTTATTTCTCATTTTTGCACTTTTGATATTTTTTAAACTTCGAAATATTTTTTCCATCTCTCTGCAAAAAAATCCAACAAAAAGAAATTCGACACTTTTAATTGGATTAAATTAACAAAACTTTTCTGTCAAAACTAAAAAAAGTGTCCCAAACATTTCCCCCCCCCCCCCCCCCAAAGTTAATTATAGAACATTCCGAGAAAGAAGAGAAAGACATTTTGGAACTTTTTCTCGACAGAAAAAGAAGGGACACTGATCTAATTGAATTTGCAGTTGGGCAGCTACATTCCGGAGCATCTTCCGCTGGTCAAATGTTGCGATTACACTTCCCGTCATGGTGAGGATTCCGATTCGGAGTGTTCAAAGCCGTGTACAGGGAATTATTGTGTTGTGGATTTTGATGGGAAAGAACAGGTAGACAATGAAAAACAATGCTTGAAAAACTGAATTTTGGTATAATAGGGCTGTGGAGTGGGCTATCCAAGACTGCCATCATTTCTTCGTGTCGATGATTATATGGATTATGAAGGAGACTACTTGTGTACCAGGTAATTCAAAAAAGACCCCCTCAGTTTTCCAAGATCCTAAAAAACCTTCTTAGATACGAATCGAGCGCGTCGAACGTGATGAATGGTTGCGTGTGCACACACCCATCTGGCATGTGCAATGAGTTCAATAAAACCTTCAATTACCAGGTCTTTAGCGCTCTTTTGGGGTCTCATCTGGCGTTTTTTGTTTCAGAAGAAACACGTGATTGAAAGGAAGAATGAGAATTTGCACTATTGCTATGCACTGATGCACAAAGCGTACAAACCGTTTGGACAGGAAGTTTTCAAGAAGTATGAATAAAGAATTCTTGAGAAAACATCTTAAAATTCAAATTTTCAGATCATCAACCTGTGAAGGACACTACTGTTTCATTTCCCTGACTACATCTGAGATAGTGCTAGAAAGTGCAGATTTCAAACACAACTATGAGGACCATGACGAGTTTGTTGGAGCCGCTAGACCCCGTTTTGAGCTACAAGCCGGTTGTGTTAAAGTTAATGGAGAGGATGTACAGTACCTAATAAAAATTTTAAATAGAAATGAAATTGTTCAGAAAGTCCAAACCGGATGTACGGTAGAAACACAAGGCAACAACTCGGAAATTCTAGCCAAACATTGTATATGCGACAGTCATCTTTGCAATTTTCATCATTTGGTTCGAGGGACAGAGGATCCGAGGCCGAAGGCGGTAGTGCCAGGATTGAAGCAGGTATATACAGTACCGGCCAATACAAAAACGTTTTTCAGCTGACTTTCGAAATTTTTATAATTTTCAAAATCTTAGAACTCGGCTGTCGAGTTTCTAATAAATTTGAAAACGTTGTTAGGATAGAACAAACCTAGGTTGAAAACTTTGCATTCACATAATGTTTCGAAAATTCCAAGTTTTTCAGCTATTCGTTATTTTTTAACCTTTATAGCGTTCTCCAACCTGGGATTTCTGGGAACAGAAAACGGTCCATAGTCACACCCAGATCCCTAAAATGATCAATTTGAAAGATTTTCATAGTTGAAACCGGTGCGCCCGTAAAGCCCTAGCGCGAAAATTCCAGATTTGGGACCTTTGGACAAATAGCTGAAAACTTAGGGATTTTCAAAAACTTCTGCGAATGAAATTTTTAAACCCAGGTCCCTTAAAGCCTCCAAGTTTTCGAAGTGATCGGAAACTGGACAGCCAAGCTCCAAAATCCTGAAAATGGTCAAAACTATCGGAAATCAAATGTTGTTGTGTATATCTTTTCAACCGGTATTTTATAGTTTTTAGACGCTTTTTTGAAGTTATTTTTTACAACTAGGGTTTTTTTAAATCCTCTTTAGAAACGAAAAAGTGTTACAAGATTAGTTTTACACTACATCTTCTCGTTTGGCTTCTCTTCGGGCCATCTCATAAATCATCTGAACTTTTCTCGGAGAGACCAACAACCGAAACATGATTACAGACGACGAGCCAGTTGAATCCAGTTCGGTTGTACACAACGAATAAGGAAATAGATGAGAATGATATACTTTCCGTGATGAATGGAGTGGGAAATTTCTGGAAACTCGGCGCTTTTCTGTTGACGCTTTTGATTTGTGTTTAGTTTGATATTCCAGTTTTGTTTTTCATTTTATCATGGCCCCAAAAACAATTCCCGATTCACAACTTCTTACGGTTATTTTTTTTCTCCCACCGCTTGTTTATTCTTCTCTCTTTTTCTTCCAAATTCCATAAGTTGCATACCTCTTGTTTTCACAGAAATTCAATTTTTTGAAATAAAATAAATCTTTTATAATGTTTAAAAAAATCAAATTGGAATGTATTCGTGTCAAAGAATCAAAAACAATTAATGAGATAAGTAAATGAGAAAAAAAAACTAATTAAAAAAATTATTAAATTATTTTGGAAAAAATAAGTTAAAGGTTGTTCACTGAGAATTTGAATACAATAACTGAAAAAATTAACAAAACACGCAAAAGAACAAAACGGAGCATTTTTTGAAAGCAGTGGAGGAAAAGCTAGCAGCAAGGAGCAAAATTTAATGAGAAAAACAGATATTTAGAGAGGAATAGCACGAGAGGAGATATGAAAACAAGATTTTTTTTTTCGAATTTCTTCCCAAAACTGGAAGGGGTCATGTTGACTAGCACAATGGAGAAAGGAAGAAAGACACAATTGCGTGAGAAATTGAAATGGAACATTAGAAAATAAGTTAATTTCTAGGTATACAGATGGAACTCGTAGGATTTGGCTATAGAGCTTCCACTCCTCTGCAACTATGTTTTTTTGCACATTTTTTTTTGTTTTTTAGAGATCAAACAATACTGCAAGACAGTTTTTTAGAGCAAACACACCAAATTGTAGTACCAGTATCAAGGGAGAGAGAACAGGTTAGTGATTTTTGTAAAGGTTTTTGAATTTTTAGCACCAAGTGGAACGGCAAAATGGGTTAGAAATAAACTGCAATCCAAATCCGTTATGGCATTACCGGGTGAGAGTCGGTTTGGAGGCGATGATCGTTGACGAGATTAATGAACTTCTTTTCGAGGAGCTGAAAATTGTATTTTTTTGAAAGGGGTAATTTTCTTTTGATAGGGTTGATTTTTTGTGCGTCAATTCTGAACGGAAGTCATTTTTTTTCTTTTTTTTAATATTTATAACGAATAAAGCGCTTTTAACGTTTTTATCAACTAAAATAGGTGTCATAGAACTGGGCAAGTCCAAAAAAAGAACATTTCAAATAAACTTTATGCTCAGGGATTGTCGAAATGGTATTTTGGGTTTTTTGGAATGTCAGAAATTTCAAAGTTTCGGAATTTCGCTTTTCTATCACCCAAACACGAAAAATCGGTTAGAAATTTGACAAAAAGCTCGAAAAACGCGAGAAAAATATTTAAAGTCCGTCAAGGCAATGGGACTTGTTTGCGTCTTTGTCATACCGTAGTTCGAAAAGCTTTAAATCCGAAAAAAAATAATTAGGAAACGTCATATTTCAAAATTCGGTCCAAAAATGGTCGGAATTCCAAATTTCTTCTCTAAAATCTCTGACTACTACAATATAATTTTCTTAAATGAATTGTATTTTTATAGTTACACGCAAACAAAAATCCCTACTTTTACGGACAATTTTTTTGGCCACACAGGCCACATGTCAAAATATTTTGAACATGATAAAACATACGGTTTCGCCAGCTTCTGCTCATTTTTAATTTTTGCAGAGCATAATTGTAGTTTTACCTGTCTATTTGCTATATCCTGGGATCCTACTTGCAATGCATATGCAAACGCTGAAGCATCAAAAGTTTCATCCAAGGCTATCAGCGCTCCGTGTATTCCGCTATCAACCAGATTTCTTGAAAATGCACCCAGTCCAATTTCCTCTACCCATCGTTGAACTCGTTCATTTGACCAGACGAGCAAGTCTAGGAAAATAAAGTGAATTATTATTTCAATAAAATTGCAAATTACCTGTATTAATATTCTCGCATGCTTTTCGCCGTTCCGCCAACACTTTCTTATCATAATTGACTTTCTTCAGACACATTATGCCGTATTGGAGACTTGTTCGATGGAATGTGTCCACCATACGGAGATGTGTGCGTAGGTCGCGTTTTGATAAATGTTCCAACATACGCGCGTCAAGGAGACATTCCATGAACGCAGAACGGTATTGCGCAAGTCCGAGACTGGGTAACCAGTCGTTCCCGATGTATTCGTGATTCATGTCGCCAAATGCAAGCGTAAGACGGGCGGCTCGTGGAGCTGATGGAGAGGTGAGAGAAACCATTTCCTATAAAATAGGGGGATTGATGAAAGTATGAGCTCTTCATGGATTCAACGGTCCGACGATGGTAATTTTTGAAAATGACTTCAAAAAATATAGGTTTGCTTGGTGCCATAGAAAAACATGCTCCCTATGAGAACTTCAGGGTTCAATTTAAAAAACCACGGTTTCTTTGAGAGTTTTTTTAAACTCTCAATTAGACCGTAATTTTTTCATGGAACCGGGAATAACTCCCTAAGACCGTTATTTTTGAGAAGAACCGTATATTCTATCATGAGACCGTAATTTTCCTATTGGACTGTACATAGTGTTTCATGAGATCGTTAAATTATTGTTGGGCCGTCAAAGTAATAAAAACCCGAAATATGTATGTTCCATGAAGCTGAATTACAGTTATCAGTTTGATTTGGCGAAGTTTGGCGAAGTTTTGAAAAATTCTCCAATTTTATGAGGTAATCATTATTTTTAATATTATAAAAAGAAACCAGCTCATATAACTACGAAAGTTGTGTACTGATTATTTCGAATGGAAATTTTCAACATTTTTTCAAAACTTCATAATTTCAAAGGTTGCTTACCTGAATAGCGAGCCTCAACTTCAGCCGATGTAATGGGTTTGAAATCCCAATCTCCTTCTGAATCTCCTGATCACTCAACGCTGACATAATGGCTCCTGACTTAACGTTGGCCCTACACGCCGCCACATACCACGCTGGCATGCCGACCCATAATTCCAACCAAGCTACAACAGTCGGCCCATTCCATAACGCAAACGGAGTCCTCGCTTTCATCGCTTCTTCCAAAAGTTCATGCTTCTTCTTTTTCCTCTTATCATAGTCAGCTTTTTGAGTTCCTTCGGTCCCTGACTGCTCGCCATCCGAGTAGTCTCCGTTTCTTCTGCAAAATTATTTTCGAAATGAAATTTCGAAATCAAAATCCCAAATAAGCTTACTTGAATAGGTCACTTGATGAATTCTTCTTTTTATTGAAAAACCTTCCTAACGTCTTCAAACCACTTGAGCTATTCGATCTCTTTTTCTTGCCACCGAGACCATCTGTCGAGGAAGCCACGGATGACGCGGGACTCAAGCGATCTCTTTCATATTGCATCTGCAAAAGAAACTGCGGCATTAATCATACTCAATCTTTTCCCGCCGTCTTTAGATGTCATACCTCATCGAATTGGTTATATCCACGACGCGGCTCGTAGTCTAAATCCCGCACCATACGGTCATCAACAAACTGGGGATTGCCATAAATGTCATATCGGCGGTCGCCTGTGACATTGGCCGGCAGCTGAATATACAACAATTGAATTACAATTCTTAATTACAATTAGGCGTCCTTACGGTGTTATACTTGTGTTGTCGCATATCTTCCAATCGGGGACTTGCTCGAGGGGAACTTCTTGTAGATATTCCTTGATCATCATAAAACTCGCGACTTGATCTTTCAAGCTGCTCGGCTACTCGTTCAGCGTGATGCTTTTCTTGTTGGATTAATCTAGAAAAATTGGAACTAGCCTTTTTAATTAAATTCTGATTACTATGATAGCTATGTTTTAGCTCCAAAAAAATCAATTAAAAATCTTACCGAATTTCGGTATTAATCGCGTCTAATCGATCTTGCAGCATCGAAGCCAACATATGGGCATCCTGGCCGCCACCTTGTTGCATATTTTGTTGCATTTCTTGTTGTAATCCTCGTTGCATAGCCATCATTTCTTCCTGGGAGTGTTGTTGGACAGCGGTATTGGGCCTTGGAAGTGTCGATTGACCAACATCGGCAAGTGATGGAGAGGAAGAGAATGCTTGTTGGACATTTGCAAGAACATGAGCTTGTTGAAGACGATCCCATTCTTGTTCATTGAGTGTTTGCACCTTGTTGGGGTCGTCCTGAAATTTGAAAAAAAAAATGAGTTCATTCAATCATGAAAAAGCAAAAATTTAGCAAAAATCGTTAAAACTTGGTTCCCCAAATTCGAATATTTAAGAATGAACAAAAGATTTTCCAAAAAAGTGAAATCAAAATTTTACGAAAAGTTGAATATAGCCACAGCTAAACTAAAATATGCTCTAAATTAAGAGAATTTGATTTCAAATAATGAAAAATGATCACCTATGGTATAAAAGCCTATGGTAGGTCAAGCTTGAGCTCAAAAAGTGAAATGTGCTGAACTTATTTGGAGCTAATCACAGTTTGTTTAATTTAAATGTTTTGTAATTACTAAAATCAGCTAAAATTTTCAACAATTAGGCAACAAATGGGTTGCGCATGATAAAATGACCTGGCATGACTCAGAACCAAATTTAAAGAAAAAAATATTTCAAAACCTAAACCTAAAAACTTAAAAATAATTTTAAGTTATTCAATATGTTGGAACTTCCTCAAAGTTCACTCAAATTGTCTCAGTAAAGCCTAGAAAATGTCTAAACCAAATATGATGGTCTATAACTAAACAATATGAGCTAGACATTTAAAAAAATGAATTAAATCAAGCTTACTACAGAATATTGCCACATATCTGTTTCTTCTAGTGGGAGTTAGGTTTTTAGTAACATTAGTGAACGGATTTTTCAAAAAAAAATTCCAACGGGGATTCCCAAAAACAGTTTATCAAGCAAACCTATATTTTTTGAAGTCATTTTCAAAAATTACCAACCTGCAACGCCGCCATCCGTCCCTTATTATTCCTCCTCATACCAACAGTTTGATATTGTTGGTTTGGTTGCTTGTAAACCGAATAAGCACTTTGCTGAGCAATCGAAGTCGGAGGTGGTGCTTGAACAATAGTTGGAGCATGTGCGTACGGAAGGGCGTGCATCCTGGAAAAAAATGTTGTTTGAAATTGGCACAACCCACGTTCTAATTCTACCTTGATTGGAATTGTGCGGTCCTTGCGTTGTACAACTGCTGTCGCAATGCTTCAATTTCTTGTCTCAACGATTCGTTATCCCTCTGTAGACGATCTTTGATGCGCTCTGCTTGATCGTAAATTTTCTTCGTGCCATCGAGCTGTTGAGTAAGACGGTTTTTGTCATCCAGCGCTTGCATTCGTTCTTTGAGATGGAGTTGCAGGCGGTCGTTGGATTCAGATAGCAGCTGAAACATGAAATTATATTTTTAAATAACTTTTTCAAAAATCCTACTTTATCCACAGTGCTACTCAGCCTCTGGCTATGCTCTTCATTCATCCGCTCTCTTTGCACAGCTCTCTCCAATTCTGCAGTGAGTTCCTGGATATTCCGATCCAACCTCTGAATGCGTTCTTCCGCGGATACACTCTTCTGGAAAAATAAAAAAAAAATTGAAAAAAGAGGACCGAACTGCAAAACGAAACCTGTTCAGCTGCGGTAAGCGCCTCCATTCTCTGTTGCAATTCAGCTTCAACTGACGGAAGGGACTCTGCCTTTTTGAGACTCTGCGCGAGTTGCTTCTCTGCCAATTCCAATCTTTCTTGAAGAGAATGCACCTTCTCCTCATTCAACCTGACAGCCGCATCCTTGTTGGCGAGCTACAAAATTGAGTTTTTCTTCCCTTTTCTTTTGGTCCAAAAGCCCTACCTGATGCTCCAATTTGTCATTGAGATCCCGGATGCATGTCGACTCGCGTTGAGCGGTCAGGAAACGCGACTCAAGCGTGGCTATTCTTGTATCTTGGTCGGTGCGTTGGGCATCAAGCTGAATAGAAAAGGATATACACTTTAATTGTATATCGGGGGCACGACACACTCATTCATCATTATTAAGCGCGTACCTCACAAATTTGGTTCTTCAGACGGGCTATGGATTCTTGAGCGGCATGCTTCTCACGAGCGTTTTCAGCGATTTGCTCTTCGAGTTCGGCGTTTCTGGAAAATAAACTTTATTCGTCAGATCCCGCATTAAAGCACTATCACCTTGTTGTGACTTCATTCGATTGTTTCAAAGAATTCGCCAGTTCCGTCTTCATCCTCTCCAACGCTTCCTGCATTTCAATGAGTCGGTTTGCACTCTCACTACTCAGTGTACCATTGGTACGCGCGTTTGACGCCTGAAAATGGTTAGAGATACACAAGACGCTTCTTTTTTTTCAATGAATAATTACCAGTGCCTCTTCGGCTTCCGCGGCATAATTGGCAATTCGAGCTTTCAGCGCCGCATTCTCCTCTCCTTTTCCGTTGACTTCCTCCTCAAGTGTCGCCACACGCTCCATCGCGGCTCGAAGACGTTCACGGACCTAAATATGCCAAGGGGAATATTAAATAAAGGGATTGTATAGCAATTACCTTTTCATCGAGGGCTTTGTGATGTTCAAACAGACTTTTCAGGGCTTTCAGCACTTCTACTTCAGAGGAGACACCAGCATGATTTTGGGCTTGTCTCTGGAAATTTACTCTTTAGATGTTGAAAAGTTTCCGGTGTCAAAAAAACTCACTTTCATAACTGTCATCCTTAAGGATCGCTCATGTCGGGATACTAAGCACTCCAAATGTTCTAACAGTAGCCTTGTATTATTTCTCTCGGCCTTCAGCTCAACTATTTCTTCATCTTTTTCCAATAACTGCTCTTTATGAAGACATAGTTCTCGTGTCATGGTTTGTAACTCCTGAAATTTAAATGAGAATTGGGTAGAAAATTTTTCAAAATTATACTACAGAAAAAAACAACGAAAATTTGGGGGTACGCCGATCCAACGGCATTCAACTGATTTAGAGGTACAAAATACATAATTCAAGGTACAAAATTCCTCGCAAAATAGTATTTTTTGTATTGCTGAGGTGAAATTGTATACCTCAATGAAGTTGCGACACATTTGGAGACAGAATTTCAATTCAGAAGGACAAAAATAATTCACGTAAAATGTTTGTACCCTCCGAATTATGCGGATTTTTCAAAATCATACCTGAGGTAAATTCTGAGTGTGCACTTCAAACTGTCGCTTCATCATATCTCGCTCTTTCTCCACTTCTTTCGTCCGCATCCCCTGATTCTCCAGCTGAATCTTAACAGTTTCCAACTGCTCCTGCAACTTATCTCGGTCTTCCAACATGTTCATCATCAACTGCAAAAAAAATTAAAATTCACAGATACAGGACACATTGATACCTGTTCTATATTATCTCGATCCGATGGCTCATCGAGCGGACCGCCGTTGTCCACTCCATCTTCAGAGATTGTTGGCATGATGTCGCAATTTATGGTTCCATTACTGAAGCTCATATTTCTGAAAAACGAGAAATTAGTTGTTACAAGGGACATATATAGAGTAAAGCTAGAAAAAATAGAGAAAGCAAGGACAAAAAAGAATACGCGCGTGAGGCAGGAAATTTGATATCTCCAGAAAAAGAACGTACTTACCAAGAGTAATCAGGATGTGTCCTCCTATTGAGATGATTTGACATAACTTGTAGGAGATGTCTGGACCTGAAAATTTAAATTTTATGTGCTTCGGTGTAAAGCAAAGCGGTACAAGAAAGAAAAAAAGAACTTTTTTGCAACAAAGTAAGAAAGTAAGTAAGTTTTCCGTTGAAAGTGTTTTTATTTCTCTTCTCCCTCTCCTTTCTTTTCTCTCTTTTTGTGTGTGTTATAAGTAATATGACTGCAACAACCAACTCAGCCGCAAGTAGAGTTGAGAGGAGAGGAAAAGAGGGCGGAAAAGAAACAGAGACAATAGACACAGGAACGATAAAAAGCAACGACGAGACGACGCGGAGCTCACCCCCAGGCCCATACTCCCCGGAGTTACACACACGACGGTCAGTAGTGCTCGCCTCGGCCCCTCCTCTATGTCCGTTAGACGGACATAGGCCCCCCGAATCGATGCTAGGGCATTAGAGGTTGCAAACGAAAGATGAGACAGGCCAACAGAAGAGCCAGTGGAGAAGAACACAGGGTCACACATCTCTCTCGGCCGTTTGGCCTGTGCGCGCGGAAGAGAGAGAGAGAGGTCTCTCTCTCTTTCTTTCTCTTTATCTCTGACCGTGTCCTGCTATTTCTTTGTCAATTGGTTCTTATAAGAGAGTACGAGATAGAATGACTAATCGAGAGATATGCAACGGGCGACGAGGTTAGATATAGTACAGGATCGAAAGGGTGGAGATAATTTGAGAAACCGATACGAAAAGTTTTCGGAGTACACGGATTGTACTATATCCACTTTATTTCATTTTCAAAAAAAAATTGAAAACTTTATCTTTGTATTTTGGACAAAATGAATGCTGTAAATTCTATTAAACCATAAAACTCGGTTTAAAAAAATGTTGAATAAAAAAAATAGAAAGTGACCCCAAAATTATTTTGAAGAATTATGTTTTTAAGAGACCCAAAACAGCCCTCTATTAGCATTAACCCCTAATTTATATACAATTATGCGGTACAGAACCCTATAATTTTATATTGCCCGGTAATTTTGCTAAATATCGAAAAAAGTTACTTTTTGTAGATCTAAAAATGAGTTTCAAGCTGTTTCTTCCAATTTTCGGCCTAATGTTCAATCAATTTAGCTGTTTTCAAATTTAAAGCCGTCCACAAGCTTGCGTGGAGCTGCAAAACGAGTGATCCGATGGGGAAAAATTCCCGATCGAAAAATTTCCGAAAAAAAAACGGGAAAAAATCGGATGTCCGATTTTCCGAGTAGGTTTTTCCAAGCAATCCTGGCCGTCCGAACAGAAAAATGTACTGAAATTGTAGGTTCTAAACGAATTCTACAAAAAATACTGCATGAAAAAGTTGCTGTTTATGTCCTCGGCGGGAAAATGAAGAAAAATGAAAAAAAACAGAGAAAAACAAGACAAATGTTGTATAAAATTTCTGACTCATCTGAATAAAAAAAGCGAACGGAACAAAAAAATGCTGCGCCTCCATTCGTGAAGAGTAGTCTTAGTAGTAGTAAAAAACACGAATCGTACAGGAGAAGAACATTGAAAAATTGTGGGTTGTTGGAGGAGCAAGAGCGTTCAATTTGTGAGATTGGCAATGAGAATGACAAGGTCCCTACCCCTCCACTTCCTATAATTTGCCTAAATGCACAGCTTTCAACGAGGAATCCTTTTGCTCTAGAGATTAGTATGAAGTTCTTCTTCTTCTATTTCTTTATCTAAAGCCAAACACACACGAAGCATTTTTATGGCCCGACAAGTTTTGAGAGCCGAAAGGTTGGAGAGCCAAGTGAAAAAGAGTATGAATATTCGGAGAGCAAGGTAACGGGGCAGGAGGTCCAAAGCACCTGCCAACAACAGATGGATGGATATCCTGAGGTGACTGGAGTCAGACCCTCCCGGACGGGCCTCCGGCGCCTGCTGGCTGCATAAATTTAGAGTTTCTAAACGACACAGAAACTTTCACACTTCTTGGCTAGTTAAACATTTCATATATGTATTGGTTTTCCGAATGGAATAGAAGAATTAGAAATTGGGGAATTTGGGGAATGTTTGTTGAGTTATGAATTAAAAAGTTAATCATGTGAAAACTAATTTTTGAAATTTTTTCCAATTTTTTCTAGAAACAAGTGTGAAATTATTTTCATTTTTCAGAGTATTTGAAATGCTCCTTTATTATATATATATGTTTAATCAGAATTCAAAAAAACTGAAGCTTTACACTAAAAAACATGATCCAAAAGTTGACGCGAAAAATCATGGTTTTCCAATTTTTTTTCAATTTTTTTGCCTGAAATATTTGAGTTTTAAGTTAAACGTCTTAATCAAAACAACCATAATAATGTAACTTTACCGAATATGGTTTGTTGATCAATAACAATCTGGTTAATTTGATTTGTTTAACAAATATGATTAAATATGAAAATGCTCCCTTGAGAATCATGTAACTCTTTGTTTCTGTCTCTTTCTGTCTAATTGAACATTCAGAATTTTCTTAAGAATTTTCAAACTTATTTTGGATATAAGTCAACTACATTTCATACACTAAATAAAATTTACAACATTTTAGATTTCAAAAAAAAAACATTAATTCGAAAATCTAAAATTTAAAAACCGAAAAAATACTGCTCCATGAAAATGGGAACGAAAACCATTTCTCATAATAACAATTTGAATCAGGTCTCAAGAAATAATTACGATTCTGTATTAGTTTAATCAAATTAGTTCACAAAAACTGTCAATACTGTTCCAATGCGTGCTCTAGATTTTTTCTCCAATTTTTTCCTTCAACTTATCGTTTACAGTTTAAAAAAGAGATAAGCAAGCAAGCGAAAAAAGAATGAAGTTCAAGTAGCTGACAAAACTGCAATGTTATTTTCTTTTCTCTTGTCGCGTTAGTAAAACTGAAGAAGATGTGCGGCATGCATTCGTCTGTTGAATCGGTTAGCCCACACACACACATCGTCGTAATTACTCAAGATGACGTTGCAAAAAAAGAAACACAGAGAGTGGTTTTGGGACGCCACTTGTTCATGGTTCTGGGCCAATGTGAGTGTTTATAGCCATTGGGGTGTAACGGGTGTTTGTGTTCAGAGATAACACAAAAAGAACGTGTAGGTAACTCGTTTTTTTTCGTTTTGTTGCAAAATAACATCAATAATTTTGAAGAATGCGGAACTTTTTTGGCTGGAAAATGATGATATCATGAAGCCTCAAAACTTTGAAAACATATAAAAACAGCTTTAAATTTCAACCAATTCGTTTTCATGAGAAAAGTAAAGGCTTTTGAAACGGCGCGTGAATGTACGGAAATTTGAAAGTTGAAAAAAATGAGGTTGAGCTATACGGAATTGAATGCCTGCGAAAAAATTAATTGGAATTCGGGTTCGCAAATAAAATTTGAAGCATCAACTTGAGAAGGAAATTGAAAAGTTTTTTGGAAAGTTCCACTTGCCATTTCAACTCGATTGACCATTTTAGGAATTTGTAAAAAAGGAGAATTTTGTCTGATTGAATTTTTAAAAACACGCATGGCTCAAAATATGCTAAATTTTAAGAAACCCAGCACGCCATATTTCCTGCTCTTCCAAACTGGCAACACGGATATCAATTACCTCAACTCCTCAAAAAATGATTAACTAAAAAATTAATTATCATAATATTTCAAATATTTCATCAGTCGACAATTTTTTGATATTTTCCACAGGAATTGAGATGCTTGAGTTCAATATTGGGACGAGATTAAAGCAAATACGGTAGTATATTCTTTTGCGCACTGTACTGTTAGGTCCAAAACTGTGCCTTTGTTATCTTTTTTTTTCTCATGGCTATATCAAATAGTTTTCAACCAATATTACTTGTATTTATAATATTTATTATAAGCATTAAATCAGTTGAAAGAAACTTTGTCAAATTTCGTTTACACAGGGCTAAATAAGTTAATTTTGAAATTTTCCTCTAATATAAGCCCATCAAAATTGTCAAATTTGAGCTCATTCATCTCAGTTGCCATGAGAGATATCAAAAATTTGGCAATTGATAAAAAATTGATAATGTTATGATAAACGTTTCACTAATTAACATACTTTTGATATCCTTCACGGGAATTGAGATAATTGAGATAATCAAAGTTGACTGTTTGGGTGAGCTTCTTCTTGAGCGAACACAGTAACTGCGCTCCAAGCTCAAGTATCTTGAATACTACGTGAGACATCGGGATTTTTGCGAAAAATTAACATATCGGTGGTCTTATTAGAAACATTTTATCATACATCAGATTTTCTATATTTATTACAGAATTTGAGCAAACTAAGCTCAAAACGCTCTCATTGGAATACGTTCTATCATAGCTTTAATCTGTGAAGCGCCTTATAAGAAAATATCATTTTTATGATAACGTTGCAATTTTTATAGACAAAATCTAGTAACTTATAATTTTTCATAGAATGTATTGCTTTCGAAGCATCCCGCTTTTCTGTTCGATTAAAATCCCACGTCAACAGTCATAACCATCTTCAACAGTTATCCGGTTTTCCCCCACCAAATGACCACAAAAAATGGGCAACGTGATGATCTAGCTCGATACAGTTGGTCGAATGTGTTGAAAAGTTTTTGCGGTGTGCGTCCGGTGTGTTCCGCACCGTTTACTGCGTCATTCAGCATGCGGACGACGACGACGACGATGAGGCTGATGACGGTAGGCGGAAAAGAGAACACTGGTTTGGGAGGAAAATAGATGAGTCCGATGGAGATGCATGCATCGCGCACACCGTGTCCAGATCATCTGCCGTATCCGCCCATCGCCGCTTGCGGCTTCGCCTCGTTTTTAGTGCATTTCAATCCGCAAAATCTGGTCGTTTGGCGACCAGTTGCAACATTTTTTGAGATTCGGGACAACTAGTTGGTGTTTTTTGTTTTCTAATAGTGCTGATTTAGGTAACAATGCTGTTGAGCAGAATATACTTGACAGAGTCTCTACTGGTGACTATATTCATTTTGGGTGAGTTCCGTGGCTTCAGAATTCTAATTATTACTACATTTTCCAATTGTTACATTATGTCAGCTAGCCCGTAGCCTTCAGCTCCAATTCATATCGTAATATCTAAATAAGAAAGGCTTCCACGCTGCCAAGTTTAAGCTAATTTTTCTCGGTTCATATGAAAAATATCAAAACATCTTCAACTGATAAAATATTGATAACATCAAGATAAACAGTTTATCAGTGGACAACTTTTTCATATTATTGACAAGTACCGAGTTAGATTGGCTCAAAGATTAAAGTTAGAGGGTCCTTCTATTACAGGGTTGACGATAATTTATCTTGGCTCCTTTGTAAGATATCAGAAATGTGTCAACTGACGAACTGCTCGAACTGCTTCTATATATCTTCTGATATCGGATTAACAACTAGAAAACAAAATAAAAATTGGCTCGAAGTCAAAAGTTGGAAGCCTTTCTATTGCAGGTTTTACGGTACCAGATTGTTTCATTTCGTCAGTTATCAGATAGTCCTAATCTCCTAGCCATATGTAGTTTTCTATTTTTTCTGGAAATCCGGAATTTCTAAATTGAATCCTTTGTTCGTTTTGGTACTATCCAGAATAAATTGAATAAATAAAACGGAATCGGATCAAGGACAAAACAATCCGTTTTCCATTCCATGTACACAATTAGAATGCAACAAAGGGTCACACTTATGGTTATAAATCTGTACACATCGAATCTATCCCGTTGCAGGGTCAAGACCCTAGTGAAAGTTTTCAGTTTACACAATACCGGAAGTCCGAAGTGATGAGCAACAACAACTTCGTCCCGCCGCTATCATTCCCTGGTCTCAATACCAACGAAGGTTGGGTAAAATGAAAGAGGGGTCGTTAGCGTATCAAGTAAGTACTAATACTAATACAACTGACGAATAACACAATCTGTCATGTTTCAGAAAGAAAGTGATCCATTCAAAACAAGCGACGTCTTGCCTGGTGCATCTAATTCGTTCTTTGGGAGTTATGAGAAAGATGATTTGTCATTGAATAAGCAGCAGCAGCTGGCGCGTTTTGACGAAAATGAGTCGTCGAGGTAATTATACGGAAGTACACTAGACTTGACAAGAACAAATGCGCCTTTAATTTATAACGTGTTTTTCAGAACCATACCACGAGCTCAATATGGCAACGTCATTAGACCTCAGCTTCGTGGAAGACTTCCCACTGACCCATCGGATTTCATGAAGATTCCAAAAACTAATCAAGTGGAATTTTTAATGCAACGAGGTTCGAGAAATATACAGTGCCGCTCAATAAGATATAGAAGCCCGTATTCTTCAGTTGTTTTTCAAACATTTTGACCGTTTTTTGAGCTTGGCTGCCATGTTTCCGATCATTTTGAAAACTGTGGAGAATGTAAAAGTGATAAAAAATTTGCATTCATAGAATTTTTCAAAAGTTTCTAGTTTTTCAGTTATTTCCCGAGTTCTGAAAAACACATTTTTCACGTTTTAAGAACGAAAACTGGCCAAGAAGAGATGTCATTCAGACATCGGCGAATCGCTAAAACATTAGGAATTTTCAGAGAATGTTTAAATTTGTTTCGGTTTTACACTCTCCTAAATTTTCAATGTGATCGAAAACCTGGTAGCCGAGCCCCAGATTTTTAAAATTGTTTATTTTGGCGAAGATCAACTGCAAAATATGTTTTTCTTTATCTTGTTGACAGGTACTTTAAATAGAAAAATGAAACAATAATTTTCAGAATTAGAACGAGAGACTTTGGTACCACCGGAGCGGCCACACATCGCTTCAAAAACAAGTAGTCTTCCGTCACGAATCCCGTTAAGAATGGAACAAACGCTTAAAGAAATGAATAAAATTCCAGTGAGTCTCTTTTTTGTCAATGCGAAGCTAATCCTTCGACCACTTAATCCTATACATATCCGTTTGTAAAGCCAATTTCGCAACATTTCATTTCAGTCACTTGCCATCCCGAACGGAGTGCCAATGACTGCTGGTAGTTGGGAAACCGGACATCCACATTATACAGGAGAACGAAAACTTCACGCGGCTAACACATTTGCCGGGTCTATTCCATATGCAAATAATGTAAATTGAGGATTATCTTGCGTTGAAAATACAAAAAAAAAAATTCCAGCTTCTTGGAAATGAACTTCCAACAGCTCCAATATATCAAAAAGTGGCTGACTCTAATATCGTTAGCTCTATATTTTCTCAAAGTCAAGCTCGTCCTGGCGCCATCCCAACTATGGTACAAACATCTCAACCACAGGCTTACTTCGAAAAGTTCCTAGCCAATGAAGCCTCACTCGACCAGTTTTCGAAACTTGCCAAGAATCTGTTAGGAGTCGGAGGAACGGGAGAAGTAAGCTAGTAGTCCGATGACTTGGTTTAATGTTTTAATTGTGTCTAGACTAATAGTGGAAGCGGTGGTTTGTTGGAGACAATGACGTCAGTGCTGAGCGGAGGAAACCGAAACTTACCGACAAGTTCTGCGGCGCACGATGGCTTATCCCAGTATACACCGTCGTCTGCGGGAAGACCACAAACTTCGGTTTTCCAAAAATTGTTGAGTCAAGGTGAATAGGAGGGGTTTGGAGTTTTGTAGTAAATTGAGGTGGTATTCCCAATAGAACATCAGTATTTTTGTTCGAGCTCAATCGTTTTGCTAAATATCAAAACGAAATTATTTTTTAAAAAGTGTCTGCCATGATATAGAAAAAGTTTCAAATCAAATTATTTTGATGTCTTCTAGAAGAATCGGAAACCAAGACATCATACGCTATTTGCTCACATAAATTCCCATCCTATCTACTGTGCGCTCTATTATCTCGGTTTCTATAAGAGATATCGAAAATCATTCAACTGATCAAATAATGGAGAGTTATATTGGATAATTTATCAGTTGAAATGTTTTATGTATTGTAAAGAAACCGAAATAATTGAGCTTAAAGCGCACGGTGAACTGCTATAAATGCAAATACGGTATATTTTTGAAGTAGAATATGGCCGGTTTTAAAGTATTGAAAAGGTAGCCCAGAATTTTTTCCATTGCCCGGTGTGTACTAAAAAACTGTGTTTAACATGGAAATAGACTAATTGATGTGATTGTCAAATTTTAAGTCATTTTTATGCAAACTTGCTTTGAAAATGCGAAAAAATTAAATCTAGTTTGGTCAGCATGTTTCGGAATTTTCAGATTGAGCAAAAAATTCTTGAATTTATCTTTTGGTATTTCAAGAAATTTTATGTCGCCTAGTCAGGTACTGTGATTAAGCTCAGAATGCACGATGTTCAATTAGCAAAAATATTAATACCTGAAACACTCTAACAGGGGGGGGGGGGGGATTATATACTTAAATCTGCACTTTGAGCTCAATTTTCTCAACATCTTCGAGCGATGTCACAAATATATCAACTAATAAAGTATTGGTAAACAAACATTTTTTCAGTTGACAGATTTTTGTTAACTTTCATAGAAATTGAGATGCCCCTCGAAGTGCAAGTATAGGGTGATCTCTAATAGAGTGTTTACGGCGAATCAAAGTTTTTTTAAATAATAGAAATTGAAAATTCTCAAAACAACTCAATAATTCCAGCCACCGATGCTCTCAAAGACTCTTTGAACAAAAAAGCGGAAGCCAAAGACAAAACTGATCTTGACGCTATTGCCAAGAAAACCGACCTCTTCGCTCTCCCCAACCCTGAACCACCAAAAAAAGAAAAGCTGAGTAAAGACAAGGAGAATTCAATCAAGGTATTTTATATCTCCAAGCAAAACAAATATTAATATTTTTAGCTCTTGGAAAACATGCCCGTTGAGCAAAGGGAAATGCTCGAAGCTGCGATCATGTCAGGTGAAATTGATGCAGATTCACCTGCAATTAAGTAAAACTAATTTTCATTTATTTTCATCTCAAATTGAAAATTCTAGAACTCTGGTGAAAAATGATGTCACTGAGGAATCAAAGAAGGAAAAAGAGAACCGTCTTATTGAGTGGATCCGAGCAAATCGTCCATCGAAAACTCCTCCTGAAAATCCAATTCCTAAAAACGTCCCTTACTATGGAAAGTACTTGGGAAGTTTGGCAGAGACGGTGAGTAGTTGTAAGGGGTAAGGGGGACAAAGAAAGTAATTTTTTTTTCAAAATTGGACCTGTTCTTTCGTGTTTTTTTTATTACAGCCGACAACGAAAAAACAAAAAAGTCCAGCCGGCGCGTTGTGGCTAGTTGATGAAAAGAGAATCATTGTGACACGATTTGTTTTTGAATCTGGATCGTTACTTAATGGTAGGATAACGCTAAAATGTTTTTATCGATGCAGAAAATTGTGAATGTTCAGAAAATGTCACTTTCTGGCTTGGACCAAAGAAACCAACTGGAAACTTTGTTGAAGATTTTATGCCGTCTGAAAATGGATTCTACGTTCGACCGAGACCAATTGAAATGTCAGCCTTTGCTACAAGAGAGCTGCCGGTAGACATTCCGAAAATAATTTTTGTTTTGTATTTTGAACTTTTCCAGCCAATTGATGCTAAGCCAAGACCCAATGTGTCAGCGGTCAAACTTTTCGAAGGCATTCCCCCAATCGTCGCCAACGTCACAAGAGTCAAACGGGCCGATGAAGTTACTCCTAAGCCGATTGAGCTTTTTGTAGAAGTACGTGAATGTTTTATTGATGGTTGAAAAATTATAATTTTTTAGGGAGGAATTATGAAAGTTCGCCCTGGAAATGGTGTGGTGAAATTGGAAACGCAGGCAGAAACAGTGACCAGTATACCGGATGGGTTTAGATTGAAACAACCGGAATTTGATGCAGTGGATGAAACGGTAATTTTTTGGGGATGTAAAAATTTGACAATTGTATCTGGGAATGAGTAAAATATTGATGAAGTTTAGAATAATTGAAATTTTAATTTGAAGCTAACCCTACGGAAACAAAGAAAAACTGCTTTATGAAATAAACTTGGTTTCGTTCATTATTTTATGATTCCAAATTGTGAAAACGAGATTTAGAATACACATTTTTGGTGTACATTCATTTCGAATTTCATATAAATTTGAATTTCATCTCATCGAATGTTTTGATCTGCATGTTTCACCCGGTGCAGTTTTGAAGAAGGTAAAATCTTCTGATTTTAATTTTTCAATACCAATATCCTATGGCATGTGCAGTCATAAAGATGAGGTTTTATTTTGTTCAGGGTTACTTTTGGATGAAAAATGAAATGAGCTTTTTTCAAGCATTTAATCCGAGATTAAGCACGAAAAATGGTTTAGAACCAACTTTAGTACTTTTCAATTAATTGTCTAAATTCATCCAATCTTGTTCCAAAGTTATTACGAATTTAGATTCGGATTTATTTATTTTCAGAGCGGTGACAAACGGTGCAAAAAATTCGTGTTGTCTTTTTTTTAAACCACTGAAGAAAATTTCAACGACAATATTTTCAGGGATTTAAAATTGATTCCTTTTAGGCCCCTCAACCCCTTCAATGGTTTGAAGGCTTCCAACCGCTTATGCTCACTCTTCCATCCCCAAAAATCTTCAGCGACATCCATTGGGTTTCCCTTAGAGACCACAAACGTAAAGTGAGTTTTAGTCTCTTTTTTGACTTCAAATCAAAACAAAAATAAGTTCCAGACAAACGTCGCTTCTGTTATTCTGCCCAACGGTCCGCTTGTCCAAATCCCAAAAGTAATACGATTAAGGTCTTTGTCGCCAAATAGTCTAGCTTTCAATATCAGCTCAGGACCGATTGAGGTGCGAGATGAACGAAAACACAAATAACAAATAATGGAAATTCCAGGTGCTCGATGTGAAAACTATCAGAATCAATAATTTCTCATTCCAACATGACGACGATTCAGTGTGGATGTTGGTTGGAAGTGAATTGTTTCCAAATTTAGGAGGAAAAATTGTTCCATTATTTGAAGAGTATGTGATAAACCTTTTCTACTTATCTCTGAAAGTCTCTGAAATTCCAGACAAAACAGAACATTTGATTGCCAAGCTCTACGAAGCTATCACAGAGAGACCCTTGTCTTCAGACTACCAGGAGAGCTGACCTGGAAAGACGTTTTCTGGTTCTCATGTGAGTTCTCGAGTTTTCTTCTCGTTAAAAATTCCCATACACTTCTCAATATCCCATCATTCTCCGTTGAAGAATGCCTTCTTAAAAATTCTTAATGCCAAAATTTCATCATGTGAACGACGGAGCACAAAAAACCGCTCGCGCTGAGAAAGTGCAATTTTGGTTTTCATGAATTTGGAATTATCATTATAATCTAAATTATAGAGTAGATGAATAATTGGGACGGTAGGGAACAGGTGTTTAGTTGGAAACTTTGAATGATATGATGAATGATTTAAAAATTCTGAGAACTTGAAGTGCAAGAGATTTGAAATTTGAGAGATCAAACTTCCAGAAAGCATTGGATTTCCAGAGAAAAGGGAGAGTATGAATTTCTTGATTTGTTCGAGCTCTGAAAACCGCGAAAACTAAAAAAAAAATAATTAATGCTATTTCACACCAAACGCAGGGGTGTCTTGTTACACTACTAGCCTGAAGGTCCCTAAATGGCAAGAAGAGAAGCAGAAGACCTAATTTGGCTTTGTAGGACTTCTCAAGCATGTCCTGAATACATAAAGACCCCCTGGATTTGAAAAAAAGCAGTTAGGTCCCTGATCCCTGACAACTTGAGTTCTGAAAAGAGCCGAAATCTCAACAAAGGGAGAAAGTCAGAAGATGTGGGGTTAAAAAATAGATTTGTGAACCCAATTTGAACGGCGAAGCCCTTTGATCTAGCTTGAAATGGGAAAAATGACAAAAAATGAATTTTTTGAAACTTTGCGAGAGGTGTAAATTATAGAACTTTGGAATCTCATACAAACCAAACAGTAGTGCAAACAAACTTGAATTTGCCATAAATGCTTTAATACAGCTCCAATATACAGTACCGGTCAATAAGATATTTAACAACATGTTTTTTCCTTAATTTTGACGTTTTTCAGAAGTCTCGAGCTCGGCTGTCAAGTGTCCCATCACTTTGAAAATTTTGGAGGGTTTAAAACAAAATTAGATTGGAAACTTTGTATTTACTGAATTTTTTGAAAATTCCCTGTTTTTAGTTACGTGCCACATAATGAAAAACATCTGTTTTTTTTCCCGTATTGGAAACATTTCAGATATCAGCAAAACTCTGAAAAACTGAGAAATAAAAAAGTCTGTCAATGCATCGTTCTAAATCTGGGACTGTTTCACGCCCTCAAACATTTTCAAAGTAATCGGAAACATGACAGCCGACCTCTAGACATTTGAAAATGGTCAAAATCAAATAACAACACGTACTGACCGGTCCAGAAGATATCTAGAATTATCTAGAACTCCTCCAGAAGATATCTAGAATTTGTCAACTGATAAAATGTTTTTTCTTGAAATTGCCAACATTTCATCAGTTGATCAATATTTGATATCTCTGGAACGAACCAAGATAATTTAACTCTATGCCACTCAAAGGGTACTCTCTTGTTAGAGCATCTACGGCGAATATACTCCTATTACCGTCATAAATTATTTTCAGTTTTCTCCATGAAACGCCTCATATCATATTCCGAAATCTTCCTGCCAATTAGCGAGATGCATTTGATCCCCGACTTGTCTTCAATTGCGGTAAGTTTCGATGAAACATAACAAAAAAAGCGTAGTACGTTCCGTTCTCTGATTTATGGCAGCAGGCGTGCACCTAAACAGGTATGACTTCACATTTCCCATGCTATCGAAAAATTTATACTTGTTCACTTATCTGCCCTGACAGCGCAACTAACAAACCATGAGATGATCGCTATAAAACTGCATCGTAATCGCCTTTGCCTCTTTCGTTCTCTTTTTTGGGATTCAGGAAGTTCCTAAGATTGCCTGTCCCCTACTCAATCTCCCCGAAAAAAAGTTTGCTCGAGCCATCTTTCTTTTTCCGGCTCATGGAACCGAATTGTACTAAGATTAGTACGATTGTTACTACTTTGCGTCTCCAAAAACGTATCATGGTACCTTTTTCTTTCAGACACCTACATGCAAGCATACCCCGGCGATTTGAAGTTGTTGGAATATTGATATCAACAAGAAACGTCAAATATTGGAACTCATGCTACAATCTCATTAATTTATACAAGCCTCCCTCCTCATCCATTTTTCATAGCACATATGCGCTCTTGAACTTTTTTCCCCATATTTTCCTAATTTTTTATCCCTAAATTCGTCACCGGCCAGACATCTCGAGAGCTTCGCTTTTTTACATGTCAGGTCGTAAATATTTCAAAAGTTGTAGTATCGCCCCAAATCTGTCACATTCATTTCGAAATTCACAATTTTTTTCAGATGATCTCATGTTTAAAAATTAATTTTTTAATAAATTATTCACTTTTTTGTACATAGTAAGGTCAAATACCTATCATTAAATCGGATCTGAAATGTCTCCAACATTGCAACATCAGTTAGTGTAAACACGCCGGCGCAAAACTGCAGACACAACAACGGCCAGCAATTTATGTTACTTTTTGCCTATTCTGAGGACCAGAACTCGTTCTAGCTGTTGAGTCGAGCTGAAACCTGGCTGAAAAATAATTGGAGAAGTGCAGATGCATTGTAAGTGCCTGAAATGGTAGAAAAAAAAGTTTGAATAGAAATGGAATGAACAAAAAATGCCATGTCTTGAGAATTACATCTCCATCGACCCTTTTTGTTTTGATTTTGGTCAAAAATCAGTCTACCGACGAGAACATCGCCTCCTTCATCATCAACATGTTGTAATTGCACCCAAAATTGGTAAAACAAACAAATGATACGCATTCCCCCGCAGCAACCATATACAACCTGTGTTCCATATGACGTCACGTGACTGTACAAGTGGAGCACCCTAGGTGGTGACGAAATGGTCCAGCTGCTAAAGGCCGGCACTCTCCACAAACTCTTGGCAGCTGTTGTACGATAATCTAAAAGAAGGAACTGTTCGCGGGCCACCAGATGTGCCAGCTGTCCTTTGTTGCACTTATATAGAAATGAGGGAGTATAGGATGTCTGAACTTTAAGCTAATGTTCATGAAACATCCAGGGGAACTTCTTGACACTCTGATTTGTACTCTGACATCCGGGGAGCTTCCTAAACTCATTGGTCTGGTTTGTGCATCATGTTGCTCTTCTAAAATTGGTTCCTCAAAACTAGAGATGTCCGGACAATCGTTCGCTGTCTGTTTGTTGTTCGTGCAACTTGGAAACCTTATAATCAAATTTACATGCGGGTCCAGGTGTTTCAGTTACCGTGCCGTGCCCACAGGGAAGGACAGATGTATTTTTTGGATACGCTCTGCTCACACACTGGACGCTTGTGTAATCGACATCGACGTTCACCTGTATGCTAATCTATCGCATTTGACCCTCGAACGTCCTCCATGGTCTCCTTTTTGTTGTTGTCCTCTTTCATGTCTTGTTTTTCCTCCCCGTCCCATCCCAGTTTCAGATTCCTTTTTTCCCAGGCTCCCAAACACGCGTCGCAGCCGCTCCGCGCTTCCTGACTATTCGGCGCGAGCGCGAAGAATTGAATTTAGGCAAAGTAAGGAGGGCGAACAACGATGGAAACGAGCGAGCGCGCGCGGTGAGACCCTCCTCGGTCCATTCAATGTGCAGGAGAGAGGCCACCTCTCTGGCTTCTCTCATCCTTCCTATCACTATTCCCCAAACTCCCTCATTGCCCTCCCCGTCCCTTTTCCTCCCATTTCTGTCTGTGTGGGCCATTCGGCGGTCGCACATCTTTTCTCTTCCATTGGAGAGTGAGCGCGCGAGTTGAGCGAGAGCGCGGGAAGACCCGATGAGGTTATGTGTGTTTTTGTGTTGTATGTGTGTGTGAGTGTGTGCAGGCAGAGAGAGGACGAGAGGGGCCGACCGACGTGCCCCCTAAGCTCCTCCCATTCTCTTTCTCTCCCATTGCGTTGTGTGTCTCTCGTTCTCTCTTTCACCGCACAAACGCCACCCCGGCTTGCCCCCTTTCACGTCCGCCATTCATTTCTCCCTGTCTTCTTTTTGCGTGCGTGCTAGGCCCCCTCGCCAACCTGCCCCCTCTTTCTCTGCCCGTTGGCAGAAACGCTGGTCATTGCTTTACGCGCGCGCTCGCCCGTTTCTTTTCCGTCTCTGCAAGAGTGCGTTGTGTCTCGTCGTTTCTCTGCGTCTCGCAACAATCGATCGCGCAGTCCTTGCATTTCTCCGCTCGCCTCATTTCTGTTTGGACGTGGGCCAAGTGGACCGCCCATTTTCCTCTCGTCTCTCTCCCTCCGTCTGAGAAAGACGTCACTGGTTGTCGGTGGGGCGCGTTTGCTTTTTTGAATTTTTCCCATTTTCAAGGGGGCGGAGCCAGAGGGCGTGGCTATGAGGGATTGTGACTCACAGCTTTTGGTTTTTCCCTATTTTCCCCGCGCTTGGTCTATTCTTCGTTCCAGAAACGTCTAGTAAGATGTTTTTTCTCCGTTTCTTTCCGCTTTTTTCTTTGAAATAAACAAATAAACAACGATTTCATATTTCAGATGTCAAATATCAGTTCAAACCCAACTGGAAACCTGGCGCGCATTGGAACATATACCCTATCAGAGGAATCAGAGAGTGATGAGGATGACGTTCCGACTGTTTCAAAGCCGTCTCAAGCAGAAACTGTCAAAGTTAGTCTTTCAGAAACCATCGTTGTTAGAAAATCCTTATTAAATCCCATTTTTTCCAGTCATCCGATCTAGAGCCGTCAGCATCAGCTCCATCCGAAGAAGCAGTAGACAATGATGATGAATTTGGATTTGGATTCTTCCACAAATCAGACGCCGAGCCAGAAGAAAAGGTCGCCGAGCCCATCGAAAACAAATTGGATGAGATTCCAGCGAGTTCACCGATTCTTCTCTTGGATGACAACAAAAACAGTGAGATTCTTCAAATTCCAAAAAGTCCAGAAACTAGCCAGCACGATCAAAACTTCTTGGACGTCGCTGACAGTCCTCTGGAGAGTTTGAGCCGAAACAGATCGGAAACTCCAAATCCTCATGATCTCGGCTTTCAAACTTGCCAAAATAGCCAAGTGCAGTCACCAGAAACTTCTGAAACTCCGGGTCGATCTCGCAGTCCTGCCAGTCGCCAGTCGAACGCAGACAATATTCAGTGTCCAATGCGTTCGGCTAGTCCTGAAAATGCCTTTGGCGTCGACACTACTGCTTCTGAAGAATCTCAAAATTTGAACATTGCAGGCGATCAAGACTCATATGAAAATATTCACAACAACGTTGCCACCGACGAGTTCAACGCGACCGAAGGAACATCTCAGCAGTTTGATGCTCCATTAGATTTTGGAAGTCCACTGAGATTAGATGAGCCATACAATGAGATGAATATGCCAACGAACAGCAATCCAGAATCTTATCAGAATCTGAATTTTGATGATGAAGCCACGATGGACGTTCCAGACTCGAGTACCCAAAATCTCGATTTCTCCAAAACACCGGAGCCAACAGAGAGCTTGGAAAATCTGGATGTGGATTCTGGAGTGGAAAATATGGAGTCGACATCTGAAGATCTTGCAATGCCGTTGGACTCGGAACCATCTGAGAACCTAGATGTTGCCGGAAGCTCACAAGCAGAGCCAGAAGAAGTTCCAATGGAGACTGATCTGAACGTGGATGTATTGGATAACACGTCGAAACAGAAGAATGCTGAATCGACTCAGGAAGTGATGAAGAGCACGGAAGCTGTGGAGGCCCAAACGAAACTGAAATCGCAGAGAAGCCAGAATCTCCAGTTTCATTAGCAGAAGCCGTCTCTACTCCAGTTGAAGCTGAAGTCACTGAGAAGCCAGATAGTCCAGCTCCATCTACAGAATCTGTTCCAGTTTCTGAAGCTGTGGAAGAAGCTGTGGATACAGCCAAGAGCCCAGAAGCCGTTTCAAATCCAACGGAGACTAAGAATCCAGAGAGCCCAGCTGCACCATCTGACAACGCAGTTCCAGCTGAAGAAGTTTCAGGCTCATTGAGCTCCGAAGGTGTTGAAAAGCCAACGAGTCCAGTGGAGTCTGAAATTAAAGCAAAGAGCCCGGAAAGCAGTCAACCAGAAGCAATCACGGAGACGCTGGAAACCCCGTCATCATCGGAAGCCGCGGAAGCTGTGGAAGTTGCCAAAATTCCAGAAGCTGCGGAAAAACCAGAGAGCCCATGTCCATCAACGCAGAATGCAAGCGAAATCCAACTCGAGGATAAGCCAGATACCCCGGAACAGATGAGCAGGATCTTGAAGTTGCGAAAACCCCAGAAGCTGTGAAAGAAGCAGAAGAATCCCCAATGGATGAAGCTGCTCCAGCTGATGTTTTAGTCGCTGAAGATCATCAGGATCTAGACCCACGGAGAAGCCCGGAGAATCCAGTTGCAATTGAGCCAGTTGACGAAGTGCAGAATCTCCAAAACTTTGAGGATGAAATGGCAGAGGTTATTGAACGTCCAGAAAGACCAAGAGCTCCGATCAATCTAGTTCAACTAGCCCCAGAAGCTCGTGAAAGCCCAGAGATTCAGCAGCTCTTTGGAAACGTAAATGTTCCGCAGATTCCGGAAGCTGCGCCATTTGCGCCAACTCACAGGATTATTGCACCAATTGCTAAGCGTCCAGAATCCCGAAGCCCACCACAACTTGACAGTCCGGACCGTCCACATAATCGAAGCCCTCCAGTGTTCTTCGATCTGGATGCAGCACCGGTGGAGCCACCTCCTGAAATTCCAAGAACACCAGAAACGGCGCCGATGCCCGAAAAAGCAACAACGCCGGAAGTGGAGCGTGAGTCGAGTGCTGAGCCAATGGAAGAGCGTGTAGCGGAACCTGTGGCGGAACCTCTCATGAAGCCTGTCACAGAGCCAGTTGCAGAACCAATGGTTGACGTTAAAAAGAGTCCAGAATCAGTGGCAGAGAGTCCAGAAGCTTCCCAAAGCACGTCGGATACTGTGAGCCCTGCTGAACCAAAAGAAGCTAATCCGAAGAAGGAAGAGAGCCCAACAACTTCAAGAAGTCCATCACCAGGAAAGCTAGAGAGCCCTGTTATGGAACTCACTCCTGTCAAGGACGAGAGAGCCAAACCTCCACATTTGTTGGAAAAGAAATCTGAACCTCCAAAGAAAAAGGCAGGACGACCACCAGCAGCAGCCGCCAAGAAGTCAGATAGTGAGTCGGATTCTAGCGATAGCGACGATGACGATGAGCCAATGTCAAAAGTAGCAATGAAGAAAGCAGCACCAAATGGCAAACCAGGACCAACATCTGGTGGCAACCCATGGGAATCTCCAAGACAGGTAACATCTTTGCGTATTCCATGTAGATTTTGAAAATTCAATTTACAGGAGCCTGTCGGAGGAGTCGTCCAGCCACGTACCGAACCACCAAAAGGAAAGCCAACTCGTCACACCAACTGTCTCGATCATTTGTTGTTCACTGTCATTAAGGAGGCGGTGAAGCACAAACACTCATGGCCATTCCAGGAACCAGTCAATGCGGTGGCGTTGGCCATTCCAGACTACCATAAGACGATTACTAGACCCATGGATTTGCGTACAATTGAGAAGCGTCTTCGAAACTCTTACTATTGGTCGGTGGACGATGCAATTAAGGTGAGTGATAACCAGAAGTGATGAGAATCACTGAATGGGGCTGGTGGTGAAGCTATTCTTTAGCCTGGAGCCTCTAGGTCGGAGGGTACAAAAATTTTGGGGTAAATGGGGTACAAAGCGATTTAGGGGTACAATATCTTCAATTCGGTATTCAAAAAAAAACCTCAAATTTTGTACCCCCGAATTGTGGATTTTGCACCCCATGATCGTTTGTCCCCGCCTCATATGTACCTCCGAATCGTTGGTTCCTTGGAATTATGAACCTAGTATCTTCCCCTATGCCTTCCTGTCCAAGGTATGGGGGCTGAACACTAAGAATTAGCTGAGAGAACACAAGGTAACCATAGGAGCCGCATAATTCAGGCGTAAGCCTCGTTACATCTTATTAAAATATACGAATTTTCACAAGATCATATTTTCTCAATTCTAAAGATTTTCAGTCAAAAAATTCGAATTCCGAAGTTTAATTTTCGTTGAGTAGTCCCGGTTTACAACCCATTGAGTTTGACCTTTTGTGTCCTTAGTCGTTTTCTTTCACGAAAAAGATTCCGCTTTCCTAGATGAGATGAGATCGTAGTAATTTTTACCTTTTTTTTCAAATTGAAGGCACTAATTTTTCAAAATCCTCGCTTCTTCCCCTTCTTTCCTTTCACACCCATCCCCAAGACGGCTCCCCGCCCATTTCCGCAGGTTCTTTATAATAAAGGGTTCCTTCTATCCATGCTTCCCTTTCATCAGCACACACTCTCTCATTGCCTTCTTTTTTTTGTTTCATCTCTACCGCTTGGTGATGCTTACTCATAGGAGATTCTTCAATGTGTAAAATTTTATTTAAGCCTTGGGATTCACTACTGTAGTTTTACTAGACTAGGAATATCGGTTCTCCAGCGGCGCTTTGGAAACATCATGATCGAGGGTGGATTGAAAAAAATGAACACCAGAAACTATTACAACTCTTTTGCCCTTGGTTCAAAAAACCTTGTTTTTTTCGATATTGTTTTCCCCCCTCGCATGATTGTTCCATTCGCACTGCTTGCATGAATCATTTGCAAAAAAGAATCGAATTTCGCAATAAAAATGTGATCTACCCCTCGCTGGAATCGTAAACCTTCATGCAACAACCGAAGAAAAACCCCCCGGAGGCAGAATATTTGAATTTTTCCCGTACTAAGCTCTCTCACACACCCACCCCACACCCTACGACCTTAATTCTAAAAAAGTCCAAAAATCACAAAAACCAAGGCAAAAGAGTTGATTGGTTTCAGGATATCAAACAAATGTTCAACAATTGTTACAAATTCAATCCACCCGAGTATGATGTGTACAAGATGGCAAAAACGCTGGAGAGCCAAATGATGAGCCAGCTCGCTAAACTTCCTACTGTAAGTTTCCACAATTTTCCATTTCTTTTCAGGACCTGAACACCCTCTTCCAAAATTGCAAGACGTTCAACGACAACAATGATGACATCTATATTATGTGTGAAAATGTCGAAGGTGTCGTGTTGAGAGGCTTGGAATGTTTGCCGGCAAAGGTTGATTATCATAAAAATGAAGAATCACACGTTTTTCTCCCTTCTTTCATATTCTAAACTCTATTCTTTTCAGGAAGTCGAGGCCGATTTTCCGGAGCATCTTCGAAAGGCAATGTTCCCACGTGCAGGTGGACCAGGAAAGCCGCCAAAGACGCCAAGTAAACGTGGACGAAAGAGCACTCGTGGCAGGAAGAAAGGCATGCCTCCAAGATCTGCCACGTCATACAAAGATGAATCCGTAGACGACTACGACGACGGAAAGACGGATTCGTTTAATTATGATGAGGACGAAGACGAAGAGCTTTCAATTACTCCAGTGAAGACGTCTGCAAAGAATACATCCATATCCGTACAGCCTGTTGAAGTGGAAGAGGTCAAGCCAGTGCTAGCATCACCACCAGCTAAAAAACGAAAAGCAGAAAATGGAGAGGTTGCAACTCCTGCTAAAGTCGCTGCACCTGCTCCTGCACCAACACCAGCTCCACCATCTCCTGTTGTTGCTTCACCAGCGCCAACACCAGCAGCGGTCCCAGCCACTCCCGTGACTCCAGCGCCTCCACGAAAGAATCCAAACTCAATGATCGACTGGAAACGTTTGCCACCACGATGGACCGGAAAGCAAGCTGAATGGCAAAAGTTTTGTGTCCGTCTCCTCAATGAGATGCACAGTTTAAAGAATAAGAGCTTCGCTCAAGTTTTCTATGTGCCAGTGGACCCAATCAAGCTAAAGATTGCTGACTATTTGGATGTCGTCAAGAATCCAATGGATCTCCAAACAATGAAAAAGAAGTTGGACCATAAGCAATATGCCGAGCCAGAGGAGTTCGTAGCAGATATGAATTTGGTAAGAAGAAAAGTTGAACTCAATGAATGAATACCCATTTTTGTTTCAGATGATTGATAACTGCTGTTTGTACAATCCAAAGGGTTCATCGGTATATCAAAATGCTCTGGATCTGAAGGCACTTTTCGAGCAACGTTGGAAACTTTTCCCAAGCCCTGGCGTTGATCCGATCGTCTCCGACTCCTACATTCATCAGAATCTGATCGTCAACACTGACTACATTGAAGATGAGAGAATCAACGGATACCTCAGCGCTGTTCGAGAAGAGGAGAAGAAGTGTGCGGAGAAATTGGAGAAGCTTCGCAGTATGAGTGATGGTCTCTACAACATCAAGCTCCAACGACGAGACGCTAGACTCGCTGGAAACATTGCTCCAATGTTGGAACCAAATCAGATGGCCGAGCTGGAGCAGCTAGGAATCAGCATCAAGAATACTGCAGTGCTGGTGCCAGAGTTGATTTCTCCAGCGACATCTGTGAGATCTTCTGCGCGTGCTCCAGTGCCGAAGATTATTGATGATATTGGACCATCGCCAACTAAAGCGAGGAAGATGTAAGTTTATTATCTATTTATTACAACTCAAAACCGTTCCCTTTTCAGTTCCAAACCTCGTCAATCGCTTGCTTCTAACGCATCGACCGCCGCCTATCCAACACCAACTGGAAATCCTCGTGGACGAAAGCCCAAGAAACGTCCCATCAAACAAGATTTCTCACCTGCCTATGAACCTCTACCACGTACTAGCGCCGCTCCAAAAATTGTTCCCGTCGGTCCACGCCGATATGTGTCGGTTTACAACAGAACTGAAGTTTCGATGGCAGAAAAAGTGAAACTCACCCAGGTCATCGCCGATATGGAACCATACTGGATCATGCCGATCCTTCGCATCATTCAACTCTCGCAAGAGTACAACAAACAAGATATCATCACTTTGAAGACATTGTGCGAGGATGAAATCCAAATCGATGATGTGCCTGATCATTTGTTCATTGAAGTTGCCGACTATGTGCAAATGTTCCAGACGGATCGAGAAAAAGCGCTTTCTGCGAAGGAACGATATGAAACTGAAGCGAAAATCCACGGATTCACTGTCTACGGTAAGGAATTAACATTTCAAAAATGAGATTAAATTAAAATCTTTTTCAGATGGGTTGAGTGTGGTGCCAAAGTCGATTCCATTCTCAAAACTCAAACGCCTCGACACCCATACCCCATCACCATCGGCATCTCGTACTGGTGTACCGTCTTCTGACTCGGATTCAGATTCGGGATCAGAGTCGGGCAACTCGTCGGATTCCGAAGGAGAGCCGCAACCAAAAAAGAAGGCACCCACCAAGAAAGTGGTTCGCCGTCGTGCGATTGAGATCAGCGCAAGCTCATCGAGAGCGTCGACACCTGTGGCCCCAAATCCAGTTGGTCGTCCACCGAAAGCCAAGTCGGCCAACGTGGCACCTCAAAAGCATCAGCTATCGGAGAGCTCGAGTTCGTCGGATTCTTCGTCGGACTCGTCCGACTCGGAATCGGAGACAAGTTAGTTATTCAGAAATCTCAAACAACATCATACACACAGCATACTGGCCCATCTCCGTTTTTGTCCCTAGTCTCTCTTTCTCTCTCTTAAAACCCTCTAATACTATGTCCGAATTTACGCACGTATCTCATCACTACTGTCTCTCACCTATCTATATTTCTCTCTTTCCGCTTTATTTTCCCAGTTTTATGAATTCAATGTCGTGTCAATTGCCAAAAAAATTAATTCTCATGTGTCAAGACGCGAAACAACCTACAACAACCCAATCCGATTTACCATTCTATCATAACTAAGGTCTCTGTGTCTCATTTCTAAAGATAATCATCCGCCATCTCATCCTTATTCTGTCTAAATTTTTCGATTTGTCTGCAATAAGGTGTTTGATGCGAAAGCTTTGTGTTTTTTATACTCGCTGTGTTATTATAACCGGACCGTCAAGCAAGCAACTACAGCATAACTGAACAACAAAAAATACAGTAACCCCTAAAACAAACACTGGAAAAAACTATTCTACGCTTACACAGTTAAAGGAACACGTTGTTTTTCAGAAGCACAGGTCGGAATACCGGGAGCACAAAAAGGAGGCCCACCTGGGAAAAAATTGGGTTTGAAAGGTCCTCCAGTCAAGCAACCACCTCCACAGAAGCCAAAAGGACTCTCGATTCTTGATGAGCTGCTTCCCGAGACTCCTGCCAAACAACCTCCAACTCCATCAACAAGTCGACCGATCGCTCGTGGACCCAGCCATGATCAGAAAGCGCCAGTGTCCGAGGCAGAGCATCGTTTGCAAAAGGAACAGCAGCACGCGGAGGCTCTTCGTTTGCAAGCTCAGGTAAATCAACAATCTGATAAATCTAGGGACTGTTTTTCAAATTTATTAGCTTGGGACTTACTGTAATTAATCATTCCAGGCTCGCCGTCAAAGAGAGCAACGCGAACAAGATTCGTTCAACAACCAAGCCGAAGTTATGGCGGAGTTTGAGTTCAACGACTACTATTGAGCAGTCTGTAAAATTTAATTTTAATTGTTTTTTTTTCTTTACCCTTAACTTATTTATGTTCATTTTCAATTTTTTTTTCAAAATTCCTTAATTAGGGTTCATCCCACCTTGCAATTTGTCATTTCCGTAACCGTTTTACACCTTTAATTTCTGCCTTCTTTCATCCCAGTCTCCACCCCCAGAAAAGAATGTAAGTCAAAAAAAGTTCTACACCCCTTCCCCCTAACTACCGAATCTCATCTATTTTTAGTGAGTTTTATTTGAATATATAAGACTATAATTTATGTCCCCACCCAATTGTTCCCAATCAATAATTTTCTTATTGTTCTCAAGTTCCTTTTTCTCAGTAAGACATTTGGCCCTACTATTGTTAAGAAATTTACATGGATTGATTCTATTCTTTTATCTCACGATTCTTTTACCTCAAAGTTTGAACTTTTATGCCAGACGGTAGCCTTAAAATGAAGTGTTTCATGTCATCCAGTGGAAAAGTGTTTTATCAAAGTAGGAAACTCGAAATTCAGCTTGTTTTCAGAAAATTGAGATATGAAGAAATGTGGCAAATATTCCGGAGAAAGAAACTATCAGATCTGAAGACCTCAAACTGTTTAAAATCCGTGATCTTTGAACTAAATCATTACGACTTCTGTGAGAGATATGACGAAACTTTCAACTGATATTTCATTTATCAGAATGTCACTCATATTTCATTAGTGGACAACTTCTTGATATCTTTTACGGGAATCAAGATTATTGAGCTAAAAGTTAACTGTTTGAGTGAGTTATAAAAGGATATACGGTATTTGAGTAATAAAAACTAACCTGCAATACAAACAGCAAGCAATAGTACAATAATTTTGAAAAAAATTGGAAAAACAGAAAAATAACTTTTTTTGGTCTTGCCATATTGTTTGCGACTAAATGGGATCGATTTTTCGAAAGAAAAACAATTTCGCAATGTAACGAAAAGTACACAAAAGGAGAAAGACAGAGACGTTAATGACCTTGAATGGATGTGGATGACCTTGAAAAATGACTTCCTTTTTTGTGGCCTTTTCCTAGTTTTGAACTATTTTCAAAAACAGAAAAATAGAAAAATTTGAAAGAATGAGAATTTTCAAATTCTACAGTACGCCGGCAAATTTAATACTTTTGAAAACCTCGGCTATGTTCTAGAAGAAATGACTTCGAAAAGTGCATTACACAATGCATTCAAAAAACTCTCAGAGGTTTTTTTTTCTTTTGAGAAAAGCTTTTCTGCATATTCTTATAATTCAGCGTCGTACAAAATGGTTCATAATACACCATAAAATCTCTGATAGTAGGCCACAGAAACCTTCACCTTTGAACCGTCATATCTCGGTTACTGCAAAAGATATCAAAAGTTTGCCCACTGACAAAACTTTTATCAGAACATCGAAAATATTATGTCAGTTGTTCACTTTTTGATATCTTTCACTGGAACCCAAATATATAGGCTCAAAAATTAACGGCTTGAATGACTTTCTATAAGAGTGTTTACAGTAACCCTTTTGAAAAAAAAGATCACAAAATTGCTCATAAAACAAATCATTAGCAGCTCGATTAGTAATAAATACAAATAACTTCTACTTCAACTAACCAAAATATCATTAGAAGATTTTCGAAAACACTCTCTTGATGGATTAGGCGGAGTAAAGAGAAGAGAGTCCAAACACAATGTATCACGCTAGCCAAATAATAATTGGGAAGAAGGTATGAATACTTGGTGGATGCAGCGAAAAACAATCTCACGTGGGAGACAAAAAGGTTGCTAGTTGTCAAGCAACGTGTGACCAATAACCACAATGATGTTATTACAACACAATGAAGAAGAGACACAACTTTTGAAGATTGAGAAGAAGTAGTGGTCTTCAAGAAGGGTAATACTTTCTATTACATGTACTACGTCATATATGCATTTTGGCGGAGACTGGCACCGGATTCTCCTGGGAGAGTCGTGAGATTTTGAATATCAAGGTTGTTAGGGAGGAATGAGCAGTTCACCTCGACTTCAATTGTGAATATAATTTTTTCACTTCTTCCCTATGAAGATTTTTCGCAGTTTTTCGCAGTATCATCAACGAAGAACATTAAAAATTCTCGATGATCGAAAGTTGCAAGATTACGATGCTCGCAAAATGACGTCATTAGAAAACCGCAATATTAATTGTGATTATATTATTCTGGTAAGGAAAACTGTGGAAAAGAAAGGTCGGTGGCTGAAGTCCGTAGGACCCATAGCAACAATAACCGTAATCTGAGATAATTTTGTGTGTTTCAGTCAAAATAACAAAAAAAACATAATTTTCTGTTTTTTTTTTTGGAAAAATAAGAGAAAACTCGACGAAAAGCAGTGAAAAACGACATAACAAATCCCGAAAACAAAAATGTTTCAAGGTTACGGTAGTCCTAACTACCGAATATCCTGGGAGTTCCGGACATCGTCACCGGCGTTTTTCTTTCATAGCTTCATTTTTTGCACCAGAATCATAGGACAAAATCTGAAAACCGATCCAATCTTAGAAGTTTGTTCAGTCAAAAGGGCTTTTTTGTTTCCTAAACTACTTTTCTTCAACACACCGATCAAAAATGTCGATTTGTTCTTGTCTGCATGTCAAAAACATATGAATATGTAGAAACTTATATCTGATAAAAAGACTTTTCTTTTACAAGAGGACTCAATCCTTTTTGGCGGCCTACGACTCATTATTCAAACCCACTCATTTTGCTTTCGTATTATAAAAAAATAAACTTTACATGACAACTATGAATCAGGTAGTTGTAGGTCTCCTGGGTTTCCAGCTCGCTGGGTTGTGCTGATTAGAAAGAAGCCTTGTTGATAGGTAATAGATGAACTACTAGAAAAATATCAAAAATTATTTTTTTTGCTTTCGGTTAGTCCATAAAATGTGAACCGGCAAATATCAGTTAGTGATATTCCAAGTGTTTTATTCGATTCATTTTAAACCATACTTGCAAAATTCCGGGCCGGCCCGTCGAGAATTTCAGCGGGCCGGGCCGCTGTTTGTACAGGGTGGCTAATAAATACTGATACACAACTTTGCGCTCACTTACTCGCCTCCAAAAGAGCGGAACTGGCTGCAATTTGTTCAATTTTCGTTCATTACATCTCGTTCAACATATTTGCAAAGTTTTATGTCTTACTTTCAATGTTGAAAGAGATGGCGCGAGCTTTACTGAGCCATGCAGCAATAATTGAAGTGTTAGTTACGCTAAGACCAATTCGGACGTCGTTAAAAATCACAAAGTGTCGAGAATCTTGATTTCGACGGCTGCTGTACGTCACCAGAGACTTGGACTTTTAGATGGCTTTCCAAATTCTGGTATTCTAATCACGGTGACGACTCCAGCTGTCGTTGAAGCTGTCCAAGAGAAAATCCGTCGAGATCCGGAAAAGATCACCAAGATGACCAACGGCTTCAATATGTTTCAAAATGTGATGAAAACTATTGCCAATCAGAAGTTGTACTTCCATTCTTTTCAAATACAGATTCTTGACTATCAAAATCCAGCTACGTCGGAAGAAAAAAACACAACACCTCCTCCGCGGCACGCTAACCATTTCGAAGCCATTTCTAGATGTTTTTTATGATGCAATTTTCATTGTTGAGGTTAACAAGAACTGTAAAAACAACCGTAGTATTACTACTGACTTCGAAATCGGTTGCAAAAAATAAACATTTTTGAATTAAGCCAGTCACTCAACAGTCACTCACAGTCACTCAACAGCGGTTCAAGGGAAATTTTCTAGAGTTGATATAGGCTGCAGAAAAACGGGCTTCCTCGTCATATTTGAACTCACTAGACTATGCCACTCAAGGATGTTTAAGCCAGAGCGTCCCTCTGAAAAACTATCTAAGTTCTGATACCTTGCTGATTGCCCAAGAGAAATTATGGTAGGCTCTTTAGCCAAAAAGGCTGTGTGCCGTGATCGACTCTTCTCCGGAAGGAATCGAGCTGCCATCTAGGCCGATAATGAAATATTTGAAAACTTTATATAAATTTTGTTTCTCTATCGTTGGAATATGCTACTGTTAAAATTTCAACAGTTTTCAATGTTTTTCAAACAAGTTATGACGTCTTAATGTGTATCAGTATTTATTAGCCACCCTATACATAAGCTGATTTTTTTGAATTTTTTTCGAAAGTTTTAAAATTTTTTCAAAAATTTAATCAAAAACTCTATTGTCGAATTTAAAAAAGAGGGACCTGGAAAATTTCGCGGGCGGCTTACCGGTCAATTTTCGAGGCCTTGCCTCAAAATCATACGGTAGTAAACGCAACTTATATCAGTGAATTCAGTGGGATTTTCTGGACAAAAATTTAGATTACTTGGTATGAAAATGATTGCTAGAATCTCTAGAATCTGTTTTTAATCGAAAAACCAAACTTAATTGCAAAAGTAGCTCGAACGAGGCGTAACTCTGAAATATTACGTTTTTGCCGCACTTTTTTGTAGATCAAAAAAGCTACGCCTTTCAAATTCTCAGTTCCCACTTTTTTTAATTCGACAATCTAATTTTTTACTACTTTCTATTTTGATAATTTTAAAAGGTATGTAACTTATTTTCTTTTTTAATTCAAAAAAAATGTCCCAATTTTTCATTGGAAATTTTTTTTACTGAGAAAGGGCGGGCCGGGCCGTACCGGAAAAATTGTCGCTTCGGCCCGGCCCGGCCCGTTGCAAGTGTGTTTTAAACGCCTCATGACTTCCAGTATTTTACTTTATTTGTATCTAGGGACGTTTTTGAGTACCTTAAGACCGAGATCAACCTTCTATATTATATTGTTCATACCGTAAAATCTGTATTAGAAGGGCCGACCTTTCGTTTTTCCAAAAACCTTCGAAGAGACATTCCATTTTAAATAGAGGAGCCCTCTCTTTTTCCAATCACTTTTTTTCCAAAGCTTCTCATGAAAAAATTTGGTGAATGTTTTTTCATAGTTTCTGAAATCTATCAATTCCATCAAAATGGAGCAATTTTCAGCAAAACACTGTGTTTCAATAAACTTCTGGAGGAGAAATTTTTAGAACATTCCCACTGAAAACGTAGGGAACGTTTAATTTCAAACAGCACATGTTCGAGAGGGTCTTCTATTGAAGCGGCCTTTCCAATACAGGTTTTACGGTAACAACGTAATCTATTCAGAGCATAGTGTCCTATTCCTGTCAAACCCAGTTTATCCGTACTTCAGTTCCTCTAAAAGTTCGAATTTGAAGCTAATAAACAATTTTCAGATGACCGAACTAAGTCAATATTCTCCAATTCTCAAAACCACAGGTTTCGGTGGGAAACATTCTCAACCCGCTATTATAACACCATCCACTAACACTCCATCGGAATCATCTGTAAACGTTTCATTAAAAACAGAAAGTCAGGATTCCACATATAAAACAAAGTTGGAAAAAGGACTGAGAAACCAGCTATTGGGAAAACGCAGATCGGGTAAGGAAAATATTTTTTTTTTCTTTGACATTTTAAGCTTTTCGTTTCAGCCGATACCGAGTTCTCAACAGTCCCCCAACGTCCCAAGAAAAAAGCCAATTTCAATCCAACAAATCTGTACTTTTCGTTTTCCGCATATCACATTCATTGCATGAAAATTATTACTAAAAAGAAACGAAAGAAGCGGAAGCTGAAGTATGATTTGGGAGATTTCGTACCCGCCGAAAGTACCATCAAGGTGAGAGATAACTGGAAGTATCTAAAATAATCGAAATCTTATATTTCGCAGGCTCGTCGTTTGTTGAATGCCCAAAAACAGTCGTCAAAGGAAGACGCCACATCTGATCCCTGAAGGATATTTAACATTTACCCGAATTCTCTACTGAAAAAAAGATATCGTTTTCTGAATCGTTCTGCAATTTATGTTCAGATGGTTTGAATTCAACTGTTTTTCATCATTTCGTTTCTAGATCTCCTTTTTTTCTCCACTAGATTTTGTAATTTCCTTCTCAGCATCAATTGTATATAAACGGATTTTTCATTAAAAAATTGACCGTTTTGAGTGCTTTTCAGCAGAAAAGTGTTTGAAGAAAGTCGGATTGGGAATCAGTTTCATAAGTTTTCTAGCAAGGCAATTTTTGATGGGGATCTCTATTTTTCACAGCTCGATAATTAATTTCCCTTCTTCCCATTTTCGTCAAGCAAATTTCAATTTTTGAGGATTATGGTAGAAAAAAAAAACAAAAATGGCAATTGGTCCGCAAAGGCAAGCGAACGTGTTCACAGACAGCGTTGTTTCCCGACGCTTCTTCGAATGGTCCGTTTGTACGGTATTCAACCGTGTTTTCTCTTTTAAAATCCTCTTTCCAAGTCTAAAGGAGAGAAATCTCCCCCGAAAACACGTGCAAGAGGTGTGGATTACTGTATCCGCGCGCGAAACTGTGTGCGCGCCAAGACGCGTCTCCTCTCTCTTGTCTCAATTCTCATCGTTTTCTTTAGTTTTCGCTGGTGTTCGCTCACGATTGGTGACGACCCGTTAAAGTGTTGCTCACTGGTTACAAAGATTTTATAGTGGTTTATTGAGTCAATATATAGCGTTTTATAGGAATTCTGTGTTTTGTTGTCTTCTAGTTTTCAGGCTACACAGGTCTCTTTGAGTGCATAGAGGTTCTGTGAGTGCATAGCGTTTGTCTGTGTCTCTCACTCTCTCTGCGTCTCCTTGTTTTCGATAGTGTCTTATAGCTTATAGTGTTTCTGGAATCCTTTCCAGTTACATTACTCGTTGGGTCACTGTGTGTTTGCGCGGCTGTGTTCGCCCGCCCTCGTTTCTTCTTCTCTCGTTAGCGCGTTTGATAGTCATTTTAAGCAACTTCAAATGTTTAAAACTTGTTTTTATGCTGTTTTTGAAGATTAGCTCAACATTGTATACGTTCAGAACTTGAATAAGATTTTTTTTCCTAATGACTATTTGGATGCTGAAAAATCAATAAGGACAACAAAATTATTGAACTTCATTCAGTTTTTCGAGCCCTTTCTGAAAAGTTTCAGCAAGCAGTAAAAAATAAGCATGCTCTTTGAAACAATGTGAACTAACTTTTACCATTATATCAGTACTTATAATAATTTCCTTGAATTTTCAACTAAAATAATTTTTTCCAGGGTAAAAAGTTTGGCATTTTTCCACAATGCCTCCCAATCAAAATTCCAAACCAGCCAAATTCTTGAGTTTGATCCAGAAAGATTCGATGCACGCCGTGACCATGACACATCCACTTTCACAGCTTCAAACTGACGAAGGACTCACCGACTTCTTCTCGTTCTTCCCGGACTATCCAGCAAAATTTGATAAACCGGTAAGCAATTGTCAGTTTCGAGTTTTTGAAAACCAAAGCTAACTCACTCTAACTAGGTTTAAGGTTTTTTTTGAAAAATATTGAATCAGAACACTGTGAAACTTTCTGACTGATTACATAATTACTAATCCTGGAGTTTGAACGTTGTATTATTTGATGAGATATCCTTATTCTAAAATCGTTTTCATGCTTTCGAGCAAAGTATGGCTTTTCATGTTTTCGGGAATTGAGTTTATCTGATCACGTTCAGAGAGTGGTCTTAGATTTTTTGTCACTACTAGGAAAAATTCAGTAAAACACGATAAAATAGCATTGTTTATTTTTGGTCTCATTTAGCACCTTTCGTAAATGTTATCTTCCATTCTCTCATGAGCAACATTCATTTTTTTTTCTCTTATAGTCTGAAATGATTCGTTTTCTTGACATTTGGTAAGCCTTATTAGTTTGAGAAAAGTTTAAAAAAAGGGAAATTGGTTTTTGTTAGAAATGGCTAGTTGACTAATATGGATTCCAATTTCAGATTTCGCTCCATAGTCACAACCCAATACGTACTGTGCTTGGAAACATTGCCTCGGCTGATTCTGATAATCAAGAAGAACCTTCGCGTCATTGGAATCCAACGCCACCCTCACATGTATTGGCTCGAGGACAGCAAAATACGGGATGCGCAGATCAACAAGTTACAGAATTCCGCCAACTCTTCCCAGACTTCGACTCGTATACACTTTCCACTAAGAAGGTGGGTACCGTAAAACCTCTAATAGAACGACACCCTGATCGTCCACTTTGAGCCTATATATCTCATTTTCTGTGAAAGATATCAAAAAGTGGCTAACTAGTAAAATGTTGCTGATATCCTGATAAACATTTTACTGGTTAACCACTTTTTGATATCTTTCAAAATAAGTGAGATATATAGGCTCAAAGTGGACGATCCGGGTGTCGTTCTATTAGAGGTTTTACGGTAATTCCCGGTTTCCAGTTTTCGCGACATCAAATTCTAGTTAAGATATGTGGAACATTAATTACAGATGTTTATAAAAATTCATAGACATTTTTGCTTTGCTTGATCACTTGCTAGGTTTTAAGATAGCTTTACCGAATAAATTGACGTCAATCTTGCTGTGTTTGCAATTCAGTTTTTATCTATCTAAAAACGTCCAAAATGATGGAAAATAAAATAATTCAAAAAATAGATCCTTCATTTTTGGCGATTTTTTTAGTGGAGAGACTTTAAAGATGGGATATGTATTTTTCACACATATAATTATGTTTATATTTTCAGGACGGTCCTCTCCAAGGTACATTGAAAACTTCAACGAAAGTAAACTGTATCAAAAAGTCCGGATGTATTGAAAAAAGAGAGACGAGAGAAAAGAAGAGAGGACTTGCCAACGCACATGCCAAGCCAGGCAAGAAAAAGTTCTCAAATGAGGAATTGAGAGAAATAGAACAAGAAATCGAGAGAATGATGGGATCACCAAAAATTATCGATGAGTCAATTTCTGAAAATCGACAAAATTTATTCGATAAATACCATTTGAAATACTATCAATTCCCACCAGTATACATTCGAGAAGTCGTGCAAGACGTGATGGAAAATCACAAAAATAACAATAAACTTCAAAAACGGAAATAATAGAAATCTCATTTAAGGCACCAAATTTCACATTCATTTTATTATCCCTGTGAATATCTACCTACATATCTCATATCGCACTACCTGGTTTACAATTCTTTTTCCTAGTAATTATGTAATTTAGCGGTTTTTGTTTCTTGTCAAATAATATTGTGAACTGATTTATAATGAAGAAATTTTCCCGATTTTTTCATCTTTTTGTAAAAACTCGGAATAATCTCTCCCGCACATTCCCGTTCTCTGACTAGAAAATAATTGACATTTTACAGGTGACGTAATACACTTTGATATAAGGTCTTCAACGATCGGAAGCTAAGATTGCCAAGTTCAGTTCATGTTTCTGTTAAAGGGAATTCGTTCCGAGTTTTTTTTCTTTTTGATGAGCATACCGTGAACAAATTAACAAAATGATCCCCTAACGTTTAATTTCGATAATGACACATATAGGAACAATTTTGACGATTTACTAGAGTACTAGAGTACTAGAGTACTAGTGGACTAGGGCACTAGATTGAAGTGATTATTATTTATTTCCGGGATAATTTGAGCCACAAGATTTCCGGCTTGATTCGTCAATGGAAAGTATTGGAGCCGATTTCACAGTTAGTAAATGATAAAACCTCTTACACACCTTAAATTCCTTTCAAAAATTACAGTTTTCAAATTCTTAGAAAACGTGGAAAGTTCTAGGAAAAAAAAAATGAAAAAGAAAGTTTCAAAACCTTCTGATAAACATCCGAAAATCACGGCGAAGATTGTTGTATGCCTTCTAAGATTCTTGATAACATAATGCAATTATAGATCATAAGGAAAAGATGGTTTTTTTACATATTCAGAAGGAATATCTGAAAACTTGTTTCTCTAGAATCAGACCCTCAAATGCTGCCAAGTATTCCTGTACGTAGTGACGTAAAAATGCATACGATAACTCAAAAAATACTCTGAAACATATTCTGTCGTCCCTCTGTTGAGTGAATTTAGTTTGTTTTTATTTCAGTCAATAAATGTAAGTTTGAAATTATGAATAACGTGGTTTCTGGAAATAACTTGATTGTATTTCATTAGTAATTTTTGATTGAGATATTGATTTTTTTTAACTGTATATCCATCAATTCTATTTTCTTCGCATTTTCACAAACTGAACCTAATTTTTTTATTTTTTTCAGGATTATGGTGGAAACCAAATATTCGAGGTAATTTGTCCGCAAAGACAAGAGGACGTGTTTGCAGACGGCGTCCCTCCTTCCGCCTCTCAGAATGGTCCGTTGCGTGTGTGCGACGCCCTGTGTGTATGCGGTGTTCGTTCGCCCGCACTCTCTTCTTCTTCTTCTTCTCTTCTTTTGTTTATTGCTGCGAATTAATTTTTATCATTAACTCCTTGATTTTAATCTCATAGGGCTTCAATAATATCTTAAACACTCTAATTTAATACCATGCCACTCGAAAAAAAATAACAAAAGACTGTTTCACGCATCCAACTTTGATCATTTTTAATTAGCATAATTAATTTAAAAAATTTCTGCTATTGTAAAATGAATCAAAATGTATTTTCGTGATGCCACACTATTACATTGTGCCATTTAACTTGAGGGTGGCTTTCAATTTTTTAGAACAAAGCACAGGATACCGTCTATTAGACGGTATTCATCAATCAGGAGGAGCTTTCTATTAAACTGTTCACGTAAATTTGAATACTAAGTGACGTAGAAAGAATTGATCTCGTCTTCATTTGAATAACTGCAAAAATTCTTCAAAAAATCGATGAGAATTACATACAGTTTGAACGTAATTCAATATTTTATGTCCGTTATGATAGCTTCAAACAAAATTGAGAAAAATAGAACGTTGTTAAAGCCGTGTAGTAATGTTAACAGACCCTAATACCGGTAATTCATTTATCTCTGTGATTTTTCTCTCTAAACTCGTTTTTTAAAATAATTGTTTTCTAAAAAAAATGATTTTTCAAGTAACTTTCTCTGTTTCGCTTCTATTTTTCACCCCATTTGCTTTTTCACGACATGGAAAAAATCACGGAAAATCTCGAGGCCATGGAGATCGGCGCACCAACAACTTCGGATTCTAATTTCGATCAGCGACAGCACGAAGAAGCTCTCCGTCTTCAGTCTATGGTAATATTTCATGATCTTATGCGTCTGATTATCTTAGAAATTTCAAAAACTCATAATAGTACTTACTGCAATTAATTTTTTTTAGGCTCTAGCCAATAAAAAAGATGAAAACAAGAACTCCATTGATTTCAAGATTACGAACATCGAGGATTTTGAAGGAAATTATGCCAAGTTTCAAAATATGCATAGGAACGACTAATTACCTTCCTTATATTTTTTGTCGTCTTGCAATTGCCACACCAGAGTTCTCCGATGTCCCAGTTGTAAATATCTTCTCTTAACAATTCTAAAAAATGTAAAAGTTTTGTTTTTATTTTTGATGTGTTTCCTTCCTCATAATCAATTTGCCTTGAATGAAAAAAATAATTTAGACTTTTTTCTCGATTAAATGGTTTCCAGCCAGGTAGTATACCTTGTCACTTTTTTTTTTTCAAAATCTCAGTCATCTCTCTTTGTTCAATTTAAGATCTTCTTATGGAAAACTGGGCGATGCGCGAAAATTTCTCAAACACTTTATCATTTTGACGAGGACAACAAATAATGAGAGTTTACATACCGTGTTTCCACTAATAGGATCCCACCTCTAATTGAAGCCCACCCCGCGAGGTGCTTCGAAAAATAGAAGCCCCCTCTAATAGAAGCCCATGGGCTTCTATTAGAGAAAATACGGTGATAAAAAATTTCATATTTTTTGGAACTGGTATTTTAGAACTTGAAAATTTCTCAATTTCTGAGCTACAGAATTCTTGAATTTTGAATTTTGAGATTCTGGAATCTCAGAATTTCATAAATTCCGAATTTTGGAGTTCAGAATTGCAGAATGACTTCTCCGAACTAAAAAAACCTCGAAGTTCAGAATTCTTAACTTCCGAATTGCCAAATTTCTGATTTTTTGAACAAAATTTTTTTGAAAATTAATCATTGAAAAATAGAAGCCCACCCTGAGAGAGAGGTTGAAAAATAGAAGCTCATGGGCTTCTATCAGAGGAAATACGGTAATTAGCAACTTTTCAAGCAATTTTTTTTGGGGAAAGTTGTGGAACAAGGTAAAGTAAATTTTAAAAAGTTGAGGTCAATGTTTATGATTTTAGGATCTCACTAGGAGCTTCTCAAATTGATAGGTGCTTATTGGAAACTGGTTTGAAAACATGAGTCTTAATTTGTTTTTAAGAATGGAATTGAATGAATGTAATTGTTTATAGGCTCGTTTAAGGCTTCCATTTCGGTCGGTCGGCTAAATTTCCCGACCGAATGGAAGCCTTAGGCTCGTTGGTTTTTTTATATTTCAAAGGAGCATTTTAAGCGATTCTACAAAATCTAAAAATATCCTTCCCGTGCTACATTTCCCCAGTTTTTAGAGTTTTTCCATAGCAACTCGGAATTAATCTGATTAACTAAGGTACCAGTCTAAAGGTAAGCACTGTCAGTGATCCAAAGATAAACTTACCGCTCAACACATCTACTCCCATTTGTCTCACTATGGTATAACATGCTACGGTATAGCTGTGATATATTGTTTTCATCTGAACATTTTCTAACATTTGTAATTTTTTATTTCAATTCATGTTCACGAGTTAAAACGTTAAAAATTATCAATTTGGTCGAATCCACATCTTCTTTTTTTGATCGTCCTAGCTTTTTTCAAATCTACTTTATTTGAAGCATCCATCTTTCTCTTCTTTGATCCGCTTCTGCTGACTTGAACATTATTCTTGTTGCCAACAAATCCACTGCAATTCCAGCATCCACACTCACATCAAATATTGATTTCGAACAATTTCGCAACCGATTGATTTCATTTCTGCGCCTCTAAAAATAAATAAATGGATTATGACACGTGTTTGAAAACTTGGCGCTTACGTTGTTGTTGATACGGTCGTCTCGATTCCCTTGAAGAGTTCCTTGTTTTTTTCTTCTGTCAGAAAAAGTGAAGGAATAAAAGTGAGCGGCTTCCGAGGTCGTATGGTTTCCAGCAACCCATCCCTTCAGAAAAGTGTTCACTGTCTTCTGCATTCCGGTCATCAAAAATTGGTTTTTTTTTAAATTTCGAGTTTCAGTTTCAGTTGAAGTCTTCAGTTTCACTCCTTTTTCTGGTCCGGCATATTGGTCCCATTGAACGTCCTAATCATCTCGAAATCAGTTGGGACTTTCGAATCGAAGGCAACAGGAGTGGTTGTTGAGAATTAAATGTCGGCTACATCCAGCAAGTTCTACCAAGAGTCCGCCACCGAGAATAGAAACGGAAATATCAGTAAAATATTGAACGATTAGGATCCCAATCGGGGTTCCATAGGAAGGCCAATGATTTTGAGCATCTGCTGGAACCTTATATAGGGGCTGGCTAAGTGGGCGTGTCCAGATGGTCTTGTATGGGATGGGGATTTCATCTATTAAAAGTCATCCTATGATGATTTATAAAGAGACAACGTTACTGATGCTGACAATAAAACTGTAAGGCAATTGAAAGGTGAAGGCAATCCTGTTATGTTTCCTTTTGTCATTGCTATTTTCATCATTTTTCATCGCAACTGGAAAATTAAAAGAAGCGGAGACAAGTTGTGTTTAGGCTTTTTTTGAAACGCTTCTCAAGTCAAATCAGGCCCAACTATGAAAAATATTTCTTCAGAACTACGAAACTTACTGTAGGTTTTTTATAATTTTCAATTTCTAGAATTACGAATTCAGTGCTCTATTCTGGCACAATTGCATTTAAGGCGAAGGAAGGATCCCCTCTATTTGGCGATGTTATTCACCAGAAACCCTCGCAACTTGTTCAGTGGAGGGAGAGTGAGTACAGTGAATGTACAATAATCCGAATAAATTCTGAAAATGGATATGGAAATTGGAAACAAAGGGTTCTACAGAGTGCTGGCGACTTGAGGGTTGATACATTTTCATTTGAATCAATAAATTGTTTGTGTTGCATTTTTTTCAAACTCTGTCAATTGATGAAATGTGTTTCATTATTGTCTTTTGAGCAAAAATGTTGAAGTGGACCTATAAATATGCAACTGTTGCAAAAGGCTGATTTTTCGAAAAGGGTACATAACTCGGGTACTTTTTCAGATATCCTTTTGTAATATGGTAGACATATGTAATTTTGGACCCCGAATCTGATTTTTTAATACCCAATATAAACGTTGACAGTTCTCACGTGGCAGTCAACAAATAGGGTGGACCTATAAACTTGCAACGTACTGTATTACCGTCATTTTATCTGTTAACGGAAAGTCTTGGTATGAGAGATTTTAGATGAGCGTTTAGGGTATTAATCATTTGGATAATTCAGGGACTAGACACAATAGTTGGAGAACGAGGTACCCAACTACTTTGACACAAGTATTTTAAGAACATAAATTTTGAAATTTATTTGTACTCAATTTGTAATTTAGCGTTTGATTTTTTTAAAAGAGAAGTTATCGGTTTTACATTTCTTGACATTTCGGCAAACTGAATCTAATTTTTTTGAAGGATTACTGTAAAAGAAAACAAAAGTCGTCTGCGCAGTCCGCAAATGTCCGTAAAAGTGTATGCAGGCAGTCCCTCGTGCCGCCACTCAGAACGGTCCGTATGGTGCGTTGCGACTGTGCAGTGCCTTGTGTGTGCGCGGTATCAGTTCGCCCGCCCTCTCTTCTTCTTCTCTCTTTGTGTTTCTGGCTACGGGTTAATTTTTTTAACATTGTGATTTTATTTTCATAACGTGTTCACTAATACCGTGAACACTCTAAATTGTTATTTTGGTACTCATTTTTTAAAATCATTCAACATTATAATAATAATTTAAATTTCGAGAGCGGTAATTTTTTAAGTAATCCGTATTATCCTCATAGGTTCGAAATGCCCAATTTAGCGGAAAATAGTAAATGTTGAGTTAAAAATTAAGATTGTAGTCTTCTTGTAGACACCATAAATTCTCAACTAGCATCATCATTTATTTCCGGGCAGCACTGTAACTAAAAACGAGAATAAAACGTAGTTTTGAGATCGCTACAGTATTGAAGTGTGGCATTCAATTGTTAAGAGCATAGCTCAGAAAACAATAAATTATAGGATGGCATTCAATTAGGTGGGGCTTTATATTAGTGGTTAATGTAATTCGAATAGTAAGTGACACAGAATGAATAAGATTTATGTCTTCATTTAAATAACATGCATGAATTCTAAAAATCGCTGAGAATTGAGTACAGTTTGAATGTGAATCAATGATTTACATCCGTTATGAAGTTTTAATGAGAAATTAATAAAAAAAGTAACGTTTCTAAAGACGTGTACTAACGTGAAGAGCAGCTTATTCTGCTGATTCGTGTTTTTTTGTAATTTCAAAAGTTTTCTCGAATTCTTTCTCTTAACTCTTTTTTTAAAGAACGTTTTCTGAATAATTGTTTGTCAAGGTAATCCCTCGTTGCGTCCAAAAAACCTATCAAGCCAATGGATCAGATTGCCGAACAACTTCAGGGAATGGAGATCGACGCTCCAGAAGTTTCGGATCCAAATGTCACAAAGCAGCAACTCGAAACAGCTCTCCGTCTTCAAGCCGAGGTGAATATTTGATACCGTTAAGGAGGGTTTCCTAACGAAATTTCTATTGCACTAAAAAGTTTTCATTATTACGTATTTTTCGAAATGTATTTAAAAAATTTGAGAAAAAAAATCCGAAATCACCGAAAAACGCGGCTCTGGGACGTTTCGTAGCGAGACGATGTGCAGAAGAGTCGTTTCGCAGCTAGGACGTTGTGCAGCCAGCCATTTCGCAGCGCGCGTTTCGCAGCTAGAACGTTTCGCAGTCGCTATTGTCTCAAATCGAAAAATCCCAGGCTTAAAGCATACTTTTCTCGTATTTTCTTGCTTAATTATCTGTTATTTTTCATGCTCAATAGTATTCATCAACTTCGTGGCATCGATTTTTAATAGCTATCAGAAATACACATAATCACGTTTTTGTGTTATTTTATTTTCTCTAAATATGTGTATTCCCCCCCCCCCCTCAAACACTATTGAAAATGGAAAATAACAGATAATTAAGCAAGAAAATACAAGAAACATATACTTTAAGCCTGAGATTTCTTGATTTGAGACAATAGCGACTGCGAAACGTCCTGGCTGCAAAACGACGCATCTGCGAATCGTCTCGCTACGAAACGTCCCGGAGCCAAAAACGCAGTTGAAAGCGAAAATTAGCATAGCATATAAAGGTCGCGACAAGGATTCAAGTTCCAGCCCAGTAAGAAACCTAGGCCATGGCGCCAAAAATTTTTTTTTCAAATTGCAGACAGTAGTATTTATACTTTTTTTGTGCGGAGATAAAAACGACAGAATTCCATGAAAAAATTCGTCCTAGATTTCTGATTTGCGCGGGAACTCAAATCTTTGTCACAATTCGGTTTTTTTTTACTTTTTCACAATAACATAAAAAATAGATAACGTAAAACATGTATTAGAAGGGCTTCTATTTTTCCGGTCATTTTTCCAAAATTTTTCATCGAAAAATTCGACGAATTTTCGTTCAAAGTCATGAAAATCTGTCATTTTATCAAAATTTATCAAGTTTTTGTTAGAATTCCCGGAATATTTTTCACTGTTATTAGAGGGGCCCTTCTAATACAGGTTTTACGGTAATATTGAAAGCATTTCGGTGAAATAAAAATTTTTGTCGGAGTCTCTTTTTAGGAATATATTTCAGAAATAGCAAACTTTTTTATAATAGGGCTTACCAAAATTAGTTGCTTTCAGGCTCGAGCCAAAAAGCAGAGATCCGCCGAGTCTTACCAGGACATGCTTGAGAAAGTTGATGAATTCGACGCCAATCATTCCGGATAATAAGCCAGAAATCAATCTGAAGCCGTATATGTAGATGCCTTGCCATTTTCTTTTTAAAAAACTCCGATGAACCCACCTGTGAATTTCTTCCCCCAACAGTTTCCCGATCATCTAAATATTTTTTTTATTAATTTTTAATTTTGATGCCTTCCCAAAAAAAAACCTAATATGAATAAATTAATTGAATATCCCGAATATTTTTTCTTGGATTCATGGTTTCTAACCAATTTCTTTACCTTGTCATTGATTTTTTGTTCTCATTGTCCAATATAAAACCTCCAATCTGAAACTCTATTACAGAAAATGCTCATTTCATGAAATTTTTTTGAAAACTTCATCATCTTGTCTGATTCATTCTTATAAAGTTCTTAACTTTTCAGCGATTTGCCGATTTTTGTAACACGCCAGTTATCTTCACGTGTTTTTTGTACAAAACAGGCCAAATTTGGGAGTTTTTTGAAAATCGGAAAATAGCTGAAAAACTAGGAATTAAAAAAATATTTTGCGAATTCAAAGTTTTCAAGAAGAGTCTGTTTCACATTCACCAAAATTTGTTTTCGACCAGTACCGTATAGTCTTTTGAAAAAAAAGATTTTTTAAATATATTCTCCGTTTGACCACAAAAAATTATTTTTTTTTGTTAGTTTGCTGAAGAATTCCCTTGTTTTAATGTAGATTTTTATGATTTCCCTTTTCCTTCCGATTTCAGTGACAACATTTACCTTCAACAGGTGAAAAATAGGTGAAAACACCAGCGAAACAACCTTCTATTTCGCAACATTTGTTGTTTTATTATGTGTTCTCATTGGGGCGCACTTGCGGCGCGTACTCGTTAGCGTTTCGCAACGCGCCTACTAAACAGGTTGTGTTTTAATGTTGCGGCGGTTTTAACTTCCTTTTGCAAATTCTTTTACTTCTTTTTTCCCCTATATCATGATGACGAGAAGTTCTCTGAACTTATCGAATTTTCCCATTTTTTATTTATTTTTCCCTCAATTCGTTCATATTTTTTCTTTTTTTTTCGAATTTTCCCTCAATTCGTTCCGTTTTTCATTTCCAATTTCCCTCTCTCCATATGCCCTCTCTATATTCTTGTTTTCAATTTTTCAGGGCTCCGAGTGTGAGGAAGAGAACCGAAACGAGTCAGCCGACCTCCCAAGTCCTCGCAGTTCGTCTCTCATTGTCTCATTGCGTCTGCGTCTCTTGCTGTCACCAATTTCGATGTGTACTCTCTAATCGCGTCTTGTTTTGGGTGAAGAGAGAAAGAGCACAAGTGTGGCCAGTTGACACTTCCAGTGGTCGCGTTGATACGAGATGAAACTTGTATGGTTTTTACCGGTGGCTCTGCTGATTGTGACCCAAGTGGCATTGGGATCTAACAATGGCAACAATGGGTTGGATATGGCAGCGCAGAGGGTGAGTTTTTTGAATTATAATTTTTTTAAAAGTAAGATTTAAAAATGAATTTCTACTTTTTCAGCGTGCCGCCAACATTCACCGAATGGACACCATCATCCTTCTCACCTACGTTTCTGTGATGGTCGTCATTGTGGTCACTGCGTGGGCATTCAAGCATTACCGGCTCAGATTCATTCATGAGAGTGGTGTCACACTGTTCTATGGTGAGTGTTGAAATCTTATACAGTAACCGGTCAAAAAAAACATGTTTTTAATTGATTTTCGGTTACTATGACCATTTTCAAGAGACTGGAGCTTGGCCGTCAAATTTTCGATAACTTTGAAACTTTTCGAGGGTGTAAATCAGACCTAGATTGAAAAATTTACACTACCTGAATTTTGTGAAATTTCCTAGTTTTTCAGCTAATTACCGCTTTCTGGAATACAGATTTTTTCCAAGGTATCAGTAAAAAACCAGTCAAAAAGTAATGTCTTCCAGAAATCAGCAAATAGCTGATAGACTAGGAACTTCCAAAAATCCTGTGAATGCAAAGATTTGACTCCAGATCTGTTTCACACGCTCCAAAATTTTCAAAGTGATCAGAAACTTGACAGTCAAAGAACTCCTGAAAATAGTAGTCTTGGTAGACAAACAATTAAAAAATAGTCGTTTACATCTTCTAGGCGCTGTGAATTTTATATTTGCGATGAAAAGAAAATTTCAGGATTACTGATTGGATTTGTGATTCGATACTTTGGTCTGGGTCTGCTGCAATCACAGACGTTTGATGTGGAAACTAAGAACAAGACTGTTGTGAAAGAGCCTCCAGATTATTTGATGTAAGTTTTGAAATTCTAGCTTTTCCTTTATTCCATTTTCAGGCTCGAAGTGAAACCCGAAGGCGGCTCAAGTGTATCCTTTCATTATGAGCTCATCGAAGGATTCTTTGCCGATAAACGAAAGAAAATTGAGCAGCAAATTGAGCAAAAGGTATTTCAAGAATCCCAGATTTCAGCGAATCCCAAATTTCAGAGTGTCTTCTCTCCGGAAGTTTTTTTCAACATGCTCATCCCACCGATTATTTTCAATGCTGGCTACTCGCTTAAGAAACGACATTTCTTTAGAAATATTGGGAGTATATTAGCTATCGTTTTCATTGGCACTACTATTTCGTGTTTTGGCACAGGGTAAGCGCTTTTTTGAGAAGAATTTAACAAAACAATTAGGGTTTTCAGATGTTTGATGTTTGTGTTCACTTCGATATTTCAGATGGGTTATACTTTCAAGGAACTTTTGTTTTTCGGTGCTCTTATCTCGGCTACCGATCCAGGTAACCATCAATTTTCAGAAGAAACCTCCACACCTTGTATTCTGATGAGAAATTCAGGATAAATAGTAATATCCTTTATTAGACACTACTGGAAATTTTAGATGACGCTTGTCAGTTTTAGCCGGGTTATATCAGTTTCAGTGCCAAAAGCGCGTTTTCAGTGTCAAAAACCGAGAATTTCGAAAACGATTCTCAACTTCTAAGACGTTTTAGAACATGAAAAATGTTGTGTTATGCTTAGAAGTGTTCAGATTCTCATAATTCAGACGTTTCCTAAAAAAAGTTTTCCGGCTTTTTCTGAAACTGGCGTGCGGATTCTAAAAGTATCTTGATAGCGAATTCTTAACCAATCCTCTAAAGTTAGGTTAACAGGGTGGTGAGGTTTTCTTTTTAGGGGTCAAGTTTAACAAAACCATTTATTACAGTAACCATCATTTCCGTATTCAATGACATGAACGTGGAAGCCGACTTGTTCGCTCTTATTTTTGGAGAAAGTGCATTGAATGACGCTGTAGCTATTGTACTTTCAGAGTATGTCACTTTTGCCAAGAGTCTCTTAGAATGGCAAATTAAAAAAAAAACTAAATTTTCAGAGTCATTGAGAACTTCTCAACTAGCAGCGAAGCAATCACACTACACGACTTTGGAAGCGCTATTGCTGGATTCGCTGGCGTCTTCTTTGGCTCATTGATGTTAGGTTTTGGCATTGGATGTATGAATGCGTTCCTTACAAAAATGACGCTCATTTCGGAGCATCCACTGCTAGAGAGCTCTTTGTTCGTTCTCATTTCCTATATATCGTTCCTAGTGGCAGAAGTTTGTGGGTTGACAGGTAGCGTCGTTATTTGGAAGAAGAGCTGAAGATCCCAAAATTTCAGGAATCGTATCAGTGTTGTTCTGTGGAATTGCACAAGCTCATTATACCTATAACAACCTATCAGATGAGTCGCAGAGTAACACTAAACACTTTTTCCATGTAAGTAGATCAAAAATCGGCCATTTTGACAATTTTCAGGAGTCTGGAGCTCGGCTGTCAAGTTACCAAACGTTTTGAAATTTTTAAAGTATTCAGACTGGGTCTGTTTGACAATTTCCAAAATTTTCCAAATGAGCGCATATTTGACAGCCGAGTTCCAGACTCCTGAAAATGGTCTCACCAACTTTTATGTTTCCTTTTGTAGCCACTAATTGCCATTTTACAGATGATATCATTCATTATGGAGAGCTTCATCTTCTGCTACATTGGAGTCAGTGTGTTTGTGACCAACAACCAACGATGGAGTTTTTCATTTTTGCTCTTCTCTCTAGTACTCATATGCCATTTATTTTCTATAATAACCTTTTGTTTGTTTTCAGATCTCCATCACCGCTTCACGCGCCTTGTTTGTTTATCCGCTCAGTTGGCTTTTGAATATTCGTCGAAGGCCAAAAATTCCGAAAAGGTAAGTTGATCGGAAACCTCTTTTTATACAAAAATAGCAATTTTCAAATGTGATCTTTGGCGCTGTTTTCCTAACAGCTGCAATTTCCAATTTCTTAATCAAAAACGTTATGTTTTTCCAGGTACCAACACATGATTTTGTTTGCTGGTCTTCGTGGAGCTATGGCATTCGCTCTAGCTGGAAGGAATACGTCAACAGAAAATAGGCAGACAATTTTTGCCACAACAACAGCAGTGGTTATCGTGACAGTGTTGGTAAACGGTGGATTGACTTCATGGATGATTGAGTATTTGCAAATCAAGTTTGTGATCATTTTTTGAAAATCTGAAAAAATAGAAATTCGCGTTTTTCAGGCATGGGAAAGATGCCATTGAGGAGGGCCAACGGTTGGAGAACTCGATGAGTTGTTCGCGTGGAGAACAACATTCGGATCTTGAGGAAACGATTCCAGTGACAATGGCTCCAGGATTGAATCCGTGGGATAAGGCGTTTCTTCCAAGGAAGTGGTATCATTTTGATGCAAGGTAAGTGAACTAAGTATGCTTGGAGGAAAGCTCAAAACCGGATAAGCTGGACAAAGCAAAAGGAGATACAATACTGTTCAGTACAACGTATTTATCATTTTATTTTCGGCCATTTTGACTATTTTTTGAAGTCTGGAGCTCGACTGTCTGGTTTCTTATCACTTTGAAAACTTTGCAGTATATAAAACAGTCCTAGATTGAAAACTTTGCGTTTACAGAGTTGTTTGAAAATTTCTAGCTTTCAAGTTGTTTGTCGATTTCTGAAAGAAATCTGCTTTTTTAAAGGTTTTAGTATAAAAAGGGCCAGCAAAGGGATATTTTTAAAGCATATTGACAAAATATAGGACCTTTCAAAATATTTTGTGAATTTGAAATTTCAGTTTAGGCTTGTTCCACATGTTCTCAATATTTTAAAAAAAGATAGCAAGCTTGAGCTCCAGACCCCTGAAAATAGTCAAAATGGTTTTATATATCTTGCTTACGTTATTTTATTGACGACTAAAGTCGCATTAGGTAAAGGCGCAAAAAAAAAACGTCTAGAAAACGCAGAGTTAAAAACGCCCTCGTCTCTCAAAATAATTTCAAAAACAAAATTCTCAGTTTCATGAAACCTCTGCTCACCCATGCAACACCATCTCTGGAGCAGACACTTCCTCCATTCTGCCTCCCGATCACCTCGCTATTGACGTCGAGCCGTCAACGCGCCGTGAGTAATCCTCCCAACTAACTCGACAATGATGACTACCGCATGTCTCTCTTCGCATGCTAACGCATACCACATCTTGCCTGTGAATACTCCCAACAGCTTTATTTTTCCAAATCTTCCCTTCCAAAAAATCAACTATTCAGGACGAGACGTCATCATTCGATTCCGAGTAATTCCGAGATGCGTAGGCAGTCCTGTGTTGTGTATGTTACTTCTCCCAAAGCTCACCAAAAATAAGTTACCTACTTTGAAACCGTATCATTTATTTTGAAATTGAACTTCTTCAAAAACACTTCAGGTTGCTTCTAGACTTTCATTGTCGTAACCATTTATACAATAATATAACCCCATAAATCTAAGTTTTTTGCAGTACCTCAACACGGACCCTCTCGACACAATTGTACAGTCAGGCGCCGCTTCACTAATTGATGGTTCTGGTTGTGTTGAGGAATCTGTTTAATTTATTTCTTCTTTTTTCTTCAAATTTCTATTTCTATCTGTATTTTTGACGCTTTCTCTATTCATGCTTGGTTGTTCATAATCCCTTTTGGTCCGCTCACTTTCCTATCCGTTCCAGTCAATTTGATTCCGATGACTCTCCTTCCATAGTTGCTTCGCGGTGATTTTCCAACCCACGAGTTGATTTCTACTTTATAACCTTTGATTTTCTCCCCGGCTTTAACATTTTGCGACTTTGTGATTTGCCTAGCTTTGATTTATTATTTGTAAAGAAAATGTTTATTTATTTTTTTTTGTAAAGTTAACATTGATATTGAAATCAGAATTGTCGCACTTCGGTTCGTTGTCGGCGAAGAGCTGGAACAGAAAAATTTCTGATTAAAAAAATAATTCAAGAAACTCACGATATTGATCTACTACGTGGAACGGGGTCGTGTTTGCCGGATATTCTGGTGGGGGTGGTAATCGGAATTGATTTTCTTCCAGATTGGCCCGTCTTCGTTCCTCCACTATCAGCTTATCAGTGCGGAGTTTCATCAGAACAGCACCAATGACATAAACGGTTCCGAGACCAAGAACTGCGGATAATACAACGGCCAGCGCAATCATGAGGGAGTTGGTTTCTACAACTTGACTTTTCAAAAAAGGAAAATTGATAAAGACGTACCATGTAAAACCATGAGCATTGTGATATCATTATCACTGATTGCACCGACTTGTACGGATTCGTCGGCAAATTGGAAATCGAATTCTCCATATTTTGAGCATTCCTAAAAGTTGTAAAAATATATGAAAGCGAGGTTCTATGTATGTATTCATTTTTGCTTTTTGTTGAGCCTGCTCTATCTAAATAACTTGTTCAAGAATTCATACTTTTGATTCTTGACTTACAGTTTTTGGGTCCAAATGTCATGATACAAAGTTTTTTAAAATACAAGTTTTGCTTTTATGCTGTACAAACCAACTACCGTATACGCATTTAGAGAAGATTATGTTATATATGCGCTTTGAGCTAAATTATTTTACTTTCTATGTATGAAAGACAACACGATTCTGCAAACTATTAAAATTTTTGTCACAATATTAAAATTTTAGCAGTCGACACAATTTTGCCATCTCTTTTTTGAATAGAGATAATTGAGCTAGTACTAGTATAGGGCGGCCTTTCATAAGATACGGTATTTAGGCTCATAAAAACGACATTTTCTCAATGATTCCCATTTCAAGTTTCAATGAAAATAACCTGTATCATCAATGATATTTCCTCAGCACTCAATGGTTTCTTCTCATCTGTGAATGGCAAAGTGACGGTCACATTGTAGATAACACCTGAAAACTCATATTTCACGAATTCCTTTCTTATGTATAGGTTACCAAAAAATAATTTGTAATTTTTGAAGCGGTATTGCGAAATCTGTATTGTCGACGCAATAGATTGGGACCACTGTTTTGCATAATCATCAGCATCACCTGCAGAAGGAGCAGCTAGTTGAGGTGCGTAGTTTTTGAGGAAGTTGAATGTGATTTTTCTGGCATAAGAGTCTCCGCTGAGATCTGAAATATATCTCTCTGGAAAGTATGACCTTCATCTCTAGATTTTACCTCGCTTGACTATAGAATATGTGAAATTTAAAACTGTGATCATGTTCAATAGTTTCTGATATCCTATGGCTTTTTGTATGGACTGGACTGCTAAACCATTGGTTTTCTGGTCAGCTCGATATGGTGGCCGCAGTGTTGCCTGGATCGTTCTATTCCCTCGATTGGATATTTTCACGAACCGCCTGAAACTTAACTAGTGAATGATAAATCAATTTTGAAACTTCTTACTTTTGATTCACTTCCGATAAATTTGCAATTCTAGTGAACATCTTCGACAAATCATCAGCTGTCACGTCCACATCTATCACAAGAGTTAATAAAATTTCATTGTGATCTGATAACGGATCTGGTTGAGGTCCATTGGTGAGGAATACACTGAACAAGAAGAGAAAATGTATAAAACGAAGAAATTTCTCACCCAATAATTCCTGTAGATGAACAATTACATGTCAGAAAATTTTTTCCGTTCACTGATTTTGCATAATTTGAAGGCATGCATTGTCGGAAGTCCCATCTTGTATTTTGATTGTAGATGTAGCACTAAAAGCAAATATGACTACCCGACCAATTTACTGTATTTCCACTCATAGAACCTCACCCTAACCTTTAACTTTGACTTCAATTATCTTGATTTCTGTGATGAATATCAAAACTTTGTCAACTGATGAATTATCAATCAAAATATGACCAACAATTCATCTATTTACAAAATTTTGACATCTCGCACAGGAATCGAGGTGATTGAGCTCGAAGTTAACGGTTTCTGTGAGCTTCTATTTGCGGAAATAGGTATTTGAAAACCACATTTCATAGGACAATTTTTAGGCACAACTTTTAGAACTCACATTGTAATAATTGATAGGTTTGTAGTTTTTGACTTCGATATCCACAGAGTACAAAATCTGTCCGTTTGATGGTGTTAAAATAGTACCAGAAATAGGATCTACCAAGCTGAGCTGAAGTTTCAAAATCTAGCTTTTACTTTCGTCTGCCGCATTTTTCAAACCTGATGGAGATCCGACACACTTTTGTTGATCGATAAATCATAATAATTCAAGAACAAATCCTCCGCGAGGTAAGTGTTATCATTGATTGCGCTGCTAGAAATCCAAGCGGTGCCAAGGCACACGTATCTGCATGTAGAGCTCGAACCGGAGCCGCAGGTCCAAGAGGAATAGGAGGATGAGAAGTAGGAAGAGAAGGAGATCTAGAAGTTTCATTAGACTGCATTTGAAAAGTTAAACTAACATTTGAGAAGTTTGGTCCACTGATATTGAACTTTCCACTGTACCCATCTCGATTCACATTCACAGTTTGAGTCTGGATTTCTGTATAGCCACCTCCCTGAAATTAGAAATTTCAAAAAAGCAATTATCTTTTGTTGCTTACCGTAGCCGACATATATCTCTTCGAATCTTCATCCAATTGAACACAAAATCCAGTCAAAAAATCATTAATATTCAAGAAGAACACATCAACCACAGGTTTGTCTTTTCCAATCAGAATGTCGTATACTTTCAGCATATCCGTAGCCTGGAAATGGAATTTTTAGGATAACCTGTTCATAGTCATTGCTCACTTCAGATTCTGTAGCCTTGTACACTTTCACAGCTGAATCCGCAACCACTTCTGTAGCTCGTTTTTTCCTAGTTGATCCCTCAGTGGATGGAGCAACTCCTTCAAACGTTAATTGACGATAATTTGATAAGACATCCATTAGAACTGTTAGAATATCAGACGATACTACTGGCAACAATGAGTAGGCGGCACGGAGAGCTTCTTGAAAATCTGCACTCTCACTGGAAACCATGAAATTTAAGAGGGAATCTGTTTTGTGATAGTTTACCTGGATTCACCGAGCGATTGGAAAAGAAGCATTGTGATTTTATCTGTCTGACTCTGGTCAAAATTTTCTGTACACAACTCGATGTTCAACGCGTTGATTTTGGCAATAGCAGATATGAAGTTTCCATTCACCACATCTGTATTCAGTAAACTAATCAAATCCATTCCAGCCAATGTCACATTTTCCGATTGTTCAATAGTGATTACTCCAGATTCTTCAGAACTACAAGATCCCAGCCGATCGCAAACGGATAATGTTGCACTGATGCCAACACGCTGTCCACATTCTTCGGAGCTGTTGCCGGTGGCTGAAAACCGTAGTTTGAAAAAAGCAATACTATTTTGAAGCTATACTTGAGGGCAGGTAAAACTGTATCGACTTTACTGTGCTCCGAGGGCCCAGATATTCATAAGTGGTGTTGTCGGCGTAGAGAATTTTGTATCCGAACTGGTAGCTCAAAGGCAAATCGTCCTTGTCGTCATTCCAGCCATCGCCAACCGAGAAGGTGATGGGAGTCTCAAGTGCAACTGCTGGGTAAGTAGGAGTAGAAATCTTTGAACAACCGTAATTTTTCAAATAGAAATTCTACTCTTACATCTATGTATCCTGTGGTTGGTGGAGCATTGGTTAGAAGGTGTAAATCCGCGAAAGATGATCCTTTGTCGTTCGACGCCCATAGTCGGATCACAAAAGTTTTTCCACTCATTAGCCCTGGCCAAGCTGCTAGCCTAAATTAAAACAAATCTTTAGAAATTGAAAATTTTGTATGTTACTGTGTCCCGGAAGGTGGTATTGTTAGCGACACAAAAACATCAGATTTAGCTGGAACATCTTTGATAATAGTCGTGGGACTTGGCAAAAAAGAGGTGATGTTGAAAAACCCGAATTGTGAATCTCGGACCACTTCCCATGTGATATTTAATGTAGGTAAGGAGGAACTGACAAGAGCTTGGATTCTAAATTAGAACAAATTTTTAAAAAGAGTTTCCATTTTCAGACCCTACCTGATATAATCAAATGCGTTCTGTTTTTTTTCCTCTAATCTGAAAAACGAAACCGTCGGAAGCTGAGATGCTCCTACAGTAACTAAGCAGGAAGAGCTATCAGATTGATCTCCTGAGGATACTGTAGCTGTGACGTTCATTATGGTATTCTGTGTGAGTTTGGAACTGGGGATCTTCAATAATTCTTCCTGAGTGTTTAAATCTAAGATATTGCAGTTATTCTTTGTTCCTGAAATATTTTTGCGTCAAGTTTTCAACATAGATCTTGTTACCGTTTATTATTTCACAGCTCCACTGGTACTGCAGATCAGAATCTTTTCTGTTCTGATCGACTGCTAGGACCCGAATAAGTAGGTCATGATCCTTTCCGACTTGTCGCTCCACACAGTCCAGAGTCACTAACAATGGAAGACCAAAGTACTGAAAAAATACATTAACAAATTGTTAAAAATAGATATTTTTCAGAGAAAAAACTCACATGAATGGTTTTAGTGGTACTCGAAGAATACGACTTCTCATGGCTGTATCTAGCTATCAACGTGATATTCACCAGCTCATCAACAGAAAATGAGTAGGCTGGAAGTTTCAGACCATCGTCAGTCATTTGACCTTCTCCGTTGAGTTTCCATTCGTACTGAACATCTTTTGGAGACGTTTTGGAGCTACATTGCTTGAACGTTGGATTAGCATGAAGGTGTAATCCGAAACTTGCTGGTGTCTCTTGTTCTAACCCTGCAATTTTCTTTCATTTTTCAAATAATCCAGTTTTGCTGACCATCGATAGACACTGAAAATACTGATGCATCATCAACAAGCTCTGTTTTTATTGGTCCACTCGATGTACACTTTCCTGCTACATTACATCCAGTTACTACTACAACATTACTTGTGGAAAGCTGAAATGCCAATTTCTTCCTTTGAATAGAAAATCAAATTATACATGTTGACTTGGAATTTCCAGCAGCCTCTCGCTTATTGAGTTGGCCAGCTTTTGCATGTTATCCGTGCCTAAATATTTAAAACTTATTTTCCGCGTTTTCTCCTTTCCAGTTAGGCTCACCATTCAAAATCGACCATTCAAACTTCAATGGCATGAAGCCGTTCCCCGAAATTTGTTTAACTTCGAATTTTGTGGAATTCGAACAAGTTGCCACTGCTTTTTCGTGAGAGACTGTGAAATTTGGGTACACCTGGGAGGAAAAAAACATTTTTGTCTAGAGAGAATGACCTTTACCGCGTTTTTCGCGTTTTTCAGGAACGCTGTCCGCGGTGAGAATTTCGTTTTCACTTCTTGCTTCAATGCCATTTTAGGATTTGCGCCAAATTTCACGGCAACGTTCTCCCCGTCTCCTAAGCAAACTGGGTTCTCTGGAATTTCGGAATTTTCAGAGATTTTGAGCATAAGCTACCTCCAAGATTCTCAGATGCGTCCATCAGTAAATCGCAATTCATGATACCTATTGGAAACTCAACGGACTTGTTGACACGCTTAATATTGATTCCCATCAAGTCATCAGACAGTTCAACTGTGAAATCCTCGGTTTGATCGATCCGAATTTCGAGGTTACTGTAACAATTAAAAATTGAACTTTCACAACCGGCAGAAATTCTACCTGTTATTGAAATTCGGGCAGAATCTAACTAGCAATGACGGAACGGAAAGTTTAAAGCACGCCTGAGGGGTTCCAACAGATTGAGTACCTTTCATATTCAGACTTACGTCGGTACAGTCGGTTTGAGTAAAATAGGATAGTCCTCTTATACTGGCTCGGTTGTCGGTGTCCCAGAGAAAGGGAATGACAGATAAACCACTACTAGCACAATTTGTGTTGGTACCATTGACGGTGAAAAAGAAATTGTAGTCTGGCGGGACCACAACAACCTGAATATATATATACTGTGCACACAGTATCAAGAATTTTATTTTTCAGCAAAATTGTTTTTTAGACTTCAAATTACTGCTTCAACGCGAATTACTGTAAAATGTTGAGGTATCGTCAAGATTGAGCCTATTTTCGTAGTATTCCTGTGAGATATCAATAAACCGTCAACTGACAAAACTTTCATGATATTATCAAAAATATGTTGTTAGCTAGCATTTGTTGATATCGCTTACAGAAATCGAGATGCAGTCCGCTGAAGTTAATAGTTCGGGCTTTTATCATAGGTTTTTGGATTTTTCTCTAAAATTGGGAATTTCAAGCAACTTTTTCAGCAAGACATTTATTTCATTTTTCCGGGAAAAATATTAAAATCTATTTTCTAATTCAAAGAAAAAATATGTTTTTCAAATATCAAGCTTGTGTTTCTATTTGCTCTATTAGACGCAAAACCAAATCGTAAACTTTAAGCTCACTTATCTTGAGTCCTGTGAAAGATTATAATTTATAAATTGACGAAAATTGGATATCCCCCATGCCTTTAATCCCCCCATGCCTTTAATTTTTACATTTTTTACATTTTTCGATCCCCCAACGTTTAGTTGTAACCTTTTGCGATGTAATAATTTGGTTTTATTCAATTCTCTTGTTTTTCTCCGCCAACACCTCCAATTTTACACTCTAACATAATATTGGCGAATAAAATAAAATAAAAGAGCAGTTGGTCTTTTTCACAAGGTCTTTGACGCATTTTGAACACACAGACACATACACTAGCAGAAAACGAAACGAAACGCGCCATTACATTACAACCATATGGTTCCTATTTTTCCTTTTCTCTCTTTCCTATTCAAAATGCGTTTTTTGTTATGCATTTCTGCCCTGGACACCTTCACTCAAATGAGAAATGACCCCCCACCCGTTTCACATCATCCGCATAATTTTCAATGTCGACGCAATGGACAGATAAATTTGCAAATAGACTGTCATAGCCATCTGGATCCTGTAGCTCGATGGGATTCTCGCTTTTCTCATCGGACGCAATGTTCCACTGCACATTGGTGCGTGTTCCCGCGTTGACCACCTGAATTGCGTGCTCGTCAGCAATTATTCAGAATTTCAAATACACTCATTCAAAAGGAAAACTCACCAAAGCCGCAAGTGTCCAACTATGATTGAATGTCAAATGACTCAGAAGCTCGCTGAGCACAATACGAGTCGAGGTAGTCGACGAGGAGTCTTTGAGTGTCGGCACATTGTCGCTGGTCAATTGAACGGTATCCACAAATTGAAAATCAGATTTTACAAATCTGATACATGACGTTCCAGACAAATAACACTGATTGAGAAGTGTAGGTTTAGTAGGAACAAAGGAAATAGCCAAGAATACGAGTAACTTGAGCCGATATTCCATCAACCAATTCACATAACCAAAAAAGTTGAAATAAGAGAAATGAAAGCTTCTGTTGCGTATGCTTATGATTGGAAAAAAAAAGAAGGCGCGCCCCACTTTTTATTTTTCGGTCGCTATGGAGACGCGCCGCCGTTGTTTTTCAATTTCAGGGGCTTCCACTTTTTTGTCATGAGAAAAAGCTCATGTGTTTTTGGAGCAACCAGAATTTTCTGATTCTGAAAAAATAACAAAAAAAACTTAAAAGTACAAAACAAAATTTTATCGGGAGGCAAGTTTTGGAAAATAAGAAAACTCTAGCAGATAAGTGCCATTAGAAACCAGAGAAACCGCGTGAGGAGAGTTGAGGGATTTTTGATTGAAAGGGAGAAAATGGGGAAAATAAAATAAAATAAAATTCTAAATTGAGAAATATATAACCGATACGAATAAAGATGCAAAAGGCTCTTGGAGTCATCTTACGCGCCCCAACTAGTTGGATAAAATACATGAATATTTTTGGCACCATTTTTGGAATTCAGATCAGTTTATATTATCAATATATCACGAGTGTTTCTTGGGGAGGATGTAATAACCTTTACAAAAGGGAGAGAAAAAGATGGAAAGATACAGAATAGGAGGAACAAATTATGGTATATAGTTATGGCAAATGGAATGAAGTCTGAGAACAGAATTATAGATTTGATCTATGAATGATTTTTGGGATGAATGACAGATTTAAATTTTTGGGATGGGGTAGAATTACGCGTAAAATTCCTTTGTTGATGCTTTGGTGTAGGCATACGTGGCGTAGGGTCGTGCCTGTTTTGGCTCATCTAATGCGTACGATCCTTCGTCTTTTTTCCGAATTCGGAAAACGACGAATAGGACGAGAAGGATTGCAGTGATCACGGCGACAAGGACTCCACCGGCGATTGCTGGAAAATTAAATAAATTTGGAGGGAATTTGTAATTTGTAATATTTTTTGAGAAGTCAAAAATGCAAAGCGTCTGTTTTCAATTTAAGAATTTGGGATGAAGATTTTGCTGGCAGTAGCTTCCAATTGTAGCTTTGAAAATAGGAATAGCCCAGTTAGGTGATCAAAAATTATTTTGTTTTGATTTTAAATTAACTTTTGAATTTTGAAACATTTTGGATCAAAACTGCTTCTCTTGGAGTCTGAGAAATATTTCCAATTTTATAGGAAGCTCGAAATTTTCAAATTTTGAAGGAAATATGAGATTTTGAATAAAATTTGTAATTTTGAACCAATTTTTGTATTTTCTCGAAAATTTGGCTTTTTAAGAAAATTTGGCATTCGACAGATGATTATTTTTTAAACCCGAATTTTCGCTTAATTCAAAAAACTCTTTGAAGTTAAAATCTTTTTTCATCCAAAAATTTCTGCAAGATCCAAAATGACCATCTAGAGCCAAAAGCTGTGTTCTAAAGCTTTTATTTTTTATTTTCTTGAAATTTGTGTTCCATTGTTCCTCAAGCTTTAACTTCTCTTACTTTTAGGTTATTCAGCTTTTAGGTGAATTCTGTTCAACCTTTACGACCCGAAAACGTTCAATGCGATTTTTCCGTCCCGCCGAATCTTTTCAAACTCCCAATTTCCAAAACCTGGTTCCTTTTTCTTTTTCTTCAAATTTTTTCAAAAGGGATTTTCCTCCCTCTTCCAACCGGGACATTTCCTCCCACACTCAGTGTCATAAAATCAAATATGCACAAAACGCCGACCCTTGACCTTCGCCGTCCTTCTATTCTTCTTTTCTCCACCCGTCCCGAACCTTTTCCTTTTTCTCAAGAGACTAAGATTTGGGTGTGACTAAGATTTTGATAAGTTTGAAAGGAAGGGGGTAAGTTTTGAAGCGGAAGGAAGGAGCAAGACAAAATGTTTGAAGAGAGACGAGTAAAATGTCAACTTTACTGAACATGGACTTTCTCAAAAAAGTCAACTTCCCGTTTTCGGAGCTTTTTGGGAGCTTCCGTTTCACTCTATAGCGTCTCTAGCAAAACAAAACGGGGTGTTTTGTGTACCATTCAGTGTCATGTATAATTTAGGTTCATCAGTAGCTCATCTTCTCCTTCTCATAATATAATTTCTGGCGTGTCATCTTTTTCTTCTCTTCTTTCTTCTATTCATACTTGTTGGTTTCTTGTAGGAAGAAAAAGGATATTGGAAGACTAAGAGGGTCCTCTCCTCTCTCATGGAATAATTAGACGCGTGGGGAGGGAGGGATGTCCCTAAGACACAGAGAGAAAGGAGAGGCCACGCCATCTGTCATTAAGAAACAGCTCGACACAACAAAACTAGCACATCCCCCATCCCTCTTCAGAGCTGTACACATTGATTGATAGACTGGTCGCGAAAAATAGATGAGGATTGACTAGAGAGAAGAAAGAGACAAAAAGTATGCATACTTTTATGCAAGTCTCATCCTTCTTACTTTTCCGAAAGAGACGCATTCGGATGGACCAATTCTTTGACACATATCCCTAACGGCGTTCTTCTTCCGGAATGTAGTGACAGAGGAAGGGAGGATATTGATGAAATACATCAATTTATCATCTCGCAACAAATCATTTGGGGCCCCGGGGAGGAATATTTATGTATACATCTGCTACTAATGTCAGTTTACACCAAGCGAAAAATTAATGATAATGATTTTTTCTTACAAATTCAATTTTCGCTACCTACCAGCCCCTTGGTGCCAACTAATGATATGAAATTAATGAAAACACCAACCTGCATAGAACCCATTTGTCATTGTCTCATGGAACGGCGAGAACGGACCGGATGAGATGGTCGAGGTGACGAGTGGAGGCTGATGACGAGGTGGCTTTGTCGTTTGTGCCACATGTGACCTTGGTGTCGTTCTGGAAGAATAAGATTGATGAGAAAATTAGTAAGCAGTTTTTTTTTAAATATTTTGAATGAAGAAAACTAACGTCGTGACAATGGCCGCTACAGTTGTGGTTGTTGTTGTGAAGAAGTCATCATCATTATGAACATTCTCATCAGCAAAATCTTCATCGTCGTCGTCCTCATCCTCGTCTTCATCCTCATCGTCGTCCTCGTCATCCTCCACCTTGATCTCTTTGTCGTTGGCGGCTGGCTTTGGTTGGACCGGAGGCTTGAAGCTCTGAATGAAGGATTGCGGTAAATTAGATCAAAGAAAAGAGTGCCGACGAAACACTTACCACTGTCGTAGTTGATATCGTTGGCGGTTTTGCAGTCACAACAACATTCGACGGGGAGAAGGGCTTTTTGGCGCTATCCGATTCTTTTGTGGTGGCTTTAGTGGTGACGGCAATGGCTGGTTGAGATGGCGGCTTGCCTGGAAAGGGGATATTGTAATTTAGGTGTTTTTTATGAAGTTGAGGCCCATAAGATATATAAAAACCGGGTTTTCAGTTGATTTTTGGTCATTTTAACCATTTTCACAAGGATGGAGCTTGGCCTCCGACCACTTCCAAATTTTTGGAACGTGTAAAAAAGACTTAGATTGAAAAACTTGCATTCACAGATTTATTTTAAAATTTCTAGTTTTTTAGGTATTTGCCTATTACTGATTTTTAGCATTTTCAATGCAAAACAGGTAGAAGAGGTGTATAAAACACCCGTTTTACGCCCAAAACGCCTCTTTTATTTGATTTTGTACTGAAAATGTGAAAAAAACAGATGCCTTTCAGAAATCAGAAAATAGCTGAAAAACTAGGAAGTTCTGAAAAACTCGGTTAATGCAAAGTTTTTAATCTAGATCTGTTTTACACTTTCAAAGTGATTGGACACTTGACAGTTGAGCTCCAGACTTATAAAATGGTCAAAACTGACTATTGACCGGTACTGTACGTTTCTTTTTCATTTGACAGATGTTCATCTAGAATTCTCACCTGATCCATGAACATCATCACCATCCTCGTCATCTGTCGGGTAGCCGGATCCATTGACTTCGATGTCTGCCAACCGGCCGGGCATATTTGCACTACCTTCGACATGCTCCTGCAAATCGCGGTTTTCCATAATCCATATAAATATGAAATATACAAATATATACTAATATTATTATTATTTCTATTTCTATTTATTTCTATCTCATTCCCCCCGCAACCCTATTATATCTGTTTGAATAATGCAAATATTTTGGTGCCTGAGAGTTTACGGGGGCAAACAAATATGTGCGCTACTTTGCTGTTACAATATTATATCTGTACTAACCTCTGACGTTGAATTTTTCAGCGCTGCTGCAATTGTTGTTGTCAGCGGCGACGTTTTCGTCTTGGCTTGATTGGCAGCAAACGCTTGTGTGGAGAGGGACAGCAGGATAAGAATCGAGAACGTCGACAGGCAATTGAGTTTCAGCGGCATTTTGAGAGCGTGTGTGTGTTTCTTCTGATTTTTTGGTGTTGTTCACCTGACCGGCATCTCTTTGGTAACACACTATACCCCTGGAAAAAATGAAAATACGATTGAATTGGGTGGCCAAGGGTGGAACGAAAAACGATTCGAATCGAAGACAACAAGGAGAGGCGGTAAAACAGAGCGGCTGGCGGTAGGCAAAGGGTTCCAAAAGAGGTTATCGTAAATTTGAATTGGTTGTGGTTGGGTTGGTGGCAGTATTAGATGGGAAAATAGGGGGGAGAAAATGGTTTTTACAGCGATTGTTGGGTGGTATGTAGTGAGAGAAATAAAATAAACTAAGAAAAGAGATATTGATGAAGGGAAGGAAGGCGGACGAAAAAATGCTATAAAACACTCTCATCGTGTGTATGTGTGTTGATTAAAACTAAAAAGGACGAGAAGGAGAAAATGAAAAAAGGGTTACTCACACTCTCACCGGCCAAATAAAAAAAGTAGGGTTTGTAGAAGTAAGTTGAACAGACTAGGAGCTAAGCGGGGGGTGAATTAAAGCGAAGGCTCTTCGGGTTCCCCTGAGTAGGCTCCGTCCTGCGTAATGAGATGGAGAAGAGAGACAAGAACACGGGTGTGCCAAAATCTTATTGACCCCCTAGCTTCCTTTCCTGGCTATGGCGAAATTGGAAAACGAAACGAGACATGATGGGGCCTCGAAATAGGTGAAGTCTCGGAAAGAGGCAAGCATCGAAAGTGAAACAAAACAAAGGGAAGCCAGCATCAGATAACATGCCTCCCACGGATTCGAAGGAATATAAGAAGATGGCGGCGGCCAAGTTGCGCCTGCCCCAGATGATGACCTCGTTTAGGACATTTCTCCGTTATATCCAGCCGCATGATTATCAGAGATTGTAAATATTTGGAAGAGAACAAGACGAGAAATTTTGAAAGAAGGAGAAAAGAGAAAGAGAGAAATCGAAGATTGGTTAATTAAAATCATTCTTAACATTTTTTCTTTTACTAATTTTAATTGTTTTAATTGTTAAAACAGTTGTTTTTATCCTCCACTAATTTTGGTAGTAAAACGAAATGGGAATAGGAAATATAGGGTAATAGAGACGGATCGGAAGATAGTGAGACAGAGCCAAAACAAATCTCTTATTCAAATACATCTCCACACAGGGGGCCGAGAGCTCTCGCAAACTCTTGAGACTGCGGGAGCTACGCGAGGATGTGACGCGCCCCTCTCTTCTTCTTGCCGAGTTACTGAACCTACTTTTTCAAATTACGATTACCAAAAGAGGGCCCGAGGCTAGGAAGGAAGAAGAAAAAACTCAACTCTCGTGGAATTTTCAATCCGTTATAAGAAAGAGACCCGGGAAGTAGGCAAAATGAGAAGAGAGCAGTAAAGCGAGCACAAATTGAATTTGGTTTGGTGTTCGGAAGCATCATGGAATTCTGTGCCCTCGCCCCGCAAGTCGAACGAATTTCGCGGAAAAGGGTGCGTGTGCTCCGATAGAAAGACCCGATGGTGACGGAAAGGGGCGGACGCGTTTTGTGTGAATGTGACGGAAGATGAATTATGAAAATAAAAGAAGACATCGGAGCAGAAAATATACAGGATTTTTCGGAAATTCTACTAGCTTCCACAACCTTTAAATGGTAAGCATTCTCCAATACAGGAGGAGAAAGGATCGATTGACGATAATTCATGCGGAAAATAGAGAAGTGACAAGTTAATGCGGTAGTTGATGAGTGTGGGGACGCGAGAAGAGGTACGAGTGGGGGCAAGTCATATCCCGCCGTTCATCAATGGGAGAATTTTATTGTGTCATTTTATTTGGGTTTCAGGGGAAGCGACGACGATGTGATTGGTTTTTGAGAATAGAAAAGGGATCAGAGATTGTGGGATTTGAAGTTTTCGTTGGGAAATTTTAGCGCCAAAAATTTAAAATTTGAAAAAAAACATCGAAAATTGAAAATCTTAAAATTTTTTTTATTTTCAAAATCAGAAAACTTAAAATTAAAAAAACAGCAGCTCAGATTTTTAAAACTCATTTGGGAAGCTCCGGAACTTCGCGAGATCCAAGAAGTCAAATCTTAGAATCACAAAATTTCATAATATTGGATTCTAGGAACCTAGGAATCTAGGAATCTCGATATCTAGGAATTCTATGAATCGATGAACCGATGAATCTAGGAATCTAAAAGTCTAGGGATCTAGGAATTTTAGAATCTAGCAATTCAGCAATTTTCAAAATCTCATAATCTCTGATTTTCTAGACCACTGAAACTTGGAAAGTCGAAATTTCAGGTGCTCAAAATTTATAAAAACTCAAATTTTTTAACTAAATCAGTATCTCAAAATTTAACAATTAGAATCTCCAAATCAAAAAAAAAATCAAAACTAGCTTCATTCTAATTCAAAGCTCGCCTAATCGATACAATTTTTCCCAGATGCCATAAAGTGCATGAACGGTACGCCAGCTGCGTTTCGAAAAATTCCCCAAAAATTGCTTAGGACAGATGTCTGACTCCTTCTCCCATCTGTTCACATTTTTCTTTGAAACTCTTCCGACATGTTAAAGCCAAACGAAAACTTGAAAATGAAGGATGATCTGTTTGGCATCATTCAATTGGAGAATAGAAACAGAAAACACCGATCAAAAATGATCGATGGGATTTTCGCCTGGAGCAAAAACGACGACGCATCGCGCGGTTGACAAAAACGAAGATGGAGAAGGAGATGAACAAAAAAAAACACGCAATTCTTGGTGTTTCTTTTCTCAAATCGTGTGGCCGTGTTTTAATGGCGACGTTTTTGGTTTTGCGACTCTCTGGTTTTGGTTCCGTTTTCCGAAAAAAGAGGACGGGATAATAGGAAACGCGCCAAAAAGGACGATGTGGTGCGTTGTATAAAATAAAACAGAATCAGAATCGCTGCTGCTGCAGTGAGGGCACAAAACAGAAGAGGTAATAAACGGGGAAGAAAGCGCCAACAAAAAAGATACATTGATTTCGAGGAAGTCGTGAAACGGAGAACAACATTGGAGCGGTACCCGAGACTCCCGCGATTGATGCGTTTAGTTTTGCGTTGCGGGTGGTGTGGCGTGGACGTTTGAAGGCGAAATGGTATGCAAATGTGTGTATGCGTTGTGGACCGCGCGACGAAGACGACGTCAATACAAACGCCCTCGAAAACGTTCGAAAACAGGAGGAGGAGGAGAGAGTTTGTACTAGTAATTGCTAATTGCCATATTACGTAAATTATGGTGATTTGGGAAATGCTTGCTTTAAGGTTTTCCGATTAAAAATCCCTAAAACGAACTACGGTATCGGTCCAAAACGCGTAGGAATTTGAAATTTTGATTTTAATTCATATCTACAGGACAGGTTCAATACGATATTAACAAATATATCTCTTTTTTTTTGATTTTTGAGCCTATTCCGGAGCCTAAAACTCGGCTGTGAAATTTGATCATTTTGAACATTCTGGAAGGTGTGAAACAGGCCTAAATTGAAAGTTTTACATTCACATAATAGTGTTCAAAGTGATCGAAAACTAGTGAGCCAAGCTCCAGACCAGTTAGAATAGTATTGCCGAAAATCTACTGAAAACACGTTTACTGTACCTCTACCACAAAACTACCCCCTCTCTAGAGATTCCTAAACTCTTCAAAACCACAAAACAAATTTCTGGTTGCGAGATCAAACCCGAAACATGATCCTCAAGGGTGAAAAAAACCGGGGAAGAAGTGAGAAAAACAAATGAGAGAAGTGAGAAATTGCATCTTTTGTTCCTACTCTTTTTCCTCTATGAGACCCCCGGTGTAATGTCGTTGCCTTCAATGAGCCCCCGTTGCGGACACATTTCAAAAACGAAATTTCAAAGTCAGACAGGTTTCGAAACTCTTTTCTAAGCAATATTTTTCGAAAACTCGTGTGATCAATCTAAAATTAAAAATGTCATAAAAACGCGGTGGCGGGACAGAATTTGCAGAAAAACAAGCAGCCAAAAAAAGAGGATTATGCGCGAAAACGAGAAGGACGACTACTAAAACGAGCGAAAGTTAAACATATCAGTTAAAAAAACACACTAAATATTGTGTGCGGTGGCAAAAACGGAGACAAATAGTACTACTGACCAAGGGGCCAAGAAGACGATGGCCCATCTGTTTTATTAGCATTACGACGAAGACGATCGATCCTCCTCCCCACCCTGCGTAGTGTGCACTCTCCCCTCCCACCCTTTCTCCACCCTCCACACTTATTGCACAGTGCTAATTCATCTCTAGCCCCTAGCATTTTGTGTCTGCACCCTCTTCTCTCTCATCACACGGTCCGAAACGGACTCGCCGGGTAGTGGAGGGGGTAAAGACGGACGGGGGGCAATGGAAAAGGTTACCGCAATAGGGTCCACTCACTGACCTCCTCCAATCTGACTCGGGGGGTTGCGCAGAAGACGATGGATAGAAGAGTAGAGGGGAGAAGGAGAGAAAGAGTTCTTTGTTTGAATTTCACGCTAATAAATACAGTTACACACACCGATGAGGAGGAGAACAGGGTCGTAATGTTGCCTTGTGAAGAAGAACAATAATCGGAGCATCCTCAACATTTTTTGGGTTATCACTAGAGCAAATATGCAGAACGAAAGTGTAACAAACGTTAACAACGACTGATAACGACGCAATATACAACATCGGCGAGGTAGAAAGAAGGAGATAATTTGAATTTTTCAGTTTGAATAACTCAGAATAAAAAAAGGATTTGAATTGGCATGAAATCGAACAGTAATCCAAATTAATCAGTTTTGAAATTAAAAACATTCCACAGTAACCCAAAAAGATCTTGTCCAAAAAAATCTCGAACAAAAAACTTGTTAAATAACTAAAAATTGATATTCCTAGACTAATAAATGCTCTAATTAAACGACAGCTCAATTGCCGTATTTGCTCTGGTAGAACTTCCACCTTACGTGCCTTCTGAGTTCAATTATCTCGGCTCCTATGAGAGAT